CGCCCTATACCTGACCCCAACCCTGAACAGCCCTATACCTGACCCCAACCCTGAACGCCCTATACCTGACCCCAACCCTGACACGCCCTATACCTGACCCCAACCCTGACACGCCCTATACCTGACCCCAACCCTGAACCCTATACCTGACCCAACCCCCTACAACCTAGACCTATACCTGACCCCAACCCTGACACGCCCTATACCTGACCCCAACCCTGACACGCCCTATACCTGACCCCAACCCTGACACGCCCTATACCTGACCCCAACCCTGACACGCCCTATACCTGACCCCAACCCTGACACGCCCTATACCTGACCCCAACCCTGACGCCCTATACCTGACCCCACCCTGACAACGCCCTACCTACCTGACCAACCTGAACCCCATACCGACCCCCTGACACGCCCTATACCTGACCCCAACCCTGAACACGCCCTATACCTGACCCCAACCCTGACACGCCCTATACTACCACCCTGACCGCCATACCTACCCACCCTGACACGCCCTATACCTGACCCCAACCCTGACACGCCCTATACCTGACCCCAACCCTGAACACGCCCTATACCTGACCCCAACCCTGAACAACGCCCTATACCTGACCCCAACCCTACGCCCTTATGACCCAACCTGAACCGCCTATACCTGACCCCAACCCTAGACACCCTATCGACCCAACCCGACACCCTATACCTGACCCCAACCCTGACACGCCCTATACCTGACCCCAACCCAACCCTGAACACGCCCTATACCTGACCCCAACCCTGAGACACCCTATACCTGACCCAACCCTGAAACCCTATACCTGACCCCAACCTACACCCTATACCTGACCCCACCTGAACCCTATACCTGACCCAACCCTGAAAACCCTATACCTGACCCCAACCCTGACACACCCTATACCTGACCCCAACCTGAGACACCCTATACCTGACCCCAACCTGACACGCCCTATACCTGACCCACCAACCTTTGACCCCACACCCCAGTACCCTACCTGACCCCAACCCTGATAGACACCCTATACCTGACCCCAACCTTGACACACCCTATACCTGACCCCAACCCTGATAGACACCCTATACCTGACCCCAACCCTGATAGACACCCTATATCTGACCCCAACCCTGATAGACACCCTATATCTGACCCCAACCCTGAGACACGCCCTATACCTGACCCCAACCCTGACACGCCCTATACCTGACCCCAACCCTGACACGCCCTATACCTGACCCCAACCCTGACACGCCCTATACCTGACCCCAACCCTGACACGCCCTATACCTGACCCCAACCCTGACACGCCCTATACCTGACCCCAACCCTGTGACACGCCCTATACCTGACCCCAACCCTGAGACACGCCCTATATCTGACCCCAACCCTGACACGCCCTATACCTGACCCCAACCCTGAGACACGCCCTATACCTGACCCCAACCCTGACACGCCCTATACCTGACCCCAACCCTGATAGACCCTATACCTGACCCCAACCCTGATAGACACGCCCCCTATGACCGTTTCACACTACAGGGCCGACCCAAACCCATACTGGACCGGTTATTATCTTTCCACATTGTCCTTTCCTGTGTATGGTTCAAGCAACTATGGTGGATACTGGATGTGTAACCAGGCCAGCCCAGTACAGCTTGGCTTGGTGTGGCTCAGTAGTATGAGAAGGGAACTAGTGTCACCTTTCCCCCGGCGACATCTCCAAGCCCCTCTCACCCGAACACACGTAGCCATAGGAACCTCTCTGATGACCCCTGACCCCTTTCACATATGGCCACGGAGACAACGGAATCCAGCCTTACGGAACTCTTGACATCATCCTCTGTGATGTCACATCCTGCCTTTAATGCTCACAGCGCCACTGTTCCGTTCTCCTGTTCAACGTGGTTTCCATTGAGTCAGTCTGTAGTGTGTACAGAATAACCCCTGGGTTGTGTTCAGTAGGCACATAACGGAAGAAAACACTCAAGACAGAGAGATATTATCTGAACTTGTCCAATAAGAAACACTTGTTTTGTGTTTTCCCATTGCAAAAGGTTTTGATACGGTGTGCTCTTTAGGAACAGGACCCTGGTTTAGCTGCCTCTGTGGCACTGCTTTAACGGCTTGATCCAGCTTGCGGGGTGGGTTGGTCGGTTTATTTGATGTTGTGTGGCCTTCTGCTGTCTTCTCATGTCACATTCATCCCAAATGGTACCCTATTCCCTATGTAGTGCACTAGTTTAGAGTAGAGCTTAGGCTCTCTGATCTTAAGTAGTACCCTAGAGGTAGCTGCCAAAATAAAGGGAAAACACTTGAGTAAATGAGGGATACATAGTATATTGAAAGCAGGTGCTTCCACACAGGTGTGGAATTAACATCCCGTCCTTTCTTAGGGTCATGTATAACAATGGCTTTATTATTATTATTATTATTATAATCAGGCTACCCTGGCTAGAAGAGATCGCAGTGATTTTGAGAGGGGTGATTGTTGGGGACACGTTTTCCAGGCGCATCAGTGATGAAGACTGCTCAACTTGCGGATGTTTCACGATATGCCACGGCCGTCTCAAGTCACCAGATCCCGACCAAATTCAACACTTACGGGAGATTCTGGAGCGGCGCCAAGGACAGCGTTTCCCACCACCATCAACAAAGCACAAAATTATGGAATTTCTTGTGGAATAATGGTAAGTAGGGGTGCATCTTTAGCACCCCTTGATCAATTTTAATAATTTTGCCAAACAATATAATTATATAATTACATCTGAACACTGACTGAATTTGGGAAGCATGCGCGCACCAAGTAAAGTATCGATTGGCTTGTTGTGTTGCGGCCATAGAAATATAATCCATAGAAGGGTTTTTGGAACCTTTCACTGCTAAACTCATAGGTACACTAAAAATGGCTGCCAGTCCTGATTTGAATGGGCACTTTCGTTCTATGGATTATATTTCTATGGATTGTATTTCTATGGATTGTATTTATCTCTGCTGTCAGTGAATAGCGAATAGGCCTTTAGCAAATTTCAAAATACAATTGTGGGAAATATGTTTGGAAAGCAAATACCTACTGCTGAAAAGAGAAGATGAATCTGTCAGTACAGCCAACCATTTTCTTTTTCAACAACGACGAACAGCACTGTTTTTCAAAGTAACTGAAGCCTATTTTGAGACCGTCACCGGTGAGAAGCCTAGGCTACGCACATTGGGTGAGTCAGCGTTACTGGAAAGTGTATTTAGTAGTCTACTGTAGCCGATATTATACATTTCCTCCTAATATTGTCGATCTGTGTCTCCTTTCCTTTTTATTGACCCTGGCTCATGTCAAGACCAGGTCGTTTTTATTGATCTGTTTGACAGATCAATTAAAAAAAGATTCTGATCATGTCTCCTTTCATGTAGACCCTACATGACATAGAATTGCGTGAAATGCATTTATAAAAGTTTTTTTTACATTTACATTTTTTTACATTTTAGTCATTTAGCAGACGCTCTTATCCAGAGCGACTTACAGTTAGTGATTAATTTTTTTTTTATACTGGCCCCCCGTGGGAATCGAACCCACAACCCTGGCGTTGCAAACATCATGCTCTATCAACTGAGCTACATCCCTGCCGGCCATTCCCTCCCCTACCCTGGACGACGCTGGGCCAATTGCGCGCCGCCCCATGGGGTCTCCCGGTCGCGGCCGGCGGCGACAGAGCCTGGCCATGTTTTACAAATCTAGACATTGCTAAGAAAATGTCCCCATGTGTGGAAATCCCCCAAAACGATTCTGCTGAACTTTATGCCATTATGTGAGGCACATGTTAGAATGTGTTATTATAAAAGGGGATTTCTTTTTTTTTAAAACCCCTCTCAGCACCCCCAACTCAAAACATCTTCCCGCGGCTATGGTACGGCTTCCCTCCAATAGAGTTTCACACACTTGTAGAATCTATGCCGAGGCGCATTGAAGCTGTTCTGGTGGCTTGTGGTGGCCCAACTTTATGTTGGCCAGTTACCTGTACATATAGAATAGGGTGTCATTTGGGACACGCCTGTCTTTTCATTTCTTCTGCTGACCTGAATGTCCAGAGTCTTTCTTTCAGGACCTCAGTGTTGGTCGGCGAGACCGATCTGGGATGAGCCGAAATCGCATCTGATTTTTTAAAGTGTTCTACTTGTCTCAGGATCTTTCGTATTCCACCCTGTTCTCTTTAGGGGCCCTTGTACAGTAGCACTGTGCTGTTACGGGGATGTTTGGTGTGTAATGCCAGTCATGCAGGCTGGTCTGTGTTTCAGATGAAACCGCGAGCGGCACTGGCTGCCCCCACCACCATTGTTATTGTTGCAGACCTTAATACTGGTCACAGTACATTCTCTATCTTTCTCTCACGCAGTACAGTCTCTATCTTTCTCTCACACAGTACAGTCTCTATCTTTCTCTCACACAGTACAGTCTCTATCTTTCTCTCACACAGTACAGTTTCTCTCTCTCTCTCTCTCCCTCACACAGTACAGAGTCTCTCTCTCTCCCTCACACAGTACAGAGTCTCTCTCTCTCCCTCACACAGTACAGAGTCTCTCTCTTTATCGCTCTCACACAGTACTGCAGACCTCATGGGTTGGTCTCTCAAATGACGGTCTCTCTCACACAGTGCTGTTAGTCCTCTGGGTTGGTCTCGTGACAGACAGACCAGAAATGCTAATTGAGTAGCTGGCCAGCATGCAAGAAATGTGGTTGCGGTTCGGATTACTCGGATGGAGTCCCACAGTGCTGTAGACCTCTGGGTTGGTCTGTCAGACAGTCTATAATCACCCACAGTGCTGTAGACCTCTGGGTTGGTCTGTCAGACAGTCTATATATCACACACAGTGCTGCAGACTGTTGGGCTGGTCTCTTAGATGATCCCTCTCTCACAGGGTGCTGTAGTCTTCATCGGTTGGTCTCTCACACGGTGCTGCAGACTTCTAGGTTGGTCTCTCAGACAGTCTCCCTCTCTCACACGGTGCTGCAGGGCCCCTCACTGTCCTCACTCTCATCCCACACTGCAACACCCCCCATGGCTCCTGCCTGGGCGTGGCCAACTCTCGGCTGGGTTTGGAACCTAGAAGACGGGGAATGAGACCGGTATTGACACCTTTCTTTTTAACCTGTATGAGAACTGGGTATTATAATGTAAAAGGAACCAGTACTCCTTACCTTAGCTTTTTGAAGTTAGGAAATGTCTGCCTCTCAGTGGCTTGAACCGGTCTGAAGCCTTGTGATGTATTCTCCTTTACTGGTGCTGCATCTCCCTAGTTCACACCGTGATAAGGGAACAGGATTAGATATCTCCCTAGTTCACACCGTGATAAGGGAACAGGATTAGATATCTCCCTAGTTCACACCGTGATAAGGGAACAGGATTAGATATCTCCCTAGTTCACACCGTGATAAGGGAACAGGATTAGATATCTCCCTAGTTTACACCGTGATAAGGGATCAGGATTAGATATCTCCCTAGTTTACACCGTGATAAGGGAACAGGATTAGATATCTCCCTAGTTTACACCGTGATAAGGGAACAGGATTAGATATCTCCCTAGTTTACACCGTGATAAGGGAACAGGATTAGATATCTCCCTAGTTTACACCGTGATAAGGGAACAGGATTAGATATCTCCCTAGTTTACACCGTGATAAGGGAACAGGATTAGATATCTCCCTAGTTTACACCGTGATAAGGGAACAGGATTAGATATCTCCCTAGTTTACACCGTGATAAGGGAACAGGATTAGATATCTCCCTAGTTCACACCGTGATAAGGGAACAGGATTAGATATCTACCTAGTTCACACCATGATAAGGGAACAGGATTAGATATCATGGTGTGAACTAGGGATATATCTAATCCTGTTCCCTTATCACGGTGTGAACTAGGGAGATATCTAATCCTGTTCCCTTATCACGGTGTGAACTAGGGAGATATCTAATCCTGTTCCCTTATCATGGTGTGAACTAGGGATATAAGGGAACAGGATTAGATATCTCCCTAGTTCACACCGTGATAAGGGAACAGGATTAGATATCTCCCTAGTTCACACCGTGATAAGGGAACAGGATTAGATATCTCCCTAGTTTACACCATGATAAGGGAACAGGATTAGATATCTACCTAGTTCACACCATGATAAGGGAACAGGATTAGTTCTCTCTCCAGTTCACACCATGATAAGGGAACAGGATTAGTTCTCTCTCCAGTTTACACCATGATAAGGGAACAGGATTAGTTCTCTCTCCAGTTCACATTGTGATAAGGGAACAGGATTAGATGTCTCTCTAGTTCACACTGTGATAAGGGAACAGGATTACATGTATCCCTAGTTCACACCATGATAAGGGAACAAGATTTGATGTAGATACTGTAGAGAACATTGTAGGAGAGATCATTACTGTCCTAGCCAGATCCCTGTTCTTTTTGCAATGACAAGACACATATATATATATACAGTACCAGTCAAAAGTTTGGACACACCTACTCATTCCAGGGTTTTTCTTTATTTTTACTATTTTCTACATTGTAGAATAATAGTGAAGACATCAAAACTATGAAATAACACATATGGAATCATGTAGTAAACAAAAATGTGTTAAACAAATCAAAATATATTTTTTTATTTGAGATTCTTCAAAGTAGCCACCCTTTGCCTTGACAACAGCTTTGCACACTATTGGCATTCTCTCAACCAGCTTCATGAGGTAGTCACCTGGAATGCATTTCAATTAACAGGTGTGCCTTGTTAAAAGTTGTGGAATTTATTTCCTTCTTAATGCGTTTGAGCCAATCAGTTGTGTTGTGACAAGGTAGGGGTGGTATACAGAAGATAGCCCTATTTGGTAAAAGACCAAGTCCATATTATGGCAAGAACAGCTCAAATAAGCAAAGAGAAACGACAGTCCATCATTACTTTAAGACATGAAGGTCAGTCAATCCGGAACATTTCAAGAACTTTGAATGCTTCTTCAAGTGCAGTCGCAAAAACCATGAAGCGCAATTGTGAAACTGGCTCTCATGAGGACCGCCACAGGAAAGGAAGACCCAGAGTTACCTCTGCTGCAGAGGATAAGTTCATTATAGTTACCAGCCTCAGAAATTGCAGCCCAAATAAATGCTTCACAGAGTTCAAGTAACAGACACATCTCAACATCAACTGTTCAGAGGAGACTGCGTGAATCAGGCCTTCATGGTCAAATTGCTGCAAAGAAACCACTACTAAAGGACACCAATAAGAAGAAGAGACTTACTTGGGCCATGAGACACGAGCAATGGACATTAGACCGGTGGAAATCTGTCCTTTGGTCTGATGAGTCTAAATGTGAGATTTTTTATTCCAACCGCTGTGTCTTTGTGAGACGCAGAGTAGGTGAACGGATTATCTCTGCATGTGTGGTTCCCACCGTGAAGCATGGAGGAGGAGGTGTTATGGTGTGAGGGTGCTTTGCTGGTGACACTGTCTGTGATTTATTTAGAATTCAAGGCACACTTAATCAGCATGGCTACCACAGCATTTTGCAGCGATACGCCATCCCATCTGGTTTGCACTTAGTTGGACTATCATTTGTTTTTCAACAGGACAATGATGGACTGTCGTTTCTCTTTGCTTATTTGAGCTGTTCTTTCCGTAATATGGACTTAGTATTTTACCAAATAGGGCTATCTTCTGTATACCACCCCTACCTTGACACAAAACAACTGATTGGCTCAAACACATTAAGAAGGAAATAAATTCCACAACTTTTAACAAGGCACACCTGTTAATTGAAATGCATTCCAGGTGACTACCTCATGAAGCTGGTTGAGAGAATGCCAATAGTGTGCAAAGCTGTTGTCAAGGCCAAGGGTGGCTACTTTGAAGAATCTCAAATATATTTTGATTTGTTTAACACTTTTTTGGTTACTACATGATTCCATATGTGTAATTTCATAATTTTGATGTCTTCACTATTATTCTACAATGTAGAAAATAGTAAAAATAAAGAAAAACCCTGGAGTAAGTAGGTGTGTCCAAACTTTTGACTGGTACTATCTATCTATATATATATATATATATATATATATATAAATAATTCTTGCCATTTAGCAGACGCTTTCATCCAAAGGGACTTCCAGTCATGTGTGCATACACTACTAGACAGGGGCCAGGATTGTTGCACTTTGACTTTTAAGTCATTTACGCTTGGCCTTACATCCGAAGCGTTCGCCATGAGTGCGATCTCTGGGAACGTCGGGAAAAGTGCCTTTTTAAAAGGCGCGTTGTCGACCCAGAGTGCATTGCGCTTGACGACAACACGCCCACTGATTGAACACAGCCAGGGCTGCATAGAGATGGATAAATACCTGTTTTGGTGGTTCATCCCAGATGGGTCTGAAGACACTGGCGGGGAGGAGAGGAGGTGGTCCCTTAGTCACGCTGATGACTCTGTTCCCACAGAGTCCTGGTAGCCCTGGTGTCTGACCCGGTCCCTCCAGGCCCGCTGGTCCTGCCTGGTGTCGAGGACTTCGAGGAGAGGGGTACGGCAGCCTGGGGATCTGCCACCTCAGACACACCGTCCGTTCTCTGGGTGAATCCCTCAGCTGCTGCTGCTGCGTGTACGAGGGCTTCAACAGAACAGGCACCTGACTGTCTGTGTCCTCCTCCTCCTCCTCCTCATCGTCCTCCTCGGTGTTACTCACTTCCCCCTCCCTCCTCAAGGTCCCGTCTGGGCTACAAGTGGTAACAGAGGAGTAGTCGAACACGGAGGTGTCCCCAACGTCCTCCTCCGTGTCACAGTCATCAGTGCTTCTCTGGACCATGTGAGGACCAGGGGTCTGTGGGCCGTGTCCATGTCCTTCCTGTCCCATAACCCCTGTAGCCTGGCTAGGAGTCTCCTGTCCAGAGTCGCTGTCCCCCCACCCAGGGGGTGCCGCGTGGAGGAAGGAGGCGGTGTCCCCACCGTAGACCAGTCCAGCCAGGCCACAGGAGTCATGGAGGTGAGACTGGAGGGTCCCCCCGGGCCTGTCTCTGTAACAACTCTTCTTCCGTACACTACCGGTAGGCCAACAGGCAACAGGGATGCTCTGGCAGCCGGCGGCACAGCTAGATCGACGTGTGCCGAGTTGTTGTTCTTCTCTAGGGAGAGAGATCACATTAAATAGCTTCACATCATAACATGACACTTACAGGTAGCAGACACTTTTATCCAATGCAGTAATAAGTACAGTGAGTACACACAGACACGTTGTTGCATACTATGCCATTTCAGCAGACATTTTGTAGAACAAAACATGCCTTTCTGAAATGTACAACAAGTAATCATGTCGGCTCTATTTGTGGCATTTCTATCTGCAACGTTCGACAACGTTTCACTACTGAACGTGACCCCGGTGTATGTTCTGCATTGTGCCTCTAGAGGGCGCTTACCCTCCCAGGCCACCAGATGGCGACAAACACACTCACCGTTTCCCAGCAGCATCGTGGGACTCCTGTCTGTGTGTCTGTGTGTCCCTGGCAGGGCAGAGCTGGCTTCTGCGATCGCACGACTTGGCACAGGGACAGGCAGGGCAGCTGCCACTGAAACACAGAGGAACTGCTGAGTGGTGACGGTCCGGACACTCCAATATGGCGTGTTTCAGGCAGATCTTAAAATAAGCATGTCTGTCTGTATGACCGTCTGTCTGTATGACCGTCTCTCTGTATGACCGCCTCTCTGTATGACCGTCTGTCTGTATGACCGTCTGTCTGTATGACCGTCTGTCTGTATGACCGTCTGTCTGTATGACCGTCTGTCTGTATGACCGTCTGTCTGTATGACCGTCTGTCTGTATGACCGTCTCTCTGTATGACCGTCTCTCTGTATGACCGTCTGTCTGTATGACCGTCTCTCAGTGAATGGTCTCTCATGACAGAATATTAACAGTAAAATTGAGTAGCTGGCCATTGTGCACATGTCATTTAGTTCTGAAATGATTCAGTGATTCCGTGTGAAATGGCACCCTACTCCCTATATAGTGCACAACTTTTGACCAGAGCCACTGAGAAACCAACACATAGAGCCCTGGTCTAAAGTAGTGCACTATATAGGGAATAGGGTGCCATTCTCTGGTCTAAAGTAGTGCACTACATAGGGAATAGGGTGCCATTCTCTGGTCTAAAGTAGTGCACTATATAGGGAATAGGGTGCCTTTTTGGGACGCACCCAGCGAGTGGCTCTTACTAACCTGGGCCCGGCCATTCCTCCTCCGTCCACCCATCGGACATCCTCCTCCAGGATGAGGTGACAGCGGGAAAGGATGCTCCTCAGGACCCTCTCTGACCCCTGGAGGAGGCTGCAGTCTGGGTGATCACTGCCAGTCCACTGCAACAGACTCTATAAAGGGGAACAGGTTTCAGTCAGAGAACCGCAATAATATAAAAATATATATTCAGTTTAGCAGACGCTTTTATCCAAAGCAAGTTACAGTAGTGCGTACATATTAATATGGCGGCCCCAGCGGGAATTGAGCCCACGACCCTGCCGTTGCAAGGGCCACGCTCAATCAACCGAGTCATACTTCTGCTCAGTGCACCTGTCCATTTGAGATATCATTCCTAGATTGGCTGTGATGGAGAGACGAGGAGGAGAAGTAGACCCACCTGAATAAGGGTTAGATAGCTGTGGATCCGAGAGACTGGTGCCAACAGCAGAGAGAACAGTTGGACCTCCTCTCTTTCCTTCTGATAGCTCTGTAACAACATAATTTATTTGTATTTATTTTATTTCACCTTTATTTAACCAGGTAAGCCAGTTGAGAACAAGTTCTCATTTACAACTGCGACCTGGCCAAGATAAAGCAAAGCAGTGCGATTAAAAACAACAACACAGAGTTACATATGGGAATAAACAAAACGTACAGTCAATAACACAATAGAAAATCTATATTCAGTGTGTGCAAATGTAGTAAGTTATGGAGGTAAGGCAATAAATAGGCCATAGTGCAAAATAATTACAATTATAATTTAGTATTAACACTGGAGTGATAGATGTGCAGAAGATGATGTGCAAATAGAGATACTGGGGTGCAAACGAGCAAAATAAATAACAATATGGGGATGAGGTAGTTGGGTGGGCTAATTTCAGATGGGCTGTGTACAGGTGCAGTGATCGGTAAGGTGCTCTGACAACTGATGCTTAAAGTTAGTGAGGGAGATAAGAGTCTCCAGCTCCAGAGATTTTTGCAGTTAGTTCCAGTCATTGGCAGCAGAGAACTGGAAGGAATGGCGGCCAAAGGAGGTGTTGGCTTTGGGGATGACCATTGAGATATACCCGCTGGAACGCAGACTACGGGTGGGTGTTGCTATGGTGACCAATGAGCTAAGATAAGGCGGGGATTTGCCTAGCAGTGATTTATAGATGATCTGGAGCCAGTGGATTTGGCGACGAATATGTAGTGAGGGCCAGCCAACGAGAGCGTACAGGTCACAGTGGTGGGTAGTATATGGGGCTTTGGTGACAAAACGGATGGCACTGTGATAGACTACATCCAATTTGCTGAGTAGAGTGTTGGAGGCTATTTTGTAAATGACATCGCCGAAGTCAAGGATCGGTAGGATAGTCCGTTTTACGAGGGCATGATTGGCAGCATGAGTGAAGGAGGCTTTGTTGCGAAATAGGAAGCCGATTCTAGATTTAACTTTGGATTGGAGATGCTTAATGTGAGTCTGGAAGGAGAGTTTACGGTCTAACCAGACACCTAGGTATTTGTAGTTGTCCACATATTCTAAGTCAGACCCGCCGAGAGTAGTGATTCTAGTCGGGCGGGGCGGGTGCAAGCAGCGTTCGATTGAAGAGCATGCATTTAGTTTTAATAAATGTGGGCATATTCAGACTACTACTCACTCACTACCATCAGTTTGAAAGAGAGGACGTTAAAGATCCAGTAAACCTAAGGATTACCTACCTGTGTGTTGTGCATTTTCCCATTGAGCATTATTCTGTTGAATTCTATAGAAAGGAACGTGGCCAGGGCTGTCGTGTATCCATGGTACATGTCCAAGAAAGATGACTAGAGGAGACAAACAGAGATGGTTGTGAGGAGGAGATAGATATATATTGTAATCTCTACAGTTTGAAAGAACAACCAAAAAGAGATAGTCAAGATGGGATCTCTGTACATTGCTGTACTTACATCATTGTGGCCTACAAGTTGGACGAAGATGTCTCCCACAAGGCCTTTCCAGTCCTGAGCAGACAGCCTCTGCTCCAGTGTGTTTCTGAACAGCAGGTGGCGCTGCAGCAACTCCTCCACAAACTTCAGGTACTTCTGACTACAGGAAAAAACAACGTTTTTAAGGGACGTCAATACCTCAATCCAGCTACCAATCAATATGGCCTGACTATTGATTGATAGGTAATTACCAGGGTGTCTGCATCCCAAATGTTTTTTGTACTTATACTAGTTTTTCTCCCCAATTTCATGATTTCCAAATTGATGGTTACAGTCTTGTCCCATCGCTGCAACTCCCCTACGGACTCGGGAGTGGCGAAGGTCGAGAGCCACGCGTCCTCCGGAACACGACCCTGCCAAGCCGCACTGCTTCTTGACACACTGCTCGCTTAACCCGGAAGCCAGCCGCACCAATGTGTCGGAAGAAACCAACTGGCGACCAAAGTCAGCTTGCAGGTGCCCGGGCACGCCACAAGGAGTCGCTAGAGCGCGATGGGACAAGTAAATCCCGGCCGGCCAAACCCTCCCCTAACCCGGACGACGCTGGGCCAATTGTGCGCCGCCTCATGGGTCTCCCGGTCACGGCCAGCTGTGACACAGCCTGGGATCGAACCCGGGTCTGTAGTGACGCCTCAAGCACTGCGATGCAGTGCCTTAGACTGCTGCGCCACTCGGGAGGCTGGCACCCTATTTTCTATAGCTAGGGCCCATAGGTCTCTGGTCAAAAGTAGCTAGGGAGAAGGGTGCCATTTGGGACGCAGCCTACAGATGTAGGATCTTAATTTGATCACTCTGTTGCAGGAGACCTTTCCTGCAATGCAGGAAATGTAAAACGTGTCGTTTTATTTGAGGTTTAAAAGGCTTCTGAAGTTTGTAATTTCCACTTTGAAATTTCAGACTTGATTTTCCTTTTTACGAAAAATGTATCAAACCCTACAAAAATTTCCATTTAATTATAATCCCCATAATAATTCACACAGCATTGGTTCAGTCCCAAATGGCACCTTATTCCCTAGACAGTGCACTACTTTTGGGAATATCTAGGGAATAAGGGTACTAGTTGGGACGCACACATGGTGTTGTGTTGACTGGTTTGGTTGGTCCTTACTATGGCTCCAGGTCCATCTGAAGAGCTGGAGGTGTTCTGTACTTGTCGTAGAGCTGGTTTAAGGTCGACACGTATTCCCATTCTGAGTGGAGAAGCTGCATCGTCACCTGGTGCCTTGCATCTATGGAAGAGAAGCTGGTGTATCACGGCAATATAGGCTTTGGTTGAAGCTCAATGGTCGATGAAAATGTGCAAATCAAGGAGGAACAAAATGAGGTCTGGACAAATGTTCTTAACTCTGTAAAGAATAAATCTCAGCTAAAGGATCGGAGAAAAAAAAATCATAAAGCCCAACAAATACATACGAACTACGCTGTATATACACACTGTATATACTTGAACTTTCATTGCTTTCAGGCCCACGGGGAATGGGTGGTATTGGGAGGGTTTTCTCTGGTCGCAGGTTTATGTTGAATTTATTTTCACTTAAACTATGCATGTTTAACTGTTATGGCACTTAAACTGTCCTCGAACTTGCAGCGTTTTCAGAGAATTGTGTGCGGCGACCTAGCTAGCTCAAATTCTAGACGTCGGATTAAATCGAGAATATAGTGCCCATAAAGTGACCATTGGATTTTTTTTTTATGTCGGATCGACAAAATGTGTAAGTGCAACTGTTTTCTTTAAATGTATAGTTTTTGCTCTCACGTGCTTATTTCTGACCATTAAGAACCAACAATGTGCTACTTTTTGTAGCATTTCTGACAATTCTAACATATTTCTCAGCCTCAAGCTCAGAGTTCTAACACCTGGTCGAAACAACTCGGTTTGCAGATATTTCGATTAGCTAACGTTACCTAGCTAATGTTAGCTAATGTTAGCGTGCTTGTCCAAAGTCCAGCAGCTAGACTGAGAGAATGCCAAGAGTTTGCAAAGCTGTCATCAAGGCAAAGGGTGGCTATTTGAAGAATCTCAAATATAAAATATATTTTGATTTGTTTAACACTTTTTTTGGTCACTACATGATTCCATATGTATTATTTCATAGTTTTGATGTTTTCACTATTATTCTACAATGCAAACTGGCTCTAACCAGAATAAAAAGAGGAGTGGGAGGCCCCGGTGCACAACTGAGCAAGAGGACAAATACATTAGTGTCTAGTTTGAGAAACAGGCGCCTCACAGGTCCTCAACTGGCAGCTTCATTAAATAGTACCCGCAAAACACCAGTCTCAAAGTCAACAGTGAAGAGGTGACTCTGGGATGCTGACCTTCTAGGCAGAGTTGCAAAGAAAAAGTCCAGTGTCTGTGTTCTTTTGCCCATCTTAATCTTATATTTGTATTGGCCAGTCTGAGATATGGCTTTTTCTTTGCAACTCTGCCTAGAAGGTCAGCATCCCGGAGTCGCCTCTTCACTGTTGACGTTGAGACTGGTGTTTTGCGGGTACTATTTAATGAAGCTGCCAGTTGAGGACCTGTGAGGCGGCTGTTTCTCAAACTAGACACTCTAATGTATTTGTCCTCTTCCTCAGTTGTGCACCGGTGCCTCCCACTCCTCTTTCTATTCTGGTTAGAGACAGTTTGCGCTGTTCTGTGAAGGGAGTAGTACACAGTCTTGTACGAGATCTTCAGTTTCTTGGCAATTTCTTGCATGGAATAGCCTTCAATTCTCAGAACAAGAATAAACTGACGAGTTTCAGAAGAAAGTTATTTGTTTGTGGCCATTTTGAGCCTGTAATCGAACCCACAATTGCTGATGCTCCAGATACTCAACTAGTCTTCTTTAATCAACAGTTTTCAGCTGTGCTAAAATAATTGCAAAAGGGTTTTCTAATGGTCAATTAGCCTTTTAAAATGATAAACTTGGATTAGCAAACACAACGTGCCATTGGAACACAGAACTGATGGTTGCTGATAATGGGCCTCTGTACGCCTATGTAGATATTCCATAAAAAAATCAGCAGTTTCCAGCTACAATAGCCATTTACAAAATTAACAATGTCTACACTGTATTTCTGATCAATTTGATGTTATTTCAAATGGACAAAAAAATTGCTTTTCTTTCGAAAACAAGGACATTTCTAAGTGACCCCAAACTTTTGAACGGTAGTGTATATATAGTGCATTCGGAAAGTATTGAGACCCCTTGACTTCTTCCACATTTTGTTAGGTTACAGCCTTATTCTAAAATTTATTAAATCGTTTTTTTTCTCATCAATCTACACACAATACCCCATAATGACAAAGCAAAAACAGGTTTTTATAAATTGTTGCTAATTTATTAAAAATAAAAACTGAAATATCACATTTACATAAGTATTCAGACCCTTTACTCAGTACTTTGTTGAAGCACCTTTGGCAGCGATTACAGCCTCAAGTCTTTTTGGGTATGACGCTACAAGCTTGGCACACCTGTATTTGGGGAGTTTCTCTCATTCTTCTTTGCAGATCCTCTCAAGCTCTGCGTTGCTGCACAGTTATTTTCAGGTCTCTCCAGAGATGTTCGATCAGGTTCAAGTCCGTGCTCTGGCTGGGCCAGTCAAGGACATTCAGAGACTTGTCCCGAAGCCACTCCTGCGTTGTCTTGGCTGTGTGCTTAGGGTCGTTGTCCTGTTGGAAGGTGAACCTTCGCCCCAGTCTGAGGTCTTGAGCGCTCTGGAGCAGGTTTTCATCAAGGATCTCTCTGTACTTTGCTCCGTTCATCTTTGCCTCGATCCTGACTAGTCTCCCAGTCCGACCGCATTCTGTCCCCTTTTGAAACTTTTGGTGCCAGCGAGATTGACATAAGAAAGTATTGAAGACGACCAGCTTGATTGAGTCTCCGCCACGTATATCTCACTAGGTCAGGATATTTAAGCCTCCATATATATCCACTAGTTCCAATATATCCATGACATTTGTGATTTCCTTAAGTGCATGAGGGTGATAATTTGTAATGTGACTTCCATGATGATCCATTGAGGTATTTAAAACCATATTATAATCTTCATTGCTAGTGTTACAAAATAATTGTTTACGTTTTCATTTTACTCTGAGAGCCATTTTATCTTGGGGGGTGGGAAGGACAATACTGAATTGTAGTTTTAGAAGGTAAGACCTTTTTTCTTGTTATTAAAATATTGTGATTCTCATAATTGTACTAGACAAAAAACGGTGTATCGGTAGTCCTATAGGGATGCGAGTTCAAGGTGCTGAAGGTATCTTATTTATGTACATTTATCACGCTTGTGTGATTTTGTGATAAAACTGGGACTACTCTGCTTGTTTGGAATTTTGAATAAATAAACAAATCAGAATTTCTGGAGTCAAAGGATCTAGTCACAGCCTATGTAATATTGCATTAGTCAGGGTTTGAGAAGGATTTAATCAGCCAGAATAGTTTACGGTGGAAGCTCTTGCATAGGAAAGTGTTAGGTAACATAGGTACTAGGTGCAGAGGATTGCCCGCTAAACTTTAAATCCTTCTTGTTTAGCCTGAGATATCAAACAGGCTAGACACAGCTAGGGGATGTTAAGGTTAATCAGCCTTTTCTGGGGCCCCCCTGAACTGAGACAGGGAATAATCAGCCTTTTCTGGGGCCCCTTGAACTGAGACAGGGAATAATCAGCCTTTTCTGGGGGCCCCTGAACTGAGACAGGGAATAATCAGCCTTTTCTGGGGCCCCCTGAACTGAGACAGGGAATAATCAGCCTTTTCTGGGGCCCCCTGAACTGAGACAGGGAATAATCAGCCTTTTCTGGGGCCCCCTGAACTGAGACAGGGAATAATCAGCCTTTTCTGGGGCCCCCTGAACTGAGACAGGGAATAATCAGCCTTTTCTGGGGGTGAACTGAGACAGGGAATAATCAGCCTTTTCTGGGGCCCCCCTGAACTGAGACAGGGAATAATCAGCCTTTTCTGGGGCCCCCCTGAACTGAGACAGGGAATAATCAGCCTTTTCTGGGGCCCCCTGAACTGAGACAGGGAATAATCAGCCTTTTCTGGGGGTGAACTGAGACAGGGAATAATCAGCCTTTTCTGGGGCCCCCTGAACTGAGACAGGGAATAACCTTTCAGGGCCCCCTGAACTGAGACGGGAATAATCTGGGGCCCCTGAACTGAGACAGGGAATAATCAGCCTTTTCTGGGGCCCCCTGAACTGAGACAGGGAATAATCGACTGTTCTTGGGATAGGTAGATTCGATTGAGCATTGGTTTAAAGGGGGTTTCGACACTAGCTAGAACCAGACAACAGCAGCTAACCTCAACACAGTAGCTAGCTAACATTAACTAGCTCACGTCCAAATGCCAGTCCTACATTTTCCCACAAAACTGCTAGCTAGCCAAATCAGATCTAGCAAAATCAGTTCAACACCAAACTTTCGGCAAATTGTCATGCTGCTACCTTACAATGCATGCAATAGGCTTTTGCAACATTAGCTAGCTAGCTATGCCATAGTCCAAGCTACGGTAAGAGCTAGCCACTTTTCACTGTCAGACAGGACACAACCACAGAGAAGAATGAGACAGATATTTCACCAGATGTATAAATGTGAAGCATCCGCTTTGTGTTTCCACTCACTACCAAATATGGCTCCGTGGGAGAAGACGGAGCGAGATGGATTTTGGCCGACATTCTGCACATTTTCTCATCGATTGAAACGTTTGATCTCAATACAATTTTCTGTTCCCAAAACTAGAATATATGTTACGAACAGAGTGGAATAAGTTTTGTAGACTTTTCCCCTTTTGCCTTAGTTTGAAAAAAGTGCGTTGTTTAGAAGGAGTGCAAAGGTGAATTTAGCTATTGCACACTTCAGAGAGTAGGCGTTCGCTAACTGAAATATGCACATGTATGCTAGAACGCGCCAATAGGATCTCGCTAGCTCGTACATGGCTCTGCCTACATCCTTGCTTGTTCTGCCCACTATGACTCAATTGTTCCCATTTGAAACGACGGGCTGTGGTCTATCTTGGTTTAGTACAAAAAAAAATATTTCACAACTCTGTGTACCTTTTTTGTAAGGGTTTTGGCTAGAAACAAGATGCAGAAGGCACAAGAAAGATGCAGCTCTAGTGTACATAGGGATATGTTTAGTGTCTGTGGCGGAGTTATCCGACCTTCAAAAGTCAATGACAAAACCGTTTTCTTTTACTCTGCTTTCAAATGGGAATTTAGTCATATTTTACAATGTCGCAATCATTTGAGCTATTCACCTTCTGAAATCTGCAGACAATTACTTTTGACTATCCATGGTAAATTCTACACATAATTTAATAGTTTGTTGAAAACTGATTTTAGCTATTAGAGGGCAATAGCCAGCAGACCAGGGTTTAAACCAGCAACCCTTGTAGTTATGCAAGCACACCACCTGTGCCATGAAGACCTTTTGGCAGAGGCCAAGTTAAAGGTTACAATAGCACTGCCAATAACAGACTTTTGGTTGCTCAAAACAAATCTGCCTTTGCATGTGGAAATGTAGGATGCACCTTTAACAGAAAAAAATCACCTGCCAGTGTAAAAACCATGGAAATTAAAAAACAAACAAATGCGTTTTAAGTGAGAAGTAGGCATCGGTCTGAAGCAGAAAAAGAAAGGAAATTCACATTAGCACCACAACGCCTACTCCACCCATGCTCTACCAAGGTTTTTCCAGGACACAGCTTTGACCTACTGCAGTAGCTACGTCGGTCTGTTGTACTTCAAACTATCAACTTCTAAATAGAAACAATATTATGAGACTAAAAGCTCTTATAGAAATCTGGGCCAATGTTCATAACGTTTTCAAAGTAGGAGTGATGATACAGGATCAAGTCCCCCCCCCCACCCCTCTGATTTAAAAAGCCAAACTGATCCTGGATCAGCGCTCATACTCTGAGATCCTTTTTTGAATACCTTTTTTTGCCGCATCCGAATAAACAAGTTAAGGCCGCGGTTCCCAAAGTCGGTCCTGGGGACCCCAAGAAGTGCACGTTTTAGTTTTTTTGCCCTAGCGGAACTGATTCAAATAATCTAAGCTTGATGATGATGTTGATTATTTTAAAATCAGCTGTGTAGTGCTAAGGCAAAAAAAAGAAAAAAAGTGCACTCCTTGGCGTTCCCCAGGAACGAGTTTGGGAAACGTTGAGTTAAGGCTTTACAGAGAGAGTGTATAAAACAGCTTGGACCCACCTGTCCCCTCACACATCCCTGCCTTGAGCCCCTGCAGGTAGCAGTGGAGCAGGACTCTGCCCCTGTTAGAAGACGATGATGTGCTGCTGCTGGCACTGCACTCACAGTGCCTCCTCCCATTCACCACAAGACCTGTATTACTACCAGATAGTAAAGACCTGTATTACTACCAGATAGTAAAGACCTGTATTACTACCAGATAGTAAAGACCTGTATTACTACCAGATAGTAAAGACCTGTATTACTACCAGATAGTAAAGACCTGTATTACTTCCAGATAGTAAAGACCTGTATTACTACCAGATAGTAAAGACCTGTATTACTACCAGATAGTAAAGACCTGTATTACTACCAGATAGTAAAGACCTGTATTACCACCAGATAGTAAAGACCTGTATTACCACTAGATAGTAAAGACCTGTATTACTACCAGATAGTAAAGACCTGTATTACTACCAGATAGTAAAGACCTGTATTACTACCAGATAGTAAAGACCTGTATTACTACCAGATAGTAAAGACCTGTATTACTACCAGATAGTAAAGACCTGTATTACTACCAGATAGTAAAGACCTGTATTACTACCAGATAGTAAAGACCTGTATTACTACCAGATAGTAAAGACCTGTATTACTACCAGATAGTAAAGACCTGTATTACTACCAGATAGTAAAGACCTGCATTACTACCAGATAGAAATCAATCTGGGTGCCTAGATTCTCCTAAAACACACTTTGGCAAGAAAAGAAGATGGCTGCTAGCCTGAAATCCAGAACCTGTTATGTGCTATACCATTCCACTCCTTGTACTCCGTGTCATTGCCAAACATTTGGGATGACAAGGAGTGGAATGATAGCAGAAACAAACTGGTACCCAGGCTAGATAGCTGCTGGACACTATCGATCTAATGCAACACATGTATTAATGCTTTGACGACAAGCTACGGTATATCTTGATAAAGACCAGCATATTAATCAATCATTACTATCTACAGACGATTTAGTGGTGTCTGTATGGACATTTTACTGTTTACCTGTCTCTCTGGGTTGCCAGAGATGATTGTGTCACCTTTACCTCCTGCTGCATAGGAGGCCTCTGCCTGCTGCTGCCACAGAGTTGCAGGATCTGGCAACGCATCTCTCCCAGTTCATCCTGTGGGGTAAAAATTATTGAATGTTTACATAATCTTCTCTGGGTTGTTGTTTTAGCAAGATCGTGATCCTCGTTCCATAGTCTCTATGCTCTTATAAAAGCCTTGGCCGAGATTAAATCCGATCACACTTTGTAGAGCGTTGTCGACTATGCGCCATTCAAAGGCAATGTTCCTGGGGACCCATCTCTTTGGTATCATAACCTGCTTGAACTCCATCTCACCCTGAGAGATTCGACCAGGGTCTCCATGCGCAGGGCCTTTCTCTCACAGCTCCTCCGGGCCTCCCCCACCTCCTCCCTGATATCACTGTCTCCATGCTGGATCTGACTCAGCTCATACAGAGCGCTGGAGAAGCCCACCTTCAGCTCTGACACCAGGCCCTGGAGCTGATGGTTGGATGGATGGATGGATGGATGGATGGATGGATGGATGGATGGATGGATGGATGGATGGATGGATGAACAGATACAGGACATGGATAGATAGATAGTGTCAGGTCGTTATAGTAAAAGAGAATGTGTTCTCAATGACTTAGGCCAGGACTCAATCCGATCGTGGGTTGGCGACAATGCGGCTTGAATCGAGGCCTTACTTGGTTAAATAAAGGCAAAATAACACACACACTGAACAAAAATATAAAAGCAACATGCAAAGTGTTGGTCCCATGTTTCATGAGCTGAAATATAACATCCCAGAAATGTTCCATACGGACAAAAATATTATTTCTCCAAAATGTGGTGCACAAATGTGTTTATATCCCTGTTAGTGAGCATGTCTCCTTTGCCAAGATAATCTTATGGAATGGGCAGGCATAAGCTACGGACAATGAACACAATTGCATTTTATTGATGGCAATTTGAATGCACAGAGATACCGTGATGAGATCCTGAGGACCATTGTCGTGCCATTCATCCACCACCATCATCACATGTTTCAGCATGATAATTCACGGCCCAATGTCGCAAGGATCTGTACACAATTCCTGGAAGGTGAAAATGTCCCAGTTCTTCCATGGCCTGCATACTCACCAGACGTCACCCATTGAGCATGTTTGGGATGCTCTGGATCGACGTGTACGACAGCGTGTTCCAGTTCCCGCCACTATCCAGCAACTTCGCACAGCCATTGAAGAGGAGTGGGACAACATCCCACAGGCCACAATCAACAGCCTGATCAACTCTATGCGAAGGAAATGTGTCGTGCTGCATGGCAAATGGTGGTCACACCAGATACTGATTGGTTTTCTGATCCAAGCCCCTACCTTTTTTTTAAGGTATCTGTGACCAACAGATGTATATCTGTATTCCCAGTCATGTGAAATCCATAGATTAGGCCCTAATTAATGTATTTCAATTGAGTGATTTCCTTATACGAACTGTCTGTAACTCAGTAAAATCTTTGAAATTGTTGCATGTTGCGTTTATATTTTTGTTCAGTATAAATAGACAGTGGTCACACAATGGTTGTGTAAACATTTGTGTACAGACAAACTCTCCATTGCATCACCAACAAAAAAATATCAGTTGTATCACAACCATTGTGTCAACTCGATGCCTATTTTATGGGCCCTGTACACACGCAGGTTGTACAACTGATTTGCAACGCATTTGGCGAAACCGTTGTGACACAACGGAGAGTTTAAACTGCACACAAGCTTTTTCTATTGTTTCACCATAAATATCAGTTGTATCACAACCATTGTGTCAAATGCATTATGCATCAGTTGTCCAACCTGAGTGTGTGCGTGGCCATTGTCCTCAGAAAGGAAAAGTGTTTCCACAGCCTGTCAACATTAAAAAGATCAACATTCAATTAGATAACACAACACAGTGTACAGGCTACAACATAAAGCAGAGGAAACTATGAGGAGGTAGCTATATCAGAGATGGTCAGAGATGGTCAGACCTGTGTCCCAAATGGCACCCTATTCCCTATATAGTGCCCTGGTCAAAAGTAGTGCACTATATATCAAATAGGGTGTCATTTAGGACGCAAACCAGACTTTGGGTGTGCTCTAAAACATGGTGAATACACAGGAGGTAGGTAACATGGTGAATACACAAGAGGTAGTTAACATGGTGAATACACAGGAGGTAGTTAACATGGTGAATACACAGGAGGTAGTTAACATGGTGAATACACAGGAGGTAGGTAACATAGTGAATACACAGGAGGTAGTTAACATGGTGAGGGAGGATAATCAGGGAGTAAACAGGTTTACCTTGGAGATCTCACTGACTAGCTCGCCCTCCTGAGGCTTCATAACCTCTGTGGGAAGAACAGCAAACATTTATAAACACAAACTCTTGTCAGCTCATCACATTCATCCCAAAGCTCAGCTCGCCACCTCCCTTTACAAAAAAAGATTGCAGTTTTGAAAACTGCAGTAAAAGTGCAGTAACTGCAGTGGACTGTGGTATTTCACTCTAACTGCAGTTACACTGCAAAATTACTGCAATCTTTTTTTTGCAGCTGTGGAGCGGATGCAACAACTGTGAGTACAGTATTTGTTTCCTGATGTTCCCTAACGGAGTTGTCATCATTTTTTTGTCATGTAGTATTTTATGCACTCGTTGTTATGCTAGCTAAGTAGCTTTTCCTGTCATATTAGCTGGCTAGCTAGATAAGTTGTTGCTAGCCATTTTGTGTCTCGTTTTGAATCACATATATATATATATATATAAATATAAAAATCGAGTGCACAAATTAAATTCTAGATATACAGTGAGGGAAAATAGTATTTGATCCCCTGCTGATTTTGTACGTTTGCCCACTGACAAAGACATGATCAGTCTATAATTTTAATGGTAGGTTTATTTGAACAGTGAGAGACAGAATAACAACAACAAAATCCAGAAAAATGAATGTCAAAAATGTTATAAATTGATTTGCATTTTAATGAGGGAAATAAGTATTTGACCCCTCTGCAAAACATGACTTAGTACTTGGTGGCAAAACCCTTGTTGGCAATCACAGAAGTCAGACGTTTCTTGTAGTTGGCCACCAGGTTTGCACACATCTCAGGAGGGATTTTGTTCCACTCCTCTTTGCAGATCTTCTCCAAGTCATTAAGGTTTCGAGGCTGACGTTTAGCAACTCGAACCTTTAGCTCCCTCCACAGATTTTCTATGGGATTAAGGTCTGGAGACTGGCTAGGCCACTCCAGGACCTTAATGTGCTTCTTCTTGAACCACTCCTTTGTTGCCTTGGCCGTGTGTTTTGGGTCATTGTCATGCTGGAATACCCATCCACGACCCATTTTCAATGCCCTGGCTGAGGGAAGGAGGTTCTCACCCAAGATTTGACGGTACATGGCCCCGTCCATCGTCCCTTTGATGCGGTGAAGTTGTCCTGTCCCCTTAGCAGAAAAACACCCCCAAAGCATAATGTTTCCACCTCCATGTTTGACGGTGGGGATGGTGTTCTCGGGGTCATAGGCAGCATTCCTCCTCGGCGAGTTGAGTTGATGCCAAAGAGCTCAATTTTGGTCTCATCTGACCACAACACTTTCACCCAGATCTCCTCTGAATCATTCAGATGTTCATAGGCAAACTTCAGACGGCCCTGTATATGTGCTTTCTTGAGCAGGGGGACCTTGCGTGCGGTGCAGGATTTCAGTCCTTCACGGCATAGTGTGTTACCAATTGTTTTCTTGGTGACTGTGGTCCCAGCTCTCTTCAGGTCATTGACCAGGTCCTGCCGTGTAGTTCTGGGCTGATCCCTCACCTTCCTCATGATCATTGATGCCCCACGAGGTGAGATCTTGCATGGAGCCCCAGACCGAGGGTGATTGACCGTCATCTTGAACTTCTTCCATTTTCTAATAATTGTGCCAACAGTTGTTGCCTTCTCACCAAGCTGCTTGCCTATTGTCCTGTAGCCCATCCCAGCCTTGTGCAGGTCTACAATTGTATCCCTGATGTCCTTACACAGCTCTCTGGTCTTGGCCATTGTGGAGATGTTGGAGTCTGTTTGATTGAGTGCCTGGACAGGTGTCTTTTATACAGGTAACGAGTTCAAACAGGTGCAGTTAATACAGGTAATGAGTGGAGAACAGGAGGGCTTCTTAAAGAAAAACGAACAGGACTGTGAGAGCCGGAATTCTTACTGGTTGGTAGGTGATCAAATACTTATGTCATGCAATAAAATGCAAATTAATTACTTAAAAATCATACAATGTGATTTTCTGGATTTTTGTTTTAGATTCCATCTCTCACAGTTGAAGTGTACCTATGATAAAAATTACAGACCTCTACATGCTTTGTAAGTAGGAAAACCTGCAAAATCGGCAGTGTATCAAATACTTGTTCTCCCCACTGTATATGGGCTATTTGACCAAGAAGGAGAGTGTTGGAGTGCTGCATCAGATGACCTGGCCTCCACAATCCCCCGACCTCAACCCAATTGAGATGGTTTGGGATGAGTTGGACCACAGAGTGAAGGAAAAGCAACCAACAAGTGCTCAGCATATGTGGGAACTCCTTCAAGACTGTTAGAAAAGCATTCCTGGTGAAACTGGTTGAGAGAATGCCAAGAGTGTGCAAAGCTGTCATCAAGGCAAAGGGTGGCTATTTTGAAGAATCTCAAATCAAATATATTTTGATTTGTTTAACACTTTTTTGGTTACTACATGATTCCATATGTGTTATTTCATAGTTTATGTCTTCAATGTTATTCTACAATGTAGAAAATAGTAAAACTAAAGAAAAACCCTGGAATGATTAGGTGTGTCCAAACTTTTGACTGGTACTGTATGTATGTGTTATATATGTATTATTATATATGTATTATCATAGCAGAGAAGAGTCGTTTAGCTCTAGTGCTTGTTATTTGCTAATTAATATGTGCCTTATTCTAAGATGTCAAGCCATTGTATTGATGCCATTCTATTGTATTGTTTAACTTTCAGACCCCAGTGTATGGACACACAACATGGCTGTACCTCTCTGATCACAGGTTAGCACAGAGAGCTCCATAATTCCTCTGGGAATTCATTCTTCCTATCCTCCAAACCAGATTGGATATCAGGGAGGGACAGAGCGGTGACAAAGGCCCGGCATTTAACCAGCATTCTCTCCGTCTGCTCCTGCTCTCTCCGTAGTCATGGTGAATCCCTAACCTCTTCCTCACCATGTCAATATAATCTATAGAACGAGTTTACTAACCTCTTCCTTACCATGTAAATATAATCTATAGAACGAGTTTACCACTCAAACTGCCAGGGTTAGATGTTCAAAGCTCTTTCTATAGATTATATGTTCCTAACTAACCAAGTCACTGACTGACACAATAAAACATGTTAAAAAAAAACATCGAACAAAAGTTTTGTATTTCATTATAAAATACGAAGTGCAACATTAACAAGTTGTTAGTCTTGACAACCTGACTGAATATTATGTCCTGCTGTCTGTCTCCAATAAATATTTTCAAGAAGGAAACCTGCAACGAATCATAAACGTAGTGTACTTATGGTACTCTACTCAGTGCCCTGTTAGTGTCTGTTTATAGTACCTGAGCTAGGGTTGCCCCTGCCAGCAATTCCCCTGGTGAGGGGGAAGTGACTAACCTGCCAAACAGCTCTACACTGCAGGGGCGAAAGATAGAGGCCAAACTACCTCCTTCTAAGCCTAACAGCAGAAGGACATATCAGTTACAGTATTATAACATAAAGACAGCCCATACACCAGTCAATACCTACACGTCTTCAGATGTTAACCAGTTGATAAGTAATTCCATTCTATTCTATTTTAATATATTAGGTTCACCTGGAAAGAAAAGTGATTTCTGAAATCCTGTTTTAAAACATTAATATAGAATTACAATGTATCACCTTTGTTCTTTAAAAGTAATAATTACATCTAAAAGTTATAATAATGATGTAGTCTAACATCAAGTCAACCTGCCCTTAAGGAAATGATGAAACATCTTCAAATTAAATTCTACTAACAATTTGATGATACTATTAACGTTATCTTACCGTTATTTGCCACCGCCATTCAGATCATCAAGAAACATCTCATCAAGTCAAATGTGCTCCATCCAAATCCACTTTTCTTAGCAAAAACGGACATCTCATTAATTGGCACTGCACTTGTGGCGGCGCCCTGAACCTTTGGTAGCGGGTGCATTTGTACGAGGAAAAAACACGGACAGATACTTCGATTCAGTTCGTGTCTCCTGGGCGCGTCTGTGCAAGATGAGCAACCTGCAAATAAAACAATTTAAAATGAAAGAGTTGTTTGGAATGGCGGGCTACTCCGAGGCGGGCTACTCCGAGGCGGGCTACTCCGGGGCGGGCTACTCCGGGGCGGGCTACTCCGAGGCGGGCTACTCCGGGGCGGGCTACTCCGAGGCGGGCTACTCCGGGCGGGCTACTCCGAGGCGGGCTACTCCGGGGCGGGCTACTCCGAGGCGGGCTACTCCGGGGCGTAAATCGAGTGCCCCCATAGGCGTGGTCGAGTAGAGCGTGGATCTGATTGGCTGGTTTGGACGCTAGTGTGTTTTTAAATCGGAGCTGACTAGCTTTCGCGAACCGTCTGTCTAAAGGAGCTAGCTGTCAACATTGGTTGGCACATCAATTCGTGGTGTATTTGGTAAGAAATTATTTAATTTTTCCGTTCAGAATAGCTTCTGATTAACTTCAGGCAATGTTCTCACGTTGCCATAAAAAATAGTTAGCAATCCATTAGCGTCAGCTAGCTAGCGCGATGGTAAGTCCATAGCTAGGTCAGCCAGCTAGTTAGCTCGTGGATCATTCATATCAAAACATTATCTAGCTACCTAACAATTAATTTATATCACTGATTCCCCTTTAACACAGATATGAGAGATCTTACAGGAGTTAACGTTAACTTGAAACAGCGCTTGACCAAGACGGTCTTGTAGACATGGGGTGTGTGTTTAGTCGAAAGTGGCCCAGTGTATCTACTTGTTCTGTCATTACAGTAACTAGCTAGCGGTTAATGTCATTAAAATGTGCGTGACTGACATACCTTCCTCCCAACCCTCAGCCAGCAGCAATGAGGACCAGTGAGTTTGATTCATCATCTGATGAAGAGGAAGTTTGTGAAGAGGAGCTGACGCCGTTCCAGATCTCCTGGCAAGTTTCTCACTGACACATTACTCAGGGCAAAGGTCACTGGCCTGGTCACACACTGATCAAGTAGGTAACCCATGTATCTATACATACAGTGCCTTGCAAAAGTATTCGTTTTTCCTATTTTGTTGCATTACAACCTGTAATTTAAATGGATTATTATTTTTATTTCATGTAATGGACATACACAAACTAGTCCAAATTGGTGAAGTGAAATGAAGAAAAATAAATAATAGAAAAGTGGTGCGTGCATATGTATTCACCCCCTCCGCTATGAAGCCCTTAAATAAGATCTGGTGCAACCAATTACCTTCAGAAGTCACATAATTAGTTAAATAAAGTCCACCTGTGTGCAATCAAAGTGTCACATGATCTCAGTATATAAACACCTGTTCTGAAAGGCCCCAGAGTCTGCAACACCACTAAGCAAGGGGCACCATGAAGACCAAGGAGCTCTCCAAACAGGTCAGGGACAAAGTGGTGAAGTACAGATCAGGGTTAGGTTATAAAAAAAGATCAGAAACTTTGAACATCCCACGGAGCACCATTAAATCCATTATTAAAAAATTGAATGAATATGGCACCACAACAAACCTGCCAAGAGAGGGCCGCCCACCAAAACTCACAGACCAGGCAAGGCGGGCATTAATCAGAGAGGCAACATAGAGACCAAAGATAACCGTGAAGGAGCTGCAAAGCTCCACAGCGGAGATTGGAGTATCTGTCCATAGGACCACTTTAAGCCGTACACTCCACAGAGCTGGGCTTTACGGAAGAGTGTCCAGAAAAAAGCCATTGCTTAAAGAAAAAAATAAGTAAACACGGCATGTGGGAGACTCCCCAAACATATGGAAGAAGGTACTCTGGTCAGATGAGACTAAAATTGAGCTTTTTGGCCATCAAGGAAAACGCTATGTCTGGCGCAAACCCAACACCTCTCATCACCCCGAGAACACCATCCCAACAGTGAAGTGTGGTGGCAGCATCATGCTGTGGGGATGTTTTTCATCGACAGGGATTGGGAAACTAGTCAGAATTGAAGGCATGATGGATGCCGCTAAATACAGGGAAATTCTTGAGGGAAACCTGTTTCAGTCTTCCAGAGATTTGAGACTGGGATGGAGGTTCACCTTCCAGCAGGACAATGAGGTAATGACCCTAAGCATACTGCTAAAGCAACACTTGAGTGGTTTAAGGGGAAACATTTAAATGTCTTAGAATGGCCTAGTCAAAGCCCAGACCTCAATCCAATTGAGAATCTGTGGTATGACTTAAAGATTGCTGTACACCAGCGGAACCCATCCAACTTGAAGGAGCTGGAGCAGTTTTGCCTTGAAGAATGGGCAAAAATCCCAGTGGCTAGATGTGCCAAGCTTATAGAGACATACCCCAAGAGACTTGCAGCTGTAATTGCTGCAAAAGGTGGCTCTACAAAGTATTGACTTTGGGGGGGTGAATAGTTATGCACGCTCAAGTTTTCAGTTTTTTTTTGTCTTATTTCTTGTTTGTTTCACAATAACACATATTTTCCATCTTCAAAGTGGTAGGCATGTTGTGTAAATCAAATGATACAAACCCCCCCCCAAAAAATACATTTTAATTCCAGGTTGTAAGGCAACAAAATAGGAATAATGCCAAGGTGGGTGAATACTTTTGCAAGCCACTGTAGCCTAATGGGCCTGGTAGCAAATGGATCAACCGTTCTCCCTGACAGGTTGCCGCTGTCCGCAGCGGAGTGCTCCCAGTTTATTGGAATATGTCCTTTGCCAGGGTGCAAATTCAAAGACATCCGAAGAAATTTACAGCGAGACGTTGGTAAGTTGACCTATTTCCGTGAAATGAAGTCTCATAATAGTAGGCTAATTCCCCTAAGAGAGGCTATGGTTAGACCGGATGGATGGGTTGTTATGTCTTTGTCCGCATGGGCAATCCATTGTCGGTGGGGGGGGGGGGATGATTATTCTGTCTTTTCGGTGCAGTCTAGGCCGATGTGACTGCAATAATGTAGTGTTGTTCTGAATCGGCTTGATGACATCATGTCCCAAATGGCACCCCTCTGGATAGGAGCGTCTGCTAAATGACTAAAATGTAAAATGTGTGTACTTTTGTAAGGGAATAGGGTACCATTTGGGGGACACCTACAGTATTATTTATATTTTTATATATATATATATATATATATATATCTTCATGTCTTTTGTCCAGGTGAGCTGCAGAACCAGGGGGTGGAGGATGTGTTTGTGTTCTGTACCAGGGGAGAGCTCCATAAGTACCGTGTGCCTCGCCTCCTGGAGGCCTACAGGCTGCAGGGGCTCCGGGTGCACCACCTGCCCTTCCCTGACGGGGGCACCCCCGACCTGGAGCACTGCTGCCAGATACTGGAGGCACTGCAGGCCAACCTACACAACAACAGGAAGACTGTCATCCAGTGAGTAGGAAAGAGTATTTCGTTTGGATTACGGATGGTGTCATGCAATACAATTATGCACTTTTTTTTTTTTTTTTTTTGAGAAGTTCACGTTTGACTTGATGCATTCATTTTAGCTCCTATTGGCGCAAAATCAAAAGATTTGCGATGGTGGTTTCTGTTTTTAAAGTGTAGGTTTTTGTCTTTACAATACGAACAAGTGTTTAACTACTCATGTTCTCTGTGCTTCTCTCCTCAGTTGTTACGGAGGCCTGGGTCGCTCTGGACTAAGTATGTGTTGTTATTTTTATTTTTTCTTGACTCTGAACGGGTGTCTCTGTCGCAACATCGTCAACATGACGTCTCTCTCTTTCAACAGTTGCTGCCTGTCTGCTCCTCAAGCTGTCCGTCTCCATGACTCCCGACAAAGCCATCGAGATCCTGAGAGAGCACAGAGGGGGCGGGGCCATTCAGACAGTCAAGGTGATGAGATGCTTCTAATCTTTCTTTTAAAAAATCGCTTATTATTGTAGAAGCCTGGTCCCAGATCTGTTTGTGCTCTTGTGCGAACTCCATTGATGTCATTGTCGAGCTATAAAGTTGGGCATGACAATTCCATGAGTTGTCAAGAGAGCAGAAACGGATCTGGAACCACTAATGTATTGTTTGTCTGGATTGTCTATAATGTTGCTGTAATTTCCCTTTTGATCAGCAATACAACTTCTTGCATGAGTTCCGGGAAAAATACTCTGCCTACCAAGAAAGCAAAGCAGTCTCAACAGAGCGATCGGTGTCGCGGTGATTCTATTCCCCTTCAACCCTTTAGAAGAGCTCAGTTATCATCTCGTTTTAAATTTAATTGGGAGTAATAAAAAGCATTGAATGAATATCAACTCTCTCAAGAAGAGATGGTTTGACATGATTGTGTGAGAATGTGTTCTTTATAGCACTTTAAAAAAAGGATGTCGTTTGTTCTAGTACACCCATTGTTCTAAAAACTAAGTTTCGGGGATGATGGTGTTGCTGTGCTCTCCGATATATCTGCTTTACATTGTGATTTATGGATGAGCACTGATACCTGATGTGGGTTGCAAGAACTGTTTTGATTCAAAACGATTAAATAAAGTGGTTTCTATCCAGGACTGTTGTGTTCCGAGGCATGAGCTCCCGAGTTTCTACAGCTCGATACAGTCTAATACTGGCTCAGCTATAGCCGCCCGATTGAACCAGGAAATGAAACCAATCTAGTGTAGTGGGGTAGGTTTATTTGGAGTCGGAACTCAAGTTTACAGACGTTACGGTCATTTTCGATTGGGCCGACCACGTGGAGCGTTTACCATGAATGTGGTCTCCGAACATTGGCCTTAAAAACGTGCATAGCGGACAAAACGAGATCAGATTGAATCTTTTCCTTGGTGAAATGAGCTACTCTAGTATGAATGTGGACATTTTAAAAGGCAAGAAAATATTAAATGTATAACATATCATCCTACTTCCTGATGACCTTACAGGTCAACTACAGAAGACATTGGGATAACAACAATCTTGATCTTTTTAGAAAGTCATCCCACGTTCTTGCATTTGGAAATACAAATCTGATTTTTTAAAAATCCTGAAATCTGCAAGTTTGAGAAAATAAAACATCACTGCTGCAGCAACATCCGTTAGGTCACAATGTAATAGGAGTGAAACACCTTGTGAACTTTTACAAGACATTCTCAATCTAGAATAAAAAAAAAGTGATAATGGTTAATTTTAGTAGCCATAATTTGAAATATACATTTTTTAAGTAAAGCCAAATCTATCAACCGGTACATTATGGAGTTGGTTGTTTTTCCTTTTGAGTTCATAGCCGGTTCAATGGTTACACAGATATTCCTCAGTAGGAACGTTTCATGATCACACACACACACACACGTTTCGGGGATTTCTGTAGCATCACATCAAATAGCCTATTAGAATCTGCTGCCAAGGAAAAACACCCCTTAAAGTGAGTATGTATGACAAGGGCTACAAAAGTAGAAAGAGGTGTTCAGAAAGCATGGCAAACCTACAAAATAGTTTAAGATATACCAATACTGATTGTCCCAGTCTGTGCAACACATTTTCCATCAGGTGATAAAGAGAAGACTACTCATGCATTCAACCCTTTATATACACACACCTATTTAGGTGAGTTCAAGTTTTCAATGTGTCTGGGCAAGAAAAGTATTTTCAATATTCTACAATTTAATAACCATGTCATTATGACAACCCCCAAATACAAAATAATGTTGCCAAGCTTGGCATATAATTCACATCCAAAATACCTTACAGTCATTTCAGTATTTATTTGTTTATAATAAACAGCACACAGCTCTGAATCTAACCGACGATGCAGAATATCTGTTCTACTTTGTAAACAATCAAAAGTAGGGAGGGTCAAAAAATATGTATTTAAATTCAATTTTAAAGCATCAAATAATCACATAATGGAAAAGAGTCCAAAGGTCTGTCGTTGTTAGTCTTCCTCTCAGAAAGCATCTAGTTTTGGACTGACTAAAACTATGATAAAGAGAGGAAAGCTGCGACCGAAATTGAAGACAATAATTTAAAAAGGGAGAAATGTCTCTGTATAGTAATGGCGCTCCGCGTCGGGGGGTTTGTCCATCCTGTTGAAACGGCGGACATCTTGTATCACTCAGTGGTAAATGGTCAGTCTTCCTGCAGGTCCCGTTTCAGCTTCTCCTCCAGCCACTAAAACCAAAGTGATTCATCTTGTACATGCAGATCATTCCGCGCCGACCGCTCTAAGAGCTCACCAACACGTAGATCATCCTGTTAGAAAAAATTCATGAAAATAAAAACTTTGTTTAGGGTGAGGATGTTGATATCGATTCTCTGGCATATCGCCTGGAGTGAAGACTGGATAAAAATACAAAAATGGCTCTTGGTTAAACTAATGGTGTGATATTCATTAGGATCATTCTAACAGAGATCAGCTCTTGTAAAATTTCCAGTGCATTTACTATAAATGGCAAGTAAACTTGAAAAACAAGGAAGAGCGTAGTTATACATACCATAGAGATTATAGGTATAATCATACCCATAGAGATAGAGGTAAGTAGTTAGAATAAAATACCATTAGAGGTAGAGATAGATAGATACATAGCATATGAGAGAGAGAATAATAACATACCCATAGAGATAGGAGAGGTAGTAGAGATAATAACATACCCATAGATAGGAGAGTAGTAGAGTATAACATACCCATAGATAAAGATATACTGATAAGAGATAATAAACATACCCATAGAGATAGAGGTAGTAGAGATAATAACATACCCATAGAGATAGAGGTAGTAGAGATAATACACATACCCATAGAGATAGAGATAGTAGAGATAATACATACCCATAGTAGTAGATAATACAACCCTAGATAGGAGAGTAGTAGAGATAATAACATACCCATAGAGATAGAGTAGTAGAGAAACATACCATAGAGATAATAACATACCCATAGAGATAGTAGGGATAATAACATACCCATAGAGATAGGAGCGGTAGTAGAGATAATAACATACCCATAGAGGTAGTAGAGATAATAACATACCCATAGAGATAGAGGTAGTAGAGATAACATACCCATAGAGGTAGTAGAGATAATAACATACCCATAGAGATAGGAGAGGTAGTAGAGATAATAACATACCCATAGAGATAGGAGAGGTAGTAGAGATAATAACATACCCATAGAGATAGGAGAGGTAGTAGAGATAATAACATACCCATAGAGATAGTAGAGATAATAACATACCCATAGAGATAGTAGAGATAATAACATACCCATAGAGATAGAGGTAGTAGAGATAATAACATACCCATAGAGATAGAGATAGTAGAGATAATAACATACCCATAGAGATAATAACATACCCATAGAGATAGGAGAGATAGTAGGGATAATAACATACCCATAGAGATAGGAGCGGTAGTAGAGATAATAACATACCCATAGAGGTAGTAGAGATAATAACATACCCATAGAGATAGAGGTAGTAGAGATAATAACATACCCATAGAGATAGAGATAGTAGAGATAATTACATACCCATAGAGATAGTAGAGATAATAACATACCCATAGAGGTAGTAGAGATAATAACATACCCATAGAGATAGGAGAGATAGTAGAGATAATAACATACCCATAGAGATAGAGGTAGTAGAGATAATAACATACCCATAGAGATAGGAGAGGTAGTAGAGATAATAACATACCCATAGAGGTAGTAGAGATAATAACATACCCATAGAGGTAGTAGAGATAATAACATACCCATAGAGATAGAGGTAGTAGAGATAATAACATACCCATAGAGATAGAGGTAGTAGAGATAATAACATACCCATAGAGATAGAGGTAGTAGAGATAATAACATACCCATAGAGATAGAGGTAGTAGAGGATAATAACATACCCATAGAGGTAGTAGAGATAATAACATACCCATAGAGATAGAGGTAGTAGAGATAATAACATACCCATAGAGATAGAGATAGTAGTAGAGATAATAACATACCCATAGAGATAGAGGATAGTAGAGATAATAACATACCCATAGAGGTAGTAGAGATAATAACATACCCATAGAGATAGGAGGTAGTAGAGATAATAACATACCCATAGAGATAGAGGTAGTAGAGATAATAACATACCCATAGAGATAGAGATAGTAGAGATAATAACATACCCATAGGATAGAGGTAGTAGAGATAATAACATACCCATAGAGATAGAGGTAGTAGAGATAATAACATACCCATAGAGATAGAGGTAGTAGAGATAATAACATACCCATAGAGATAGAGGTAGTAGAGATAATAACATACCCATAGAGATAGAGGTAGTAGAGATAATAACATACCCATAGAGATAGAGGTAGTAGAGATAATAACATACCCATAGAGATAGGAGAGATAGTAGAGATAATAACATACCCATAGAGATAGAGGTAGTAGAGATAATAACATACCCATAGAGATAGTAGAGATAATAACATACCCATAGAGATAGGAGAGATAGTAGAGATAATAACATACCCATAGAGATAGGAGAGGTAGCAGGGATAATAACATACCCATAGAGATAGTAGAGATAATAACATACCCATAGAGATAGAGATAGTAGAGATAATAACATACCCATAGAGATAGAGGTAGTACAGATAATAACATACCCATAGAGATAGAGGTAGTAGAGATAATAACATACCCATATAGAGATAGTAGAGATAATAACATACCCATAGAGGTAGTAGAGATAATAACATACCCATAGAGATAGGAGAGATAGTAGAGATAATAACATACCCATAGAGATAGAGGTAGTAGAGATAATAACATACCCATAGAGATAGGAGAGGTAGTAGAGATAATAACATACCCATAGAGGTAGTAGAGATAATAACATACCCATAGAGGTAGTAGAGATAATAACATACCCATAGAGATAGAGGTAGTAGAGATAATAACATACCCATAGAGATAGGAGAGATAGTAGAGATAATAACATACCCATAGAGATAGAGGTAGTAGAGATAATAACATACCCATAGAGATAGGAGAGATAGTAGAGATAATAACATACCCATAGAGGTAGTAGAGATAATAACATACCCATAGAGATAGGAGAGATAGTAGAGATAATAACATACCCATAGAGATAGAGGTAGTAGAGATAATAACATACCCATAGAGATAGTAGAGATAATAACATACCCATAGAGATAGGAGAGATAGTAGAGATAATAACATACCCATAGAGATAGGAGAGGTAGCAGGGATAATAACATACCCATAGAGATAGTAGAGATAATAACATACCCATAGAGATAGAGGTAGTAGAGATAATAACATACCCATAGAGATAGAGGTAGTAGAGATAATAACATACCCATAGAGATAGAGGTAGTAGAGATAATAACATACCCATAGAGATAGAGGTAGTAGAGATAATAACATACCCATAGAGGTAGTAGAGATAATAACATACCCATAGAGATAGAGGTAGTATAGATAATAACATACCCATAGAGATAGAGATAGTAGAGATAATAACATACCCATAGAGATAGAGGTAGTAGAGATAATAACATACCCATAGAGATAGAGGTAGTAGAGATAATAACATACCCATAGAGATAGAGGTAGTAGAGATAATAACATACCCATAGAGATAGGAGAGGTAGTAGAGATAATAACATACCCATAGAGGTAGTAGAGATAATAACATACCCATAGAGGTAGTAGAGATAATAACATACCCATAGAGATAGAGGTAGTAGAGATAATAACATACCCATAGAGGTAGTAGAGATAATAACATACCCATAGAGATAGAGGTAGTAGAGATAATAACATACCCATAGAGATAGAGGTAGTAGAGATAATAACATACCCATAGAGATAGAGGTAGTAGAGATAATAACATACCCATAGAGATAGAGGTAGTAGAGATAATAACATACCCATAGAGATAGAGGTAGTAGAGATAATAACATACCCATAGAGATAGTAGAAGAAGGAGAGGAGGTAGAAGGCCAGTTTGCACCAGCCCTCCTTTTGACAGTAGGCCAAGACGTCAGCGTTCATGATTGTAGTCGGATCATAGAGTCCTGGACCACTCATCACCGGCCTGCTCATATACCTGCAGAGAAACATTCGAGACAAATGTATGATATACTTTCAGAAACATATGAAACATTTAGTCGTATACCAGTAATGAAACAGGACACATTGCTGTGGTCAGCTTTGGTTTCTAAGTAAATTACACTGGTTTCTGTAGAAACAATACTAAACACTGAAATGCAGCATTACCAAATGGGAGCATAACCAAGCAGAAATCAGCCACCCAGTCCGAGATTAAATCAAGTTGTTTTCAACAAATCATGAAAAATGAAAATTGCAAGAATATCTAAAGGTTGAAAGTCAACAGGGAATGTTGTAATGTAAGGCTTGGACTCAATCTGATCCAGCATAATAGCGTGCTTGACATTTAAAGGTAATTTTCAGATTGAGCCGACATCTGCAGCATTTTACCATTAATGTGATCTGTGCTCACGCGGAAACATTGCCTTTTTAAAAAAGCACATTGTCCGACAGCGCTCCAAGGGTTGAATCCCGGGCCAAAGTCAAGATTGTTCTAGACCTGTAAGTACCTCCAGACGTGGTAGGCCAGCAGTGGCATGTTGAGGCCCAGGGTGAGCCACTCCGCAGCACACAGGAACATCACGCAGAAGAACACATGGATGAGATACTCCGGGAGCACCAGCTGGGAGGAGCACGTAAAACAAACACATTATTAGCCTTATACTGAGGGAGTCATATGAACAAGACAAGAGTCTGGGAGGAGTCACTGAAGGCTGCCTCAGACCAGTCTTCAGATTGGACAAGTCAGGGAGGAGTCACTGAAGGATGCCTTAGACTTGTCTTCAGATTTTAGAAAATAAAAACTGACTCGTACTAAACTGAAATAGACAGTGGAATACACCTATAATCAGAGACAGACATCTCAAAATCTCTCACGAGATTTGCTTTACAATTGATGTTAATAATGATATGACCAAAAGCAATACAGTGCACAGGACACCATGTACATTAATTAAGTAGACATTGGCACTAACAGAGAAAAATATATAAACAGTCAGATTTCGTAAACATTTTGAAGAGACATAGTTCCCTCCGGAACACACATTGTTAATGATTTTTATCACGAGTTTACATGACTATTCATCATACAGTAGATGCTCATTGCACAAGACCTTGGGGTGGTTAGCAGGGCACCTATAACCCTTCATGCACTGCCAAGAGACATACGATGTGGAACATGCATCATGTCATAGGTTTGACCAGAGAGATGACACCAGGCCGGAGGAATCAACTCACGCACACACACCTAGGCTACGTCCCAAAATGGCACCCTATTCCCTATAAAGTGCACTACTTTTGGGCCCCGGCCTGGTCAAAAGTAGTGTACTACGTAGGGAATAAGGGTGCCATTTGGGATGTAAACTCTGAGTCAGCCTGTCTCTGTCTCATAGGGCAGGACAGGGCTATTGTGATGTCATCTGGTGTAGGCTCAGGCTTGTGAAGGTGTGGGGGGGGGGGGCAGATGGAATCACTACATGGAAGCCATGCATTCGATCAAGGAGGGGTGGTTGAGGGGGTCATGATGACCCACCACAGCCCACAGATGGAGGGGGGGGGGGGGGGACTTAGTGGGTTACATCCCTGCACTGTATTGCTACATTTAAACATGTGAAAAGGAGATGTTTATATTCCACTAGAGCATAATAATAATAATAATAATAATATACCATTTAGCAGACGCTTTTATCCAAAGCGACTTACAGTCATGCGTGCATACATTTTTGTGTATGGGTGGTCCCGGGGATCGAACCCACTACCTTGGCGTTACAAGCGCCGTGCTCTATCAGCTGAGCTACAGAGGACCACATAACATAGCAGAAGGTTTTATTGCTACGTCCCAAATGGCACCCCCTATTTCCTATGGGCCCTTGGTCAAAAGTAGTGCACTATATAGGGAATAGGGTGTAATTTGGGACACAGCCTATATGACGTTGCCCATAGGAGAAAACTGAACTATTAAAAAAGGGCAAATTCTGGTTACGCAAGATTAAACAGCGAATTCCAAACTGCTGGTCTGTGACGCGGCGCCCATCTTAACAGAAATAGAGTAGGATTGACCCCCAAATGGCACTCCTTCCCCTATATAGCGCCCTACTCTAAGGCAGATAAGGCTCTGGTCTAACGTGCCCTGGTCAAAGGTAGTGCACTATATAGGGAACGGGGTGCCATTTGGAACGCACTCTATTCCTAGATGAATCTGTGTTTTATGTAAAAGGTAACTCCTCCTGTCTTTACCATCCAATCAGTGATTCCTAAAAATGCTGAGCTTGAGGGGTGTTAAGATTCTACGGCCATCTGTTCCAAAACCCCCAGGTGATCATGTATATCGGCTTGAGCCAAAGTCTAGCAAATCTACTGTCGTTGTGTTTGCAAACAACTCTTAAACTCAAAACGCTAGTCTAGAAAGCATTACGGTCAAACAATTTGGGATAACCTTCTCAGCATCACATTATTTTTGACACCTTAGAATTGATTCTTACGCCGCTGCTTTATTTTCTGGCAACCTTGGAATAGTTAAGGCATAGAAAGGCAGTAGGGTTGTGGTTCAACAGGTCTAATCCTGGCCAGGGTAATACATCACAGATTAATCAGTCCTGAGATCCAGGGTAATACATCACAGATTAACCAGTCCTGAGATCCAGGGTAATACATCACAGATTAACCAGTCCTGAGATCCAGGGTAATACATCACAGATTAACCAGTCCTGAGATCCAGGGTAATACATCACAGATTAACCAGTCCTGAGATCCAGGGTAATACATCACAGATTAACCAGTCCTGAGATCCAGGGTAATACATCACAGATTAACCAGTAATACAGCACAGATTAACCAGTCCTGAGATCCAGGGTAATACAGCACAGATTAACCAGTCCTGAGATCCACAGTAATACAGCACAGATTAACCAATCCTGAGATCCAGGGTAATACAGCACAGATTAACCAGTCCTGAGATCCACGGTAATACATCACATATTAACCAGTCCTGAGATCCACGGTAATACATCACAGATTAACCAGTCCTGAGATCCAGGGTAATACAGCACAGATTAACCAGTCCTGAGATCCAGGGTAATACATCACAGATTAACCAGTCCTGAGATCCACAGTAATACATCACAGATTAACCAGTCCTGAGATCCAGGGTAATACATCACAGATTAACCAGTCCTGAGATCCAGGGTAATACATCACAGATTAACCAGTCCTGAGATCCAGGGTAATACAGCACAGATTAACCAGTCCTGAGATCCAGGGTAATACATCACAGATTAACCAGTCCTGAGATCCACAGTAATACATCACAGATTAACCAGTCCTGAGATCCAGGGTAATACATCACAGATTAACCAGTCCTGAGATCCAGGGTAATACAGCACAGATTAACCAGTCCTGAGATCCAGGGTAATACAGCACAGATTAACCAGTCCTGAGATCCAGGGTAATACATCACAGATTAACCAGTCCTGAGATCCACAGTAATACATCACAGATTAACCAGTCCTGAGATCCAGGGTAATACATCACAGATTAACCAGTCCTGAGATCCAGGGTAATACAGCACAGATTAACCAGTCCTGAGATCCAGGGTAATACAGCACAGATTAACCAGTCCTGAGATCCACCGTAATACATCACAGATTAACCAGTCTTGAGGCCCACAGTTCATTTGTCATTTAATCCCATAAAATATCCTTTCTAAATCCTGGTTTAAGGAGCCTCCTGTCCCTGTCCACACAAACTCCATGATCAACTTTCGGAGACCAGTCAGAGCAAATAGAATACTCCCTCTTTAAATATTGAATTGTAGCCCAACCTATTAAAATGTAGTCTGGGCCCTACTTTAAATATCTCCTTGGGAAATATAGTATTTCCATTAAATCCCGGGCAACTAGTGAATAAATAGGTCTAACCGTTAATTTTATAACAGGGATATTACAAGTGTATTCTTATCACAACACTATATGCAAACAAAAGGGTAGGTTGTATAGAATCATGCATGTCCTGAGAATTTGCAAGTCTTTTCAGTTAACATCTGCACGTAGCGCTATTTTATCAATAACGTTGGTCCCTACATTCACGCGTCTTCGGCACCTCCCAATGCTTTTGATGAACCCTCTTTGACTGTAATACAAATAACTACACCTCCTACTGACCAAGACTGCAGCGTCTTACACCCTACTTCCTGGTCAAAAGTAGTGCACTACATAGGGAATAGGGTGCCAGGGCCCTGGTCAAAAGTAGTGCACTACATAGGGAATAGGGGGCGCCATTTGGGACGTAGCCTTAAATTATTAATGAAACACGGTTTCAACCCAGTTTCACCCCTTTCCTTACGCTTTGATGTATGATATCTGAAGCAATGAAGAGCCAGCTACATACATGGAAACATAACAGTCTGGTAAAACTGGTTGAAACTAAGTCTACCCTTTAAGCTGCTGTCCTCTCCAATCAAGGGGAAATGGGCTGGGCGATACAGAAGTCTATATCTCATGGGGAAATGGGCTGGGCGATACAGAAGTCTATATCTCACGGGGAAATGGGCTGGGCGATACAGAAGTCTATATCTCATGGGGAAATGGGCGGGGCGATACAGAAGTCTATATCTCATGGGGAAATGGGCGGGGCGATACAGAAGTCTATATCTCAAGGGTAAATGGGCTGGGCGATACAGAAGTCTATATCTCATGGGGAAATGGGCTGGGCGATACAGAAGTCTATATCTCATGGGGAAATGGGCGGGGCGATACAGAAGTCTATATCTCATGGGGTCGTGACCGGCTACGACAGAGCCTGGATTCGAACCAGGATTGGGGTGGCGCACAATTGGCCCAGTGTCGTCTAGGGGAGGGAATGACCGGCAGGGATGTAGCTCAGTTGGTAGAGCATGGCGTTTGCAACGCCAGGGTTGTGGGTTCGATTCCCATGGGGGGCCAGTATGAAAAATAAAATAAATTATGTATGCACTAACTGTAAGTCGCTCTGGATAAGAGCGTCTGCTAAATGACTAAAATGTAATGTAAATGTAAATGGGCTGGGCGATACAGAAGTATATATCTCATGGGTAAATGGGCTGGGTGATACAGAAGTCTATATCTCAAGGGTAAATGGGCTGGGCGATACAGAAGTCTATATCTCATGGGGAAATGGGCGATACAGAAGTCTATATCTCATGGGGAAATGGGCGGGGCGATACAGAAGTCTATATCTCAAGGGTAAATGGGCTGGGCGATACAGAAGTCTATATCTCATGGGTAAATGGGCTGGGCGATACAGAAGTCTATATCTCATGGGGAAATGGGCGGGGCGATACAGAAGTCTATATCTCACCGGGAAATGGGCTGGGCGATACAGAAGTCTATATCTCATGGGGAAATGGGCGATACAGAAGTCTATATCTCATGGGGAAATGGGCGATACAGAAGTCTATATCTCATGGGGAAATGGGCGATACAGATGTCTATATCTCATGGGAAAATGGGCTGGGCGATACAGAAGTCTATATCTCATGGGGAAATGGGCGGGGCGATACAGAAGTCTATATCTCACTGGGAAATGGGCTGGGCGATACAGAAGTCTATATCTCATGGGGAAATGGGCTGGGCGATACAGAAGTCTATATCTCATGGGGAAATGGGCGGGGCGATACAGAAGTCTATATCTCATGGGGAAATGGGCGATACAGAAGTCTATATCTCATGGGGAAATGGGCGATAGATGTCTATATCTCATGGGAAAATGGGCTGGGCGATACAGAAGTCTATATCTCATGGGGAAATGGGCGGGGCGATACAGAAGTCTATATCTCACTGGGAAATGGGCTGGGCGATACAGAAGTCTATATCTCACGGGGAAATGGGCGGGGCGATACAGAAGTCTATATCTCATGGGGAAATGGGCGGGGCGATACAGAAGTCTATATCTCATGGGGAAATGGGCTGGGCGATACAGAAGTCTATATCTCATGGGGAAATAGCTGGGCGATACAGAAGTCTATATCTCATGGGGAAATGGGCTGAGCGATACAGATGTCTATATCTCATGGGAAAATGGGCGATACAGAAGTCTATATCTCATGGGGAAATCGGCTGGGCGATACAGAAGTCTATATCTCATGGGGAAATGGGCTGGGCGATACAGAAGTCTCTATCTCATGGGGAAATGGGCGATACAGAAGTCTATATCTCATGGGGAAATGGGCTGGGCGATACAGAAGTCTATATCTCAAGGGTAAATGGGCTGGGCGATACAGAAGTCTATATCTCATGGGGAAATGGGCGATACAGAAGTCTATATCTCATGGGGAAATGGGCGGGGCGATACAGAAGTCTATATCTCATGGGTAAATGGGCGGGGCGATACAGAAGTCTATATCTCATGGGGAAATGGGCTGGGCGATACAGAAGTCTATATCTCACTGGGAAATGGGCTGGGCGATACAGAAGTCTATATCTCATGGGGAAATGGGCGGGGCGATACAGAAGTCTATATCTCACTGGGAAATGGGCTGGGCGATACAGAAGTCTATATCTCATGGGGAAATAGCTGGGCGATACAGAAGTCTATATCTCATGGGGAAATGGGCTGAGCGATACAGAAGTCTATATCTCATGGGTAAATGGGCGGGGCGATACAGAAGTCTATATCTCATGGGGAAATGGGCTGGGAGATACAGAAGTCTATATCTCATGGGGAAATGGGCGGGGCGATACAGAAGTCTATATCTCACTGGGAAATGGGCTGGGCGATACAGAAGTCTATATCTCATGGGGAAATCGGCTGGGCGATACAGAAGTCTATATCTCATGGGGAAATGGGCTGGGCGATACAGAAGTCTATATCTCAAGGGGAAATGGGCTGGGCGATACAGAAGTCTATATCTCACGGGGAAATGGGCTGGGCGATACAGAAGTCTATATCTCACGGGGAAATGGGCTGGGCGATACAGAAGTCTATATCTCATGGGGAAATGGGCGGGGCGATACAGAAGTCACACACAGGAAGACAATGCAACGTAGTGACATTGACATGCATGACAGCTATGTTACTGGCTCAGGCATGAGAAAGAACAAAAGGAGAAATGGAATCTGACAGTTTAACTTCATCAACGGACTCAACTCTTGAGGATGTTAGACTGAGTCAAGGTCTAACAACATCCTAGAAACTGCATTGAGCCTGTTTGGCTATGCTAAGTCATTTTGTGATATCAATGAGCACAGAAAGCCGAGACTTCAATCCATAACTCTGATGTAAATTAGTCCAATGAGGGCACCTCTTCTGAGAATCGTTAACTGAAAAGACGTTTGCAAACACTCCCCCCGTGCAGAATGAAAGACTGGAGACCAAACGTGAACCGAAACGGCCATTTTATATCGAAGATTGGTACAAACCTTCAATGCAATTTTGACTCTTTTAATCTTTTTGACCTTTTCAACTGTCTTTATGCCGATAAAAATTGTAGATTAAAAAAAGCAGATTAGAAAAAACAAAAATGTGTTAGAGTTCGACAGCTGACAAGATCACTGTAGATTAATAACAGTCAGAGATACTCCGGTTGTAATTCAGCATAACAGTGCAGAAGAGAAATCCATCCTTAGTGTGACTACTAGGCCGTAACCTCATCCATCCTGACTACTAGGCCGTAACCTCATCCATCCTTAGTGACTACTAGGCCGTAACCTCATCCATCCTGACTACTAGGCCGTAACCTCATCCATCCTGACTACTAGGCCGTAACCTCATCCATCCTGACTACTAGGCCGTAACCTATCCATCCTGAACTACTAGGGCCGTAACCTCATCCATACTGGACTACTAGGCCGTAACCTCATCCATCCTGACACTAGGCCGTAACCTCATCCATCCTGACTACTAGGCCGTAACCTCATCCATCCTGACTACTAGGCCGTAACCTCATCCATCCTGACTACTAGGCCGTAACCTCATCCATCCTTGACTACTAGGCCGTAAACCTCATCCATCCTGACTACTAGGCCGTAACCTCATCCATCCTGACTACTAGGCCGTAACCTCATCCATCCTGACTACTAGGCCGTAACCTCATCCATCCTGACTACTAGGCCGTAACCTCATCCATCCTGACTACTAGGCCGTAACCTCATCCATCCTTAGTGTGACTACTAGGCCGTAACCTCATCCATCCTGACTACTAGGCCGTAACCTCATCCATCCTGACTACTAGGCCGTAACCTCATCCATCCTGACTACTAGGCCGTAACCTCATCCATCCTGACTACTAGGCCGTAACCTCATCCATCCTGACTACTAGGCCGTAACCTCATCCATCCTTAGTGTGACTACTAGGCCGTAACCTCATCCATCCTAACTACTAGGCCGTAACCTCATCCATCCTGAGTGACTACTAGGCCGTAACCTCATCCATCCTTATGTGACTACTAGGCCGTAACCTCATCCATCCTACTACTAGGCCGTAACTCATCCATCCTTAGGACTACTAGGCCGTAACCTCATCCATCCCTGACTACTAGGCCGTAAACTCACAATCCATCCTAATTACTTACTAGACCGTAAACCTCATCCATCCTAACTACTAGGCCGTAACCCATCCCATCCTTACTACTAGGCGGAACCAACCTCATCCATCTGACTACTAGGCCCGTAACCTCAATCCATCCTGAACTACTAGGCCCGTAACCTCTAGGCCTTAACCTCACCTATTAGAGTGACTACTAGGCCGTAACCTCACATCCTGACTAACTAGCCGTAACCTCATCCATCCTGACTACAGGCCGTAACCTCATCCATCCTGACTACTAGGCCGTAACCTCATCCATCCTGACTACTAGGGCCGTAAACATCATCCAATCCTGACGACTAGGCCGTAAGCAACCTCATCCTCCTGGACTACTATGAAGGATGCCGTAACCCTCAATCCATCCTGACTACTAGGCCGTAACCTCATCCATCCTACTACACAAATTATAGAACGCAAATCAGCATGCAGTCAAAGAAGCCAGGAGAAAGACGTCATCTGCAACCATCAATTTTTTACTTACCGGATTCAATGTGTTACATTGATCTATGGGATTCTTGTAATCAGTCTTCAGTTCATCGAATGCAATTATCTGGAGAGAAAGAGAATGCATGTGTAAGTAAATGACTTCATCCCCCATCTTGTATGACAGAAAACTGCATCATTGAACAAAAACAAAGATTGCAAATCATTATCAAGATTGCAAATGTCATGGCCTATAGAGTCATAAATACCCATAAAACGGTCAAACAAAGAAATGGTTCCAATCGTTTTTCCACCATTCATATTTCCCCACAGGGGACTTTAGAAACACTTCAAATAAGGTCTGTGTTTCATGTAGGCTTACCCTGGCATGACATTTTGACAACTGTGTAAATCTCTAGGACAAGGTTACTTATCAATTTATTTGCCTGTATTTACCCCCCAAAAATGAAACGCTAATTAGCTGCTAATGTGGCTATCATAAAGAACTACAAATGACATGTTCTGGACGAGACTGCGGAATTCAGGCAAAGGTAAATTAATCCAGAGATTCTATCTAATGTTAGCTAAATTTAGTAATGAATAAATTGGCAACATTTCTTTAAATTGACAATTCTGTTAACTGTCTTATGCAATTTTTACCGCCTGGTAAATCAACCGCCTGGTATGGCAACTGCTCGGCCTCCGACCGCAAGGCACTACAGAGGGTAGTGCGTACGGCCCAGTACATCACTGGGGCCAAGCTTCCTGCCATCCAGGACCTCTATACCAGGCGGTGTCAGAGGAAGGCCCTCAAAATTGTCAAAGACTCCAGCCACCCTAGTCATAGACTGTTCTCTCTGCCACTGCACGGCAAGTGGTACCAGAGTGCCAAGTCTAGATCCAAAAGACTTCTCAACAGCTTCTACCCCCAAGCCATAAGACTCTTGAACAGCTAATCATGGCTACCCAGACTATTTGCACTGCCCCCCCCCCCCCCCCCCCCCCCCCCACCCCACCCCACATTTTTAACGTTGCTCCTACTCTGTTAATTATTTATTAATAGTCCCTTTAACTCTACCCACATGTACATATTACCTCAACTAGCCGGTGCCCCCGCACATTGACTCTGCACCGGTACCCCCCTGTATATAAAGCCTCCCTACTGTTATTTTATTTTACTTCTGCTTTTTTTTTTCTCCAACACTTTTTTGTTGTTGTTTTATTTTACTTTTTTTATTAAAAAATAAATGCATTGTTGGTTAAGGGCTGTAAGTAAGCATTTCACTGTAATGTCTACACCTGTTGTATTCGGCACATGTGGCCAATTTGATTTGAGCTAGATGATGTGCAGGAGTTTGCAGGGATTTGTAGTCTTGCATGATTTCTACTTCGATACCAATTAGCATTTTCGAATCTGAGTGTAAATAGAGCCTAATATAGTGATAAAAGTCACCTTGTCCGAGAGAGATTTACATGGTTATCAAAACGTCACGCCAGAGTAAACCTACACGAAACACAGCCCTTATTTTAAGTGTTTCTAAAATTCTCTATGGGAAAAATGAATGGTGGAAAAACGATTGGAACCATTTCCCTGTTTGACCGCTAGGTTTTATGGATATTAGGACACTTCCACCGTGGGGCTCTATGGCCATAAGCAGCGAGGGGGAAAAAACAACAACTGTTTTCCTTTGTAAACAAACACTGTAGTACAACAGTATCCTCCTGGGGATATTTGTTCTCTAATTTCTATAATGTCCTCAGGTACTAGCTAGCTACAACAACGGTCTGTACAGCCGCCAGCACAAGGGCTTATACATGCAGGCATGTGGATTAAGAACTGGCATCCCAACAACAGTTTTTAGCTAAGGACACTTCAGAGGGATCAAAGCTTGTTATCAGAGTCGGGATGAAAGTTTAGAATCTGGAAGACTGGGACAAACAGAAAACATGATGGAGAATAACAGAAATCCCCGGTTAATTAGTGTATTAGCTAGCCATCTTATCTTAGTTTGCCAACTACTGTGTTCACCCATTTAGATACCTCCATAGCTAGGAAGCTAACGTTAGCTAGCGAGCATAAGTTGTCGTTACCATATAAAGCTAGCTAACTAAATGCTAACGGATGGCTAGCTACGTATCTTATATTTTAAATTCTGAGTAAAATAAATAGCTAGCTATTTGTCTCTGGATATCTAACTAGGCCATATATTCTGGTCGTGGATAGAAACGAATTACTGAAGTTTTTTCGGTCCAACAACACGAATGGGTGTGTGCCATTCATTCTTGGTTAGCTAAACTAGCTAACGGGTGACAAGCCTGTTTGCCACTGGTTTAGAACATAAACATTGGCTCTCTATAATACCTACATTATCTTTCAAACCATACTGTTTGATTGTGATACCAATATACTTACATGCCAAATGGCGAAGAAAATAAGAGCGGCCGTAAGCAATAACGCAAGCATGTAACAAAAGGCCGCGAATGTGAACGCCATTTTTGTGCAGCTTGCTGGCTGATGTCGCCGGACACAAGAGATCTGTTGCCTGCCAGAGGCAAGAAACTACAGGAAGAAACTACAGGATGCTGTGACCGCGAGACAACGCGAGACAGGAAGGGGCGTGGCATTGGGCATACGCACAGACGTTCCTTCTTCAGGTTGCGTTCCAGAGCGTCGCGGCAGGCGCCTTTTGGCAACACGGGAGTTTCAAGAAAGAGAGAATAAGCTTTTGAGACCCCCACCCTGAAGAACAGTTTTAAGTGATAATAGGCATATAATAATCGGACATACATTATAACAGACACACGTCAGATATTCAACATGGTGACTTTGTATATTACATTTAATGCATACAACATTAAACATCATTTTTGTTTTATTGGGACAACTGTATTACGCATGGAAAAATACAAATATTTCACAAGTTTCACTGACACCATTGGGTAGCCGAATATGTTACATGTTTTGAGTTGCTGTTTTGTTAAGAAAAAATTAATAAAAGCTGTTGATCTGAGAAAGTACAGAACTATAATAGGAAAAATACATCAATTCAAAGCGATCAAGACACTTAATAGGCCACCATGTTTCTACAAGGATATAGCTATATCTTATTAATGAATGCAGATTGAATAATTATTTCCAGGGCTGATTATCTCTATTCATCAGTTCCAAATGGCACCCTGTTCCCTTCATAGTGCACTACGGGACCATAGGACTCTGGTCAAAATAAGTTCACTATAAAGGGAACAGGGTGACATTTGGAACACACAATTATCTAAAAAACATGTTGATAATTATCCAACTACTGTAGTGTTTAATCTTAACACACTTTGTCAGCAACTTCCCCCTGTGATTGCGTTTGCATGCATGTTCTCTATATTATTGCTTGTGTCAATCAAAGTATGCCAATTTTGAATTCATTATTGAGGATACATTCACTGTGTAAAACAAAGAACATGCTCTACAAACTGACATACTATTGAAGGCTTGTTTGGGCTGTTTTTTGTCATAATGCAAACTGTCGGACAAAGACACACTGACGAAAGCATGCACTTGTATTTACAGTAGCTTACCACGTCAAAGGATTTTTTTTTTTTTTTTTTTTTTTTTACGGCTCATTAAGCGTTTTCATTTTTCACATTGACACCAGCTGATTGCACAATTCAGAGTAAAAACAGGAATGTTCCAGTACAGTTCATACATACAGGATTATGAGGTGATGTTTAAAGCTATAGTCTTATTTTGCTTTTTGATGTCACGTTTCAGCAGATGGTAAAACGTAAGTCATTGTTTCCAGTCCCAAATGGCACCATAATCCCTTTATAGTGCCACTTCTTTTGACCAGAGTCCTATGGTGCACTATACAGGGAAAGAGAGTGTCATTGTTTGTTTTCGGAGTTTACATTTTAAATATGTTCTTCGGAAGAATACTCTGATGGAAAGAGAAACAGCCTTTTGGAATATCACCAATCCAAATGTAATACAGTATACTTGTCGAGCGGTTTCCTGGACATACTGTAGGATTAAGACTAGCCCTGGACTAAGGCATGTTCAATGGAGAATCTCCACTGAAAGTGCTTTTTTTGTCCAGAACTAGTCTTAGTTTGTGCCCAGGAAACCGGCTCTTCAAGTTCTTTCACGCCTGCTAAAAAATAAAGGATTTAAAAAAGGCAAAAAGATGACTCTCTAATCTCCCAGTGTATTCACACCTGTCCAAGGTTGGGACACAGACTGGTTTCCCGGACACACATTAAGTGAGTCTCTATTGAAAAAGCTTTCTAGTCCAGGACTAGGCTTAATCTGTGTCTGGGAAACTGGCCCTAAAACAAAACAGAGGTTTCTTTCAAGAACATATCAGTGAAAATCTTTGTAGGCAAAACAGGTGCTGCACTTTGAAGGACACAGTTCAAATGGTATAAAACATTGTGCACTACTTTTGACCAAAAGTAGTGCACTATGTAGGGAATAGTGTACCATTTGGGGTGAAAACATTACCTCACTGCAAAGTCTCACTAAGAATCACACTGATTCTCCACTAAACAAAGATGAACAGAGATATCTAACTGTCCTTTGTGTCACTCAAAAACAGTCTGCAGCCTCTTAAAATGTTACTTATCGACCAATAGCATCAATAATTCCATTACCCCGGAACAACTGCAATAAGAACGTATACACCCAGAAACCAGATGGTGAATAGAATTTTAGCTGTTTTTTTATAGTATTGTAATTTGGATTAAGATCCTTTGTTGTCATCTTGTGTCATATAAACTTAAATCAGTGAGTGAAAAATGAATTTATTTCTTTATACTGACCTACCTTTCTAAGCAGAATGAGAAATTCCACACAACATAATCAAAGATACATTGAATTTGGATGTAAAATGTATGGCTATGATTGTGTGATTAAGGTCAAAAGTGCTTCAAGCCTTGAGGCACTTCCATCTTGAAAATGTATAAAGAAGAATCAAAGTCGTGTATTATCTTCACAACCCAGGATCCTCCCACAAGTCATATATTTATGACTTAATTTGAAGAAAAAAAAACAGCTCCCCAAATCAAAGCTCCCCTCTTAATATCCAGAACCATCCTTTTGATTACAGTATAAAAATAAATAAAAATAGGACCAAAAAAAATAAAAGTGGTTAGAATCTAATCTATCAAGTCATAATTATGTAAACTAAACAAGCAAAACTCAAACTCAAAAGCAATTGCCGCCATGACAATTCCTTTCAATTTTCCTTGAGTTTTGCTCGTGTAGGAGAGGGAATGCTCTGTCCACCTCAGTAGGAGTGGTAATGTTAATTCTATACAGACACAGGAAACTGGCACATGTTGAAGGGGAGAGGGAGATTGTATGGGAATAGGTACATAGAGGAGGGAAACGTAAGGTATGGTGTTTTCTTCCCAAGTGTCTTGTTCCTCCTCTAGACCATTCAGTCCACTAGATCACCAAATGGCCTCGTCTTAACCGAAGAACCCAAGCTTCTCTCTAAGCCATTCCTCTGTCAGGTCCTCTGTGTTTCTGATCTCAAACACCTGGAAGAAATGACAGGGGGAGACGATATTAGACTGATAACTCCCCTTTTCACAAGCTATAAGGTCAACATCTTGAAGCCAAGTTCATGTAAACACATACTAATATAATTTATGGATTTAGTACTAGTTATTACTAAATCCAGATAGCTTTGAGCTCCAAAGATGAAAGAAACAGTTTGGTCACTAACCTTAGTCAACTGGACGGTTTGCACCAGCTTGTTTTTGCTTCCAGCGTACATCATCTGCTGCTCGGGTTTGCATCCTGAGAAAAAGAGACGTGGCAAAACAAATAGAAATAGAATTAGGAAATACAACGATATGTCTCTCTACGGGGGTCAAACTAAAACCCGCTCTATGCATGTCTTAAATCACTTCCAACGAAAACAACATATCTTACTATCCAATAATAAGGTAACCTTAGTTACCATGACCTCATCGGGTATAAAAAAAAAAAAAAAAAAACGGCAGACTGAATTAAATCTTTCTTTTACAAAATGGGGCCAAAACGTGTGGTTACAGATATAGTAGCTACAGGGATGTTGAGGACCGGATCTTATCTTACCCACTGGACTAGAGAATATGAAGCAGAGGGGGTAAGAAACTCGTCCATCGTTGTGTTGGTACTTGTAGCTATACACCACAAACGTGCACAAGGGGGTTAAGGAGAATTTTTAGGATTAAAATAAAAAAGATGATAGCAGCGATTTGACTGTGCTCAAAACGTTCACTTTTTAAAAAAACCACGCATTCATGCCAATGGGAGACTTGTGGGTGGGGGGGGGGGGGGGGGGACCCATTCTGATTGGCTGGGCCTGGCTCCCAAGTGGGTGGGCCTATGGCCTCCCAGGTCCAACCATGGCTGTGCCCCTGCCCAGTCATGTGAAATCTATAGATTAGGGCCTAATGAATTTATTTCAATTGACTTGATTTCATTATATGAACTGTAACTCAGTAAAATTTTGCATCTATTTTGGTTCAGCATAGATGAAAGGATATCTTGGCTGTCTTTCAGGCAGTTCATCCTTCAGATCATCAGGAGAAATATCCTAGGATGAGAGAGAGGAAAATCAAGGTTCAAATCAAATCACATTTTATTTAGAAAGTCCTTTTTACATCAGCAGATGTCACAAAGTGCTATACAGAAACCCAGCCTAAAAACCCCAAACAGCAAGCAATGCAGAAGCACGGTTAAATATGTACTTTACGACAGTAGGTTCCATGCTACATCATACAAGATGCTATAAGAGGTGTGTGGATAAGACACTTATAACACTGACGTCATCATACAATAACCAATCTGGCAACTTACCTCATGTTCTTCATCAAGGATGACAAGCTGCTTGTCCTTGTCAATCTTCACTGAGAAAGAGAAAACACAAAAAAATATTTAGGAAAAATGTTCCTCAGATCTTCAACAGTCAATATGTTGCTCCTTCCCAAGCACTTGACCCTAGCACCATATGTGTGTAGAAGCAAAAACAACATTATCAACTTTAGATTATTTATGATTAGGAGGATACTTACTGATTTATGATTAGGAGGATACTGACTGATTTATGATTAGGAGGATACTTACTGATTTATGATTAGGAGGATACTGACTGATTTATGATTAGGAGGATACTTACTGATTTATGATTAGGAGGATACTTACTGATTTATGATTAGGAGGATATGGATTTATGATTAGGAGGATACTTACTGATTTATGATTAGGAGGATATGGATTTATGATTAGGAGGATACTTACTGATTTGTGATTAGGAGGATACTGACTGATTTATGATCAGGAGGATATGGATTTATGATTAGGAGGATACTTACTGATTTGTGATTAGGAGGATACTTACTGATTTATAATTAGGAGGATACTTACTGATTTATGATTAGGAGGATACTTACTGATTTATGATTAGGAGGATACTTACTGATTTATGATTAGGAGGATATGGATTTATGATTAGGAGGATACTTACTGATTTGTGATTAGGAGGATAGTTACTGATTTATGATTAGGAGGATACTTACTGATTTATGATTAGGAGGATATGGATTTATGATTAGGAGGATACTTACTGATTTGTGATTAGGAGGATACTTACTGATTTGTGATTAAGAGGATACTTACTGATTTGTGATTAATAGTTTACTTACTGAGATTTGTGATTAAGAGGATACTTACTGAGATTTGTGATTAAGAGGATACTTACTGAGATTTGTGATTAAGAGGATACTTACTGAGATTTGGGATTAAGAGGATACTTACTGATGATAGCAGCATTGTTAGTCTCCTTCCGGAAGCGGAACTCCCGTAGCTTTTTAACTAGGTCTCCATCAACGTCACACACAACCAGTGATTCGCTCTGAAAGTAACAGATAGAAGGAAAGATATCTGGACCTGTATTCATAAAGCCTCTCAGAGTTGGAGTGCTGATCTAGGATCCGTTTTGCTTTTTAGATAATACATACGATTACATGGACAAGGGGAGGGACCTGATCCCAGATCAGCGCTCCTACTCTAAAAGGCTTTATGAATATGGGAACAGGAATAAGGATTGTTATGATTTCTCATTTCAAAGGAGATCAGATCCCTCTAACACATGATTGGGAACTTTTGATGATAGCCTACAGAATAATAATGATGGTCATTCACACCTCAAAGCGTTAGATATCATGTCTCTGAACTTGCAAATTCTATTAACTTGTGAAATAATTGCTGCCATCCATGATCACACCTGATCATTTATGTGTCTTTTTGGAATGAGCAGGCATCTTCATTTACATAACATTCCAGAATCATTGTTCATGATGGGTTAAATTCCTTTGTTCAATGGCCTGCTCTGGATTTGATTTGACAGGTAATAGGAAATAACGACGTGCAATGATTTAGCAACTACAGGGTTATATAAATATGTGGTACTGTCAAATACGAGAGATGCGCATCCCTGACAATGCCGAGTTTAATTTGTCTTGAAGCCAAATGTAGCTAGCTAGCTAGTTAGGTCTAGCAAACTACAGGAAATGCGTATCTAACTAGCTAGCTGGCTTGCGTTCTATACAACAAAGCGCATAGAATCTGACACAGAATGGTCACGGCACTTTGACGATCTGAAATTAGCTGGTTTCATCGAGAAGCTAGGGTAATTACAATGGAATTTGATGTGGCTAACTTTCTCAGACAATGCATGGGGTTATCAGTTAGCCAGCTAGCTAACTATCTATCTATCTATGCTCCTTACCGTCACATGTTGCAGTATATCACAATGAGCTGGGTGGAACAACTGCATATTTAAAAACATTGTACAGAAAGCGAAACTCATTTCGAATTAAAGAGGCGATTATACAGGCAGAGGGTGTCAAATGGTTGCTACTTGAAAATAAGCCCTAGCAAAATACATTTATTGAGGTTTTTCAACCCACCTCAGCAACAACTTACCATTTTCCCTGAAGCGCAGACTCAATTGTTCTGTCTAGACCGGAGGAGGGCAGTACAGAACACTATTTTTTTCCGCCCACATAAACTTGTGACTCTGATCTGACCAATCCCCGCCCCACACCAATTCAAAGTCATTATTAGGAATATTTTTGTATCGTGTCATACTGTACTAGTTGAATTTTACTCACATAAAAGTTGAGGGAGAAAGGGTAGATATACTTTTATTCATTTTCAATGTTCTGTCACCTTCATTTGCCGACTGCAATCCAAGAAAATGTATGTGACTCTGGAACGCACCCATTTGGTTCCACTCTTTCCTTCCGCCCAATGTTGACGTCATATTCTAGGCGTGAGTGCAGACTGTGCACTTCCTTTATTTCAGGAGTTTTGTACAGTATTTTTAATCTCTCAACTGGCACATTTTTTAGTTGTTTCTAACTTTATAATTTGTTGAAAGACGTCCCTCTTTTGTCGAGGTAATGTTGAAAAGCCTAACATACTTTAAAAACATGTCTTGATTGTACTTTGATCGTTGAGCAGCAAAAATATGTATAATCAACTAGGTAGCTGGCTAATGTTTGCTAGCTAATGTTAGCTAACGTTAACTGTACATCGAGCCAGCTAGCGTTCTGCATGTGTACAACACTAAACAGCCTGCAATCCAGTTTAATTTAAAGCTTATAGGTAGCTTGTGATAACCAAACTATGTTGCTAGTTACTTCAGGCTGTTAACTAAAGTAGCTAATAGGCCATAGAGTATGCTTCAGACCTAACAACTTTATTTTCCCCCCATTACCTTTCAGGACATGGATTTCTCGGTGAGTTAGCTACTTTAATCAATCACGTTTATTATCAAGGTATGCCTGTTTTAACATGGTAAATATGTTAGTGAAGATCATGGTACCAATCTCCCTGTTTTTCTGGCATGAAGCTGGCAGATGCCATAGCGGACGATGTCCCGGGCCAAGCTAAGAAAGTGGCAAACCCCAACCCAGCTGCCCCCAACGCCCCTCCGCCCACTAACCCAGGATGGCCTGGTGCGGCCCCCGGAGCCCCCACACAGCCCTCTGCTCCTGGGGGATTCCCTGGCGGCCCACAGTCTGGGCCAGGGGCCCCAGGGCAGTTCCCTGGAAGTCAAGGACCCTTCTCCTCCGGTCCCGGAGCACCAGGGCAGTATCCTGGAGCTCCCTCTGCCCCTGGTGGGTTCCTGCCCGGCCCAGGGGTACCGGCACAGTACCCAGCTGGGCCTGGAGCCCCGGGACAGTACCCAGCTGGGCCTGCAGCCCCGGGACAGTACCCACCCGGACCTGGAGCCCCGGGACAACACCCAGCTGGGCCTGCAGCCCCGGGACAGTACCCAGCTGGGCCTGGAGCCCCGGGACAACACCCAGCTGGGCCTGGAGCCCCGGGACAATACCCACCCGGGCCTGGAGCCCCGGGACAATACCCACCCGGGCCTGGAGCCCCAGGACAACACCCAGCTGGGCCTGGAGCCCCGGGACAACACCCAGCTGGGCCTGGAGCCCCGGGACAATACCCACCCGGGCCTGGAGCCCCGGGACAATACCCACCCGGGCCTGGAGCCCCGGGACAATACCCACCCGGACCTGGAGCCCCGGGACAATACCCACCCGGACCTGGAGCCCCGGGACAATACCCACACGGACCTGGAGCACCTGGACAGTTCCCTGGGCAGTTCCCTCCTGGTGGAGCCCCCGGCCAGTTCCCTGGAGCCCCCATGCAGTACCCGTCTGGACCCTTCCAAACTAGCCCCGGAGCACCCCCAGGACCCTACCCCAACGTGGCTTACCCAGGAGCCCAGCCTGGTGGGGGGATGTATGGGCCTGGAGGTCCAGGAGCTGCCTTCCCTCCTGCAGGAGGCACCTACTCTGGGTTCGCTGGTGGGGCCTTCCCTCCAATCCCCCCTGGATCATGGGGTCCTGGAGGCGGTGGAGGCGGTGGAGGCTTCCCTCCCCAGCCCGGCCACCCAGGGCCCACGGGACCATACGGGGGACAAGCAGCTCCAGGAGGCATGCTGGTGAGTAAATACATGCTTTTAAAACACCACACATTGCTGCTTGCTTGCTTCCTGGTGCACTTCTGTCCTAGTCTTCACCGGAGGATCTCTGTACACGTGGTGTGGCTCTTTTTGTGGGGTTTCCTTGCCTCGTTTTACCTTCCTAATTTCGCAAGCTAACATTGAGCGCAGCGTTCAGGATGGTGGATCAGGGATTTGCTGGTCTTGATCTTCTAGAACCATCACCGCAATAACATTATATTGGTCTGAGGTGCACTGCTCTGAGGTATTTTCTGCAGGGCGCAAACAAGGCAAGGCAAAACAACAGAATATATACAGTTATATCATAATGTATCATTTACAGTTATATCATATGTATTCTTGTCTTTCAGCCCAGACATAATATACCATATCCACCACATTTTTGAAAGCACTGAACTCGTCAGATTTTCAGTCGGATGAGGACACCACCCGCAGCATTCACCTTGTGGTTTGGTTTAAGAACTACAAAATCACCTTGTGGTTTGGTTTAAGAAAAAGCAGCAGCGTTATTTAGTCTGTGTAAGAGGTTTTTACTAGCTCATACCTGGGGGAGAAAGGGAACCCAAAAATGTTTGCTGTCATTCAAGTGCAATACATAGCCTTGGCTTTTGTGAAACGACACATTTTATATTATTTCATTAAAGTCACACTTATCTTTACAATAAAATGTTATGCTACTTTCTAATAAAGCTAAATATAATTTGGTAGTAATCCTCCTGTACTTATGTGTTTGCCAGCATTGATGAAATGTCAATTGTGTTATGTATTTGAAATAAAAGAACACTATCACTTGTGTTTTGCATGTGTTCTGATTTGTTTTTGCATTGCAGTGTTTAAAGAAGTCGTTTTGGGATGTATGGCCCATAAAATGATATTACTCAAGAGGTGGTACAACTGGTTGACGGAAATTACGTTGTTTCAATTCATCCAGTTATTCCTGCTAAGGCTGATGACTCATTCTAATTTAGTCTCAGGTTCTGGTTTGTTTGGTGTAGGGTGTAGTGGAGACTCTTCTAAGGGGGATGACTCATTCTTCCAGTGGCGTTTGGAATGTAGGTGCGGTTCTAGAGTTAGCCAACAGTCATTTCATTACTCATCATGATATATTTGTATCAATAGGGAAATGTTTTGCATTTGTAAAGAAACTTTATTTGTATTTCTTCCTCGATATAATGAGGATGCATCTACTATGTTTTAATTACAACTAAGTGACAGTTTTAGTGTCGCCACTGGATAGTGGTCAATGGTCATTTCTCTTGGCACCTGATATAACGTCATTTTAATAAAGCTCATATATTCAATATTCTTACCCATTCTTTATGCAATCCTCTTCCATTATTTTTTGAAATGTGTACTTCTATTGGATATGTTGTTGATTTTAAAAAAAGACTACTTCTATTAGTCTAATCTTTTTGAATAAAACACTAAGACTGATGACCTGTGATGTTAATGTGCCCTCTGTTTCAGCCAGTGCCCTACGAACTGCCTCTCCATGCTGGCATCATGCCCAGGCTGTTGATCACCATAGTAGGGGAACCCATCCCTGGAGGAGACCGGTAGGTAGTCGCACTACTACACTAGGCTACAGGATTCATTCATCCATTCATTCGCCCATTCATCCATTCAATACATATGTTCCATTAATGCTGACAAAAGGGTGTTTTCACATAAAGTCCTCTTATAAAAGATCCGATCTCAGTCCTCTTTAAAAGATCCGATCTCAGTCCTCTTTAAAAGATCTGATCTCAGTCCTCTTATAAAAGATCTGATCTCAGTCCTCTTTAAAAGATCAGATCTCAGTCCTGTTATAAAAGATCAGATCTCAGTCCTCTTATAAAAGATCTGATCTCAGTCCTCTTATAAAATATCTGATCTCAGTCCTCTTATAAAAGATCAGATCTCAGTCCTCTTATAAAAGATCCGATCTCAGTCCTCTTTAAAATATCCAATCTCAGTCCTCTTATAAAATATCCAATCTCAGTCCTGTTATAAAAGATCCGATCTCAGTCCTCTTTAAAAGATCCGATCTCAGTCCTCTTTAAAAGATCCGATCTCAGTCCTCTTATAAAAGATCTGATCTCAGTCCTCTTTAAAAGATCCGATCTCAGTCCTGTTATAAAAGATCCGATCTCAGTCCTCTTATAAAAGATCAGATCTCAGTCCTCTTATAAAAGATAAGATCTCAGTCCTCTTATAAAAGATCCGATCTCAGTCCTCTTTAAAATATCCGATCTCAGTCCTCTTTAAAATATCCGATCTCAGTCCTCTTATAAAAGATCCAATCTCAGTCCTCTTATAAAAGATCCGATCTCAGTCCTCTTTAAAAGATCTGATCACAGTCCTCTTTAAAAGATCCGATCTCAGTCCTCTTTAAAAGATCCGATCACAGTCCTCTTTAAAAGATCCGATCTCAGTCCTCTTATAAAAGATCAGATCTCAGTCCTCTTTAAAAGATCAGATCTCAGTCCTCTTTAAAAGATCCGATCTCAGTCCTCTTTAAAAGATCTGATCTCAGTCCTCTTTAAAAGATCCGATCTCAGTCCTCTTATAAAAGATCAGATCTCAGTCCTCTTATAGAGTGGGGGAAAAAAGTATTTAGTCAGCCACCAATTGTGCATGTTCTCCCACTTAAAAAGATGAGAGAGGCCTGTAATTTTCATCATAGGTACACGTCAACTATGACAGACAGAATGAGAAAAAAAATCCAGAAAATCACATTGTAGGATTTTTTTATGAATTTATTTGCAAATTATGGTGGAAAATAAGTATTTGGTCAATAACAAAAGTTTCTCAATACTTTGTTATATACCCTTTCTTGGCAATGACACAGGTCAAACGTTTTCTGTAAGTCTTCACAAGGTTTTCACACACTGTTGCTGGTATTTTGGCCCATTCCTCCATGCAGATCTCCTCTAGAGCAGTGATGTTTTGGGGCTGTCGCTGGGCAACACAGACTTTCAACTCCCTCCTAAGATTTTCTATGGGGTTGAGATCTGGAGGTTGTCTAGGCCACTCCAGGACCTTGAAATGCTTCTTACTCCTTCGTTGCCCGGGTGGTGTGTTTGGGATCATTGTCATGCTGAAAGACCCGGCCACGTTTCATCTTCAGTGCCCTTGCTGATGGAAGGAGGTTTTCACTCAAAATCTCACGATACATGGCCTCATTCATTCTTTCCTTTACACGGATCAGTCGTCCTGGTCCCTTTGCAGAAAAACAGCCCCAAAGCATGATGTTTCCACCCCCATGCTTCACAGTAGGTATGGTGTTATTTGGATGCAACTCAGCATTCTTTGTCCTCCAAACACGACGAGTTGAGTTTTTACCAAAAACTTATATTTTGGTTTCATCTGACCATATGACAAAAAAATATCTCAATTTGTCTGTCATAGTTGACGTGTACCTATGATGAAAATTAAGTGGGAGAACTTGCACAATTGGTGGCTGACTAAATACTTTTTTTCCCCACTGTATGAGCTGGTTCGGGGTCGGCCCTGTAGTGTGAAAAGGGGTATATGAGCTGCACCCCCCATCCAGTCCATTGGCCCATAGGCTCTGGTCAAAAGTAGTGCACTTCATAGGGAATAGGGTGCCAGTGTTGAAAACCACCTGATCAAAAGTAGTGTACTACATAGGGGCGGCAGGTAGCTTAGTGGTTAAGAGCGTTGTGCCAGTAACCGAAAGGTCGCTGGTTCTAATCCTCGAGCCGACTAGGTGAAAAATCTGTCGTTGTGCCCTTGAGCAAGGCACTTAACCCTAATTGCTCCTGTAAGTCGCTCTGGATAAGAGCGTCTGCTAAAATGACTAAAATGTAAATGTCTCTGAGTGTCAGATCATGCTCGGGGCCACGCAGTAGAGAGTGACATCCCCCACCACACGTAGCAGGGTGCTCATACTCCAGACTACTGTGTTATTTGTCCACTCAGGTTCCCTTTATCTAATATTAGGTTTTGGTTGAAGATCTGATAACATTCAGTATCACAAATATGCAAAAGTAGAGAAAATTAGAAAAGGGGGCAAATACTTTTTCATAGCACTGTATGTCTAGCTGTCCGATGACACGTTCTGATGGAATGGCTTGTCCTGCACTTTGTAAAAACCCAGAGTGCATCGACTGAATATTGGAAAAAGATCTTGGTTCCTTTCTAAACATAGCAATGTGAATGCAAAGAGGACTTGGACCACAAAATAAATGAAGTGAACTGGCAAAATAATTGAGTCCTCATTCCAAGGCAAGGGCAGTGTGAATACAAAGAGAAGTGAGTGATTTTACTCTTCTTTTTTTTAACCCCAGAGTTCACTTTAAAGAGGACTGAGATCGGATCTTTTGAAGAGGACTGAGATCGAATATTTTATAAGAGGACTGAGATCTGATCTTTTACAGTGGGGAAAAAAAGTATTTAGTCAGCCACCAATTGTGCAAATTCTCCCACTTAAAAAGATGAGAGGCCTGTAATTAGGTACACATCAACTATGACATACAAATTGAGAAAATAAAATCCAGAAAATCACATTGTAGGATTTTTAATGAATTTATTTGCAAATTATGGTGGAAAATAAGTATTTGGTCACCTACAAACAAGCAAGATTTCTGGCTCTCACAGACCTGTAACTTCTTCTTTAAGAGGCTCCTCTGTCCTCCACTCGTTACCTGTATTAATGGCACCTGTTTGAACTTGTTATCAGTATAAAAGACACCTGTCCACAACCTCAAACAGTCACACTCCAAACTCCACTATGGCCAAGACCAAAGAGCTGTCAAAGCACACCAGAAACACAATTGTAGACCTGCACCACGCTGGGAAGACTGAATATGCAATAGGTAAGCAGCTTGGTTGAAGAAATCAACTGTGGGAGCAATTATTAGGAAATGGAAGACATACAAGACCACTGATAATCTCCCTCGATCTGGGGCTCCACGCAAGATCTCACCCCGTGGGGTCAAAATGATCACAAGAACGGTGAGCAAAAATCCCAGAACCACACGGGGGGACCTAGTGAATGACCTGCAGAGAGCTGGGACCAAAGTAACAAAGCCTACCATCAGTAACACACTACGCCGCCAGGGACTCAAATCCTGCAGTGCCAGACGTGTCCCCCTGCTTAAGCCAGTACATGTCCAAGCCCGTCTGAAGTTTGCTAGAGTGCATTTGGATGATCCAGAAGAGGATTGGGAGAATGTCATATGGTCAGATGAAACCAAAATAGAACTTTTTGGTAAAAACTCAACTCGTCGTGTTTGGAGGACAAAGAATGCTGAGTTGCATCCAAAGAACACCATACCTACTGTGAAGCATGTGGGTGGAAACATCATGCTTTGGGGCTGTTTTTCTGCAAAGGGACCAAGACAACTGATCCGTGTAAAGGAAAGAATGAATGGGGCCATGTATCGTGAGATTTTGAGTGAAAACCTCCTTTCATCAGCAAGGGCATTGAAGATGAAACGTGGCTGGGTCTTTCAGCATGACAATGATCCCAAACACACCGCCCGGGCAACGAAGGAGTGGCTTCGTAAGAAGCATTTCAAGGTCCTGGAGTGGCCTAGCCAGTCTCCAGATCTCAACCCCATAGAAAATCTTTGGAGGGAGTTGAAAGTCCGTGTTGCCCAGCGACAGCCCCAAAACATCACTGCTCTAGAGGAGATCTGCATGGAGGAATGGGCCAAAATACCAGCAACAGTGTGTGAAAACCTTGTGAAGACTTACAGAAAACGTTTGACCTGTGTCATTGCCAACAAAGGGTATATAACAAAGTATTGAGAAACTTCTGTTATTGACCAAATACTTATTTTCCACCATAATTTGCAAATAAATTCATTAAAAATCCTACAATGTGATTTTCTGGATTTTTTTGTCTCATTTTGTCTGTCATAGTTGACGTGTACCTATGATGAAAATTACAGGCCTCTCTTGCACAATTGGTGGCTGACTAAATACTTTTTTTTCCCCCACTGTGTATGTATATATATATATATATATATATATATATATATATATATATATATATATATATATATATATATATATATTTTTTTTTTTTTTTTCCACATTGTCGTTTTCAGCATGGTTCCAGGAACCATGGTGGATGGGTAATCAGGTCAGCTCAGTGCAGCTTGGTTTGGCTCAGAAGTGTGAAAAGCCCTGTACAGCATGTCCTATAGGCTATGGGAAAATGCCTTTTTTTTTCTTTTCTTTTTTTCTTACAGAGATGTAATTCTGGCCACAATCAAATGACTGTCATATATATATATATCGTGGTAAATAATCTATACAAATTAGGGAAAGGTACTGGGCTATGTAACGGTAGCAGAGAAGGAGATATCTGCTCTTTAAGTCCTAGGGAAAGTAACCATGTTTATTCTGCATGAAATGTCTAGGCCAATGGGGCAAAGGTGCCGTGTCCTTACATTTCACAATGTTTTCATTACAGCAGAACTGTAGGCTTCGGCTGTATTTGACATGTTAAGTGTGTTTTACTGTCTATAATCACAGTCTTGGTTAGCCTTTCAGAGTTATGGTGTGTGTGTGAGGCTAGATGGACTAGCATAATAGACAGAGCCTTGGTTGGCTGGTCTAGGTCTTTTTAGCTAGATCTCGCTCATAAATCATAGAAAATGTGTCTCTTAATGTTTCAGTATTAATCCTTGACTGTGTCTGTCATCTCCCGATGACTTGAGGATCACATCATGTTATCACTAACATGATGGGGGGTCAGGCACCCCCAGGGATACTACTACCCAGCTAGGACCCCCAGATTGATGAGAACCATCTGTTTCTCTTGAACGATAGTATCAGTTATGGGTGGTTCAATCAAAGGTCATGAGTAGAGCAGTAGATTGAAGAGCATTCTGGGAAGTGGAGTTCTAGTCCATCAGAGAGCAGCAAACTGCAGGCAGCAGAGACCGTACTCCTGCATGAGTTCACCTTCACATTTATAACTACTCTCAAAAACAGGCCTCCGGATTCCTTACATCATGAACGGGTCAGCAACGTATACTACGCCTACCGTGCTGGATATACAGTTGAAAAGAGGACCACAAGGTAAGAAAATAGCTTTCAGTCGCAACTCAGACATAACTACTGTTAGTTAGCAAGCTTGCAAACGGATGGCCTGGATAGCTAGCAAGCTCGCTAGTTAGCAACAGTTAACTGGCTGGCTGTCTTTATTCAACTTCTGCCAATGTCGTGGCTAATCTGGTCATTGCAAATAGGCTTCAATTTGAACGTCACGGAGATCGGATTTTCCTCCTTTTGCTACCGAGACAAATTAGGCTCTAGCTAGCAATGCTAACTACACTGAACTAAAAATGTTAACGCAACAATTTCAAAGATTTTACTGAGTTAACGTTACAGTTCATATAAGGAAACCAATCAATTACCGCACGGCAAGTGGTACCGATGCACCAAGTCTGGAACCAACTGGACCCTGAACAGCTTCTACCCCCAAGCCATAAGACTGCTAAATAGTTAGTCCGGGTAGCTATTTGGTTAACTATAACTATCTGCATTGACCCCATTTTGCAAAATGTTTCGACTCATCACATACGCTGCTGGTACTATTTTATCTAACCTGTTGCCGAATCACTTTATTCCTAGTTATATGTACATATCTACCTCAATTAAATCGTTCCTCTACACATCGACTCGGTACCCCGTGTATGTAGCCAAGTTATCGTTACTCATTGTGCATTTATTGTTACGTGTTTTACTTTTCTATTATTTCTCTATTTTCTTTCTCTCTGCATTGTTGGTAAGGGCCGGTAAGTATTTCACTGTTAGTATACACTTGTTGTTTACGAAGCATGTGACCAATCACATTTGATTTGATTTTTCTAGCCAGTCACCTCCAGTGAGAATACCCGTATGTAGCTAGCTAGCCTCCATATCTCCAAGACGAGTTGAGTTAAACTAGCGTTTCCATGGCATTTCCATTGTTTTTGGAGTTCCATTGACCTCTTTACCGCATCTGCAATATTATTTTATGAAAAGACTGACTGCATGGTAGGCTACTTCTGGAATGGTTCCGCTTGTACCTTGTCCCACATAGATGACGTCATTCTAATCAGCAGACTTCTCCTTCAGTCCACACCTCCCATGACCTGTCCCCAACATATAATACTTGCTGCACTGCCATAGTTACATAGCCTTCCCCATAGAATTAGAACACTTTATATTTCTCTATGGCCTTTCCCTCTTTGAATATCCAGAAGGTAAATCAGAAGGCTATCAGTCAGCAAATGGCCATGTAATGAGAACTCCATACTAAGTACCTCACCTGAAACTTTCATTTACTGTTCTCTCTCTCTCTCTCTCTCTCTCTCTCTCTCTCTCTCTCTCTCTCCTCTCTCTCTCTCTCTCTCTCTCCTCTCTCTCTCCTCTCTCTCTCTCTCTCTCTCTCTCTCTCAATTCAATTTCAATTTAAGGGCTTTATTGGCATGGGAAACGTATGTAACGTTGCCAAAGCAAGTGAAGTAGATAGTAAAACAAAGTGAAATAAACAATAAATATTAACAGTAAACATTACACTCAGAAGTTTCAAAAGAATAAAGACATTTCAAATGTCTCTCTCTCTCTCTCTCTCTCTCTCTCTCTCTCTCTCGCTCTCTCTCTCGCTCTCTCTCTCGCTCTCTCTCCACTGTCCCTCTCCCTGTCCCCCCTCTCCCTCCCTCCAGGTCTGGGTTTTAACATCGTGGGGGGTCTGGACCAGCAGGATGTCCTGAATGACAGTGGGATCTATGTGGCCAAAATCAAAGAGAATGGAGCTGCAGCGCTGGATGACAGATTACAAGAGGGAGACAAGATATTGGCGGTAAAGATGGACTTTCACCTTTTGAGTTTTGGAGCAGATAACCTCGTACCCACTGACTGGCTCAATTGCTTGAGGGCCAGCCGACTGGTAGATTAGGGAGCAGAGGGTAAGAAGGGGGAATGTAATGTGATGTTTGAATCCATCAATCAATCGTCTATCTAGGAAATGTGTATTAGGCTTTAGATTCCAGCCATCTACTGCAGAAGTGTGGCTTTAATTACATGAGCCTTTTCTCTGGAAGGGAGATCCTAAATGATCATGGTACTATCAATTTATAGTTCTCGATCATATAACATTGCTATCAGTGGCGGTCAGTGCCGTTTCAGATGAGGGAGGACGATTATTTTTTCATGAGCATGGCCTTATTTCTATTACAGCATTTTGGATGACTGTCATTCATATTCCATTCACCCAGTGGTCCTCTGTAGCTCAGCTGGTAGAGCACAGCGCTTGTAACGCCAGGGTAGTGGGTTCGATCCCCGGGACCACCCATACACAAAAATGTATGCACGCATGACTGTAAGTCGCTTTGGATAAAAGCGTCTGCTAAATGGCTTATTATTATTAATGTAACATCGATAGGTTTAGGCTACTACATGATACTCAAATTTTCCCTATACCCATCATGAGGTTGCTACAACCTAGCCTATGAATGAAAGTTTACAATGTAGGTGCACACAGGTCGAGAGACAAATTTGATGTGACAGACATTGACATTCAATACCGCCTTGCACACTCTTGCCTGCATCTAGCTGATATTGGGTGAAATCATTAGTCCAACAGTTGCAAATGAGAGTTTCTATTGGACAAATTCAGGTGTGTTTATCCCTGTTTTGTTCAGTTTGCTTCTGTTTTAAGAAACGTTTTTCAACAGAATCGGCGGAATGAATACAGCCCTGATCACGCATAAACACAGTTCACAGTTTCATAGCAGCCACGTTGTATTCCATCTCACATCTACGTTATGCGCGCTCCTCCTCTCACCTCTTCCCTTCGCTTGTGGACTTCAGTGCACAACACATCAGCTGTATGTGACCAGGCGAAAAAACCTTTCCAAGCCAAACCGTTGTCACAATATTAGCTAAAGTAACGTCATAGTCAGCATAGCTAATAGAACTAACGCGTTAGTAAACCCGCTACAATCATGCGGTAATGTTACAGTGTATAGTCAGTAAGCAGTTAGACCGGCGGGCCCCGGTGGCAATAAATTAGTAAAACCAAAAGCTTACCGTGACTACCGAGTTCCAGTGTTGTGTTGGATAGTGATAGCCAGCTAGCTAACATAGCATCCCTCTGTTTGAGCAGAGTGTTTCAGTGGGCTAAACTAGCTAGCTGCATTTGCTAGCTAAGTGAAACTGAAAGTGGAAAAAAAAATACTATTTTTCTCTTGCTTCTCCTTCATTTAGGAAGAAATTAATTTAACTGTTCAACTATTTTCTTTCTCTCTCTGTGAGTCAACTACTCACCACATTTTATGCAGTGCTAGCTAGCTGTAGTTTATGCTTTCAGTACTAGATGAATTATCTGATCCTTTGATTGGGTGGATAACATGTCAGTTCATGCTGCAAGAGCTCTAATAGGCTGGAGGACATCCTCCGGAAGTTGTCATAATTACTGTGTAAGTCTATGGAAGGGGTTGAGAACCATGAGCCTCCTAGGTTTTGTATTGAAGTCAATGTACCCAGAGGAGGATGGAAGCTAGCTGTCCTCCGGCTACACCATGGTGCTACCCTACAGAGTGCTGTTGAGGCTACTGTAGACCTTCTTTGCAAAACAGTGTGTTTTAATCAATTATTTGGGGACGTGAATATATTTAGTATAGTTTTATCTAAAAAGGATAACTTTTTTAATGTTTTACCATTTTAATTTGTATGAAATTCACTGAGGAGGATGGTCCTCCCCTTCCTCCTCTGAGGAGCCTCAACTGATTGCTGTATACCAAGCTCCATTATGTTATTTTCCTCTGTTTGTGCTATGTAGATTAATGGCCACAAGCTGGAGAACATTTCACACAGTGCAGCGGTGGAGCTCTTCCGATCAGCAGGAGAGGACGTGCGGCTACGCGTTCAGCAGAGGGTGAGTGAGACGTCCACAGGCTCTTCTCGCTCATCTGAGCCTTCTCAATCAACCGTCTTGGGCAGGGTGGGTCATGTTCATTAGGGCACATTGTAGCAAAAAGTGTTTTGCAACTGATAACAGAAAGAAGCATTTCTTATTGGACAAATTCCGATAGTACTAGGCTATATCCCTCGGTCTGAACACAACTCAGATATGGTTGTTAGATGTGTTATTTTGCTGCCCCTGAAGAAGTCTCTCTGTCCCAACAGCCCACCATGGCGATGAATGGTCCCACCAGCTCCGGGCCAGATGGGGACTCTTCTGTCTCCTCCTTGGGAATACTGGTGGCTGTCCTGGGAGCTGCTGCAGCCATTGCCTTCCTCTACATGCGCTTCCAGCCACAACTGAGAAGGCACTTTTAACACACTAACTTTCTCAAAGCATTTTTAACAGCAAAAGCTGGGACTGAACTTTGCTGAAGGCCAAAAAAAAAAAAAAATGAAGAAGAAGAAGAAACGAACTAGGGGGAAAAAAAAGTAAGCCATGTTTCAGGATTTATAGTTGTTCATATCGTTAGAATTCTGCATCTTTGTTTTTATTATTTTTCCTGTGTATTTTGTGATTATCATAGTTGCTAAACGTATGTTGTTTTCTTGCCACAGGGATAACACCAATGACATGAGATAATGAGCTAACTTTGTCATGGTCAAACAAAGAAAAAGAAAGATGTAGGCTTCACAATGAACATGGCATTCCTACTGCTGTGGTGTGGATAGAAAGCGTGTTTATTCCAAAGATATCATTTATATCCGTCAGGAGGAGAGAGATTTATTTGTAGAGTTGAGCCCTGACTCACTCTAGGGGCCTGCTGGCTCATTATTTTCCTGTTCTCACAGGGAGGTTCTGGAAACGGAAAGACCATGTTGTGTTCAGTCACTCAGAGGAGCCTTTGTAACTGAATGGCTGATCTGTTTTAGGGGGAGCCAGTGGGCTATGAGAACCCACTCACTGTATTTTGATTTGGCTAGTCCTTCTGTACAGATGCATATTAGCTATGTTTTGTTTTCATCTTTCCTTTGTCCTAAAACCGTCTCTATAGCAACAATACTTCCGGTTGCAGTAGCTGTATATATGTGAAGGTAACGTTTGGGCTCCTGGCGTTGGGAGGTGGTTAAAACTAGTCACACTGACGAGGTGGTATGTTCAATCAGGCGATGCGCTGTGAACATAGGAGCCTGGTTCCAGATCTGTTTGTGCTCTTGCCTATTTCTTTGCTGTCCTCATCAAGCCAAACAGTTTGGCGTGACAAGGAGTTAGCGCGATAGCACAAACCGACTGGCACTGGGGCTGACGTAAACCAGGCATCCCGTGTTATGTCCCTGAAAGAGAGATGGTATTTTAAATGCTTCCAGGTTCACATGGAGGCTTGGGTTATTGTTAAAAGTAATTCAAGTATTTTCTGTTAATCTAATCCAGGCATGTGCTCACTTACACATTAACGGCAGTAGGCTACATGTTTTATGGAAAGGGAAATATATCGCTTAATCTATTGCTTTCGTTTGTATGCAAAGGAAAACAAAATATTGTGACTTTCGAACGAATATGACTACAGGTCCAACAACTCTATGTGGAGCCGTTCTGTTGATCCAACCCTCTGATAAAGTCCTGATGCTGCCACCTAGTGAACGTTTAGCATTCCCGCAGCTCATCCAATCACTGTAATAGAGGGTGGACTAAATAGGTGTCTTAAGGTGAGCGTAAGGGCGTTTTGTAATGGTGTGTTCGTCCTAAATGGCACCATATTCCCTATGTAGTGCACTACTTTTCACCAGGAACCATATGTAGTGCTGCTGGAGCGCGGGGGAGCGGCGCTCCCTCACTTTTTTCAATTTGAGAATACACGGAGCTGGTAGAAGTATTTCTGTAAAATGTCATCTGATACATTCCAAATATTTAATTAATTACCACTAAAATTCCATGAAAAACGATAGAATGACAAACCAAATAAATATGTATAGCAGCCTAAAGGAAACCAACTCGCTGAGCGCGCTGCCGAACTGCAGCAACAAGTGGCCAAAAATAGGGCAAGTTCTTTCCTGGTCTCACTTTGAGCGGGACAAATCCTACGTAACAAGAACAGCCACATACAGAAAACTACGAGGGGGTTGCTAAAATGGCTGTCCTCAAAACCATTGTAATGGACTTGGGGCTCATATACGACGCACTTAATGAACTCACCTTGTCTGAGTGTAGCCTATGTCTGCTCTAATACGCTCACGAAACAGTAATTCAAGAAGATCTAAATGCCCATGACACCTTTTGGTATTAACTGTATGTAGTTGTGTGTGTGTGTCACCCTGCTAACTAATAAGAAGTGAATGAGTTCAATAAGTACATGCCAAGGAAGAACAGACCAGGACAGTAGCAATGTAATGCAAAATGCTGTGTGTTTTGATAATGTTTCGGGCACCTATTAAAATTCATGTTGAATTTGCGTGCACCAGCATGAATCATTGTAATGTACATTTAGACTGTTCATGCGGTCACCTTGGACAGGAGTCGGGGCACCCAACTGGACCCTAGCCAGCCAGCTGTCCCAGACTTAGGACACTGACTGTCCCTTCACTTGAGTACAGAATATCACCTCTCCAAACTGATTGTTTGTTTTCAAAAAGGCATTGATGATTATGATTATTGATATAGCAAATGAATTGCTGTGGGGTTTTTGGCCACATCTCTACACTTTTGCCCATTAAACAAGAATCAAGCTAGTATGAAAATGAGATTACATGTAAACAAACAAAAAAAGCTGTCCTCTTCATGTATGTTTATTCTGCTTCTGTGTGTCCACCACCAGTTTGGTGTAGGATAGTTCCACTTTTGATCGAATGAAACCTTGCCATGAATTGTATTGAATTGGGTCAGTGAACTTTGTGGAGCAGAATAAATTGTTTCCCTATGCCCACTTGTCTTCGACCCCAGACTAAAGCAAATTGACTCTGCAAACGTGAGGGAATGAGAATGCACATTGAAATTGTGATGAGTGATAGACCAACTTTTAAGATGAAAGATGAAATCAAAGTGTAACAAGTTATGTTTGTACCAGATATTTTCTAGACAAGGAGGTTGAATTGGCAGCTTTTAGGGTGGCGAAATTGAATTAACCTGAGCGACAGTCTGTTTGTGCTATCGTGTCAAGTTCTTGTCATTCATTGGCTTGACAAGGAGCAATGGGATGCCATCAAGTAGAAGTGTTGCATCAATGTGCAGCTAATGTATGTCTGTCTAATTGTGTATTGATTGTGAGCACTGACAACATTTTACATTTAAGCCATTTAGCAGATGCTCTTATCCAGAGCGACTTACAGTTAGTGAGTGCATACATTTTTCATACTGCCCCCACCCCGTGGGAATCGAACCCACAACCCTGGCGTTGCAAGCGCCACGCTCTACCGACTGAGCTACAGGAGCCCTACAACAAGCGCTTGTAGAGCCTGTGGTGGGCAAGAATCTAAAGGGAATTAATGGTATTATATGGAGTCACTGGGGTGACAATAACAATGACTGTAATCTAGGGTATGTCCCAAATGGCTCCCTATGTATACTTAAGGCTCTGATCATAAGTAGTGCACTATATAGGGTGCCATTTGGGATAAGACTGTATTTTGTTTTCATTTAAAGCACATTTGGTGTGTGTTTGTGTGAAATAACTCACTTCCATTATTTCGTCACCTTTTATTATGAATTTTCTGTAAGAGACATACTGAATGCAGCACATTCAAGTTCACAAATCGTGTATGTTTTGCCCCTGTATCGTTGTTAGACAGTGCTATATTTTTTGGATGATCAATGTGATGCATTGTGATCTTAACGTTGCTACTGATTCTGCTGTATAAAAAAAAATGGGAGGGGTTGGGGTGGTGATTCCACCCATGGCTTTGGAAGACGATGAGGTGGAAGAGGAACATGGTGGTGATGATAAATCGTGATTATAAAAGTGAATAGTTACAAATAAAAGCATAGCTCTCTTGGTAAAAGCTTTGTTGACTGCTGCAACTACGCGCTCTTTCTCTCCTCATTTATGCAGCCCTTGATCAATTGGGTAGTGGATTGGAGGACGCTGTGAGGCAGCCTGTAGCAAGATGACGTAATCAAACATTTCTGCTCCTAAAAGCAAACGTATGCTTGATCCCAAAATGTGGTCGGAGGCGCTGTATCGATGGTGTGACGCAATTGCGGAGCCTCCCGTGGCATGCAGAGGCCAAATTGGGCTCCATACTGTATCGGACAAATTTTGAAACAATGCCGAGGGTTTCAAATAAGTTCAGCATTGACATGATTGGTTGATGGTAGGGGGTGGCGGTGGGTCCTGTATAAACACAAATTGACTTCCTTCACAACAGCTCTGCGCTGCTCCCTGAAGAGCAAGGAATATGAATATGCCCTGCCTTCTGCAGAGGCCGTATCACCGTAAATGCTGCATGGCCAACGCAGACAAATTGACCATGCAGCGCCTTTAACTCGTTCCCATTCACAGAGAAGCATGCCGTCCCGCCAGCTGTGATGTACACCACAGGTCATGGCTAGAAAGGATACAGCTTTTGTTCAATTAACGTCAAAAGTTGCATTATTTTTTTGCATTTTTCCTAACCTAATTCTCTTAACCTGCTGCGTAAATTCGGACAAAAGCTGTATCCCATCTGGTCATAACCCGCACCACACGGTTCGGATGATTTCATTCACTTTCTTTTTAGCAGTTTTCTCGAGACCGGAGGACACCGTTTTTCGCGGCGAGAGATATGGTTGGGTGGTGTCGTAGTAAATATATAATGTTATAGCTTGGTCTGACTAAAATCTTGTGCATGACCCATTTTGTGTTGGGCGTTTGTTTTCAATCAATGCTGTTCCTATCCTATAACAATGGACAAAAGAGTCCTATCTTGTCAGCCTTGTCAGCAGGTGGCCAAGGACAACACCCACGCCATAGGTCTCTCAGTTCTTCCAACTCACGAGTTCTTGCTCTGAGGACACACACACACACACACACACACACACACACACACACACACATCATCACTGATAACACACACACACACACACACACACACACACATCATCACTGATAACACACACACACACATACACACACATCATCACTGTTAAACACACACACACACACAAAAATCCCCTTCCTTTAGGCTGAACATTTGAAGACAGAGAACCCGACTCAGAGCCAATGCAACAGTGGAGGGGACCTCGCCCAACTCATCAGGACCAATCAGAAGATCAGAACTACTAGATTCAACCTACATCATTTATTGTATAAAATGTCTGCACACAATGTTTTCGGGGCTCTCTTCAGATAGCTCCCTAAGAGTTTGACGAACGGGTCCGTGCACGCGATTCCAGATATCTTTACCTCTGAATAAACTGCCTTATATTATACCATTATCCACCCTGTCCAAAGTCTCTACTTGGTCTCAGTTCTCCAGTAAACTTGTGATCATCAACAGTGGGGAGGATATCATCGAATGGACAGAGACGGAGGACAGTAGCTAGCTTCAGCAAAAACGACTCGACTCTCGATCTATCTGTGTGATGAAAAGGGCCACATCATCCGCGACTGATGCCTGCGAACTCAACTGCTGCACCAGCTACGATTATCATGGCTTGGATACGTTCTACACCTGCGCTGTTGCTAGCTTTTACCACCACAGCTGACAAGCCAAAAGTGAACCTTAAAACAATACGGAAATCTATTGCCAGCTAGATATGCAACTTTTCAGGGAAGTCAGGAACCAATATACACAATCAGTTAGGAAAGCAAAGGCTATCTTTTTCAAACAGAAATGTGCATCCTGTTGCACTAACTCCAAAAAGTAGTTTTGGGACACTGTAAAGTCCATGGAGAATAAGAGCACCTCCTCCCAGCTGCCCACTGCACTGAGGCTAGGAAACACTGTCACCACCGATAAATCTACAATAATCGAAAATTTCAACAAGCATTTTCTACGGCTGGCCATGCTTTCCACCTGGCTACCCCTACCCCGGCCACCAGCTCTGCACCCTCCGCTGCAACTTGCCCATGCCCCCCCCCCCCCCGCTTCTCCTTCACTCAAATTCAGACAGCTGATGTTCTGAAAGAGCTGCAAAATCTGGACCCCTACAAATCAGCTGGGCTAGACAATCTGGACTCTTTCTTTCTAAAATTAGCCGCCGAAATTGTCGCAACCCCTATTACTAGCCTGTTCAACCTCTCTTTCGTATCGTCTGAGATCCCCAGAGATTGGAAAGCTGCCACGGTCATCCCCCTCTTCAAAGGGGGTGACACTCTAGATCCAAATAGTTACAGACCTATATCCATCCTGCCCTGCCTTTCGAAAGTATTTGAAAGCCAAGTTAACAAACAGATCACCGACCATTTCGAATCCCACTGTACCTTCTCCACTATGCAATCTGGTTTCCGAGCTGGTCATCGGTGCACCTCAGCCACGCTCAAGGTCCTAAATGATATTATAACCGCGATCGATAAAAGACAGTACTGTGCAGCCGTATTCATCGACCTGGCCAAGGCTTTCCACTCTGTCAATCACCGCATTCTTATTGGCAGACTAAATAGCCTTGGTTTCTCAAATGACTGCCTCGCCTGGTTCACCAACTACTTCTCAGATAGAGTTCAATATGTCAAATCGGAGGGCCTGTTGTCTGGACCTCTGGCAGTCTCTATTGGGGTGCCTCAATTCTCGGGCCGACTCTATTCTCTGTGTATATCAATGATGTCGCTCTTGCTGCTAGTGACTCTCAGACCCACCTCTACGCAGACGACACCATTTTGTATACATCTGGCCCTTCATTAGACACTGTGTTAACAAACCTCCAAACGAGCTTCAATGCCATACAGCACTCCTTCCGTAGCCTCCAACTGCTTTAAACACTAGTAAAACTAAATGCGTGCTCTTCAATCGAACGCTGCTTGCACCCACCCGCCCGACTAGAATCACTACTCTCGGTGGCTGACTTAGAATATGTGGACAACTACAAATACCTAGGTGTCTGGTTAGACTGTAAACTCTCCTTCCAGACTCACATTAAGCATCTCCAATCCAAAGTTAAATCTAGAATCGGCTTCCTATTTCGCAACAAAGCCTCCTTCACTCATGCTGCCAAACATGCCCTCGTAAAACTGACTATCCTACCGATCCTTGACTTCGGCGATGTCATTTACAAAATAGCCTCCAACACTCTACTCAGCAAATTGGATGTAGTCTATCACAGTGCCCTCCGTTTTGTCACCAAAGCCCCATATACTACCCACCACTGTGACCTGTATGCTCTCGTTGGCTGGCCCTCACTACATATTCGTCGCCAAACCCACTGGCTCCAGGTCATCTATAAATCACTGCTAGGCAAATCCCCGCCTTATCTTAGCTCATTGGTCACCATAGCAACACCCACCCGTAGTCTGCGCTCCAGCAGGTATATCTCACTTGTCATCCCCAAAGCCAACACCTCCTTTGGCCGCCATTCCTTCCAGTTCTCTGCTGCCAATAACTGGAACGAACTGCAAAAATCTCTGAAGCTGGAGACTCTTATCTCCCTCACTAACTTTAAGCATCAGTTGTCAGAGCAGCTTACTGATCACTGCACCTGTACACAGCCCATCTGTAATTATCCCACCCAACTACCTCATCCCCATATTGTTATTTACATTGTTATTTATTTTGCTCATTTGCACCCCAGTATCTCTATTTGCACATCATCTTCTGCACATCTATCATTCCAGTGTTAATACCAAATTGTAATTATTTTTGCACTATGGCCTATTTATTGCCTTACCTCCATAACTTACTACATTTGCACACACTGTATATATATTTTCTATTGTGTTATTGACTGTACGTTTTGTTTATTCCATATGTAACTCTATGTTGTTGTTTTTATCGCACTGCTTTGCTTTATCTTGGCCAGGTCGCAGTTGTAAATGAGAACTTGTTCTCAACTGGCTTACCTGGTTAAATAAAGGTGAAATTAAAAAATTTAAAAAAGTTATATGCTAGCAGTTTTTTCCTTATCGCCGCCTTTGAGAGAAAAGTGATATCCCAGATTCGTACACAAGCATCATCACACAGATTATCCATTATATTTCCCAGATGGTCAAGTGGTCGCTCTAACGTGAAAATACATGTCTTCAAAACGGGAAGCAGTCGGGAGGAGGCGAGACCGGGTGGGACCATTCTAGCCAATGAGAGGGCAGATACACGCATGAGCAACGGGCACAACTCCGATATAAATTTTTTTTTTTTTCTCAATGTTTCCGGGAAAAAAACGCCACCTGCTGGAGAAGACAGATTTTGGGGCCATTTATCCCTCTCGCTTCGCCTCTTCCTCTCTGATCATCATCATCCTCGCAGGCCAGCTGTGCTGTTTTGGCAACTGCTGTTTTAGCTTCACAGTCGATTGATCGCAGTTTATGCGAAGGTTTGGTTTCCAGAGCCCCTATTTGTCTACGCTTTGGGTAATGGAAATGGGCCGTGTTCAACAGTTCTGCAACTGGCTAGTTCGAGCTAGCTAGCGAGCTAATTAGACGCGGGATTTTGTGCGTGCCTGTGGTCTTTACAGCCAGAAAGCTAAATATGAACCTTTGACGTTTCACCCCCTTGATATTTGATACTTTTTCTACCTCTAGAATCTAGATACTCTTGGCTTTGGAACGGACATAATTTCTCGTTTTGGCTGAGGGCGGAGCATGACAGACATGCGATCCACCATCCCTCCACCCCGGTGCTTCGTCCGGTCCAATACGCCGCGGTGTGAGTAGCCCATCTGGGAAGCGCACATCAGCAGAATCCAATCCTATGCGCCTCTTGGGTGTCGGGGCGAGAAGGTGCTACTATTACTTAAGCGCAATTACGTCGGAGGGAGAGGAGGACGTTGCCTTCCCATCTCAGGATTAAACCATGGCTAATGAACCTGTCATCCTTAATGTGTATGATATGGTAAGATTGTGTGTTTTCACTCAGTGCCATTATTTTGCCTGTGAATCAATGTAACATACTAACCTACTATTGTCACACACACACAATATTTAGTCTCTTTGCACACACACACATCCACGTTTTGTTCTATCCTCGTGGGGACCTGAAATTAATTTCCATTCAAAATCCTATTTTCCGTAACCCAAACCCTAAACCTAACCACTAACCACTAACCCCTAACCCTAACCCAAACCCTAAACCTAACCACTAACCCCTAACCCTAATTGTAACCCTAACGCCTAAGCTTAAAATAGCCTTTGTCCTCATGGGGTTGTGGGAAATGTCCCCAACCAGTGATAATTTTCCTTGTTTTATTATCCTTGTGGGGATTTTAGGTCCCCACAATGATAGAAGATCCAACCCACACACACACACACACACACACACACACACACACACACACACACACACAGGGATGGATTTGACAACCAGGCAGGTGCATAGTTGGCTCCTCTCCTCCCCTCTGATATCTCCAGGCCAGCAGTCACAGATGAGGACCCCAGTGGAGCTGAAAGTCACAGCTGCTCAAACGCCTGATTAAATCCCAGCGTAGCTCTGCTTTGCAGGGAGTAGGGACAGACTGGGACCAGAAATCGGCACGGGCATTTCTAACACACCGGCCTATTTGGATAACAGTATTCTGCTTGAATCCCCCAATTTAGACCGGCCCGCTGGACTAAAGATGGACCGGCCCATCTGGCATTTGCCCGGACTGCTCTATGTCTGGGACCCTCTGGCTGGCACACTACAGGTCATGCAGGGGCTGCTGGAAAAGGGTGCGACCCCAGAGAGAGAAAAGGGTGCGACCCCAGAGAGAGAGAAGGGTGCGACCCTTAGAAAGAGAAGGGTGCGACCCCAGAGAGAGAGAAGGGTGCGACCCCAGAGAGAGAAAAGGGTGCGACACCAGAGAGAGAGAAGGGTGCGACCCCAGAGAGAGAAAAGGGTGCGACCCTTAGAAAGAGAAGGGTGCGACCCCAGAGAGAGAGAAGGGTGCGACCCCAGAGAGAGAAAAGGGTGCGACACCAGAGAGAAAAAAGGGTGCGACCCCAGAGAGAAAGAGAAGGGTGCGACCCCAGAGAGAGAGAAGGGTGCGACCCCAGAGAGAGAGAAGGGTGCGACCCTTAGAAAGAGAAGGGTGCGACCCCAAAGAGAGCGAGAGAAGTGATCATGGGTTGGGACTTGGGAGCAAATTCCAATTTCTATTTTCCTCATTGAAAAGCAATGAATTGAGTGAATTGAAATGGAATTCACCCCAACCCTGGTTCGTAGAGTCCTAAACACTTTTTGAATAACAACAATAAGGTTAAGACAAGTGAAGACAGGAATACGTTTGAATTACTGTACTCTGTGCATTGAGAGAACTGAAGGAGTGATGGGTTGATTTCTAAAAGACAGTGACGCAGAGAGAGAGAGAGATAGAGAGAGACTGGAGGATGGGTGTGAAATGAGGCATGATATTTCTGCATGGACAGAAAGACAATTGAATGTAATGTGGGAGTCCCTCGGAGACTGCGTGCAGCATTCCAGCTTTAGACTGAAGAGATGCGAGACATGGTTTTACCAGATACCGAGGCTCTCTTTCAGTGGTGTGCAGATCAAAATCATCAAATGTTATTTGTCACGTGTGCCGAATACAGCACCGTGAAATGCTTACTTACAAGCCCTTAACTAACAATGCAGTTCAAGAAATAGAGTTAAGAAAATATTTACTAAATAAACTAAAGTAAAAAAAATTAAAATAAAGTAACACAATAAAATAACAATAGCGAGGTTGTATACAGGGAGTACCGGTACCGAGTCAATGTGCGGGGGTACAGGTTAGTCAAGGTAATAGTACATGTAGGTAGGGGTAAAGTGACTTTAAATAGTCCGTGTGGCCATTTGATTAATTGTTCAGAAGTCTTATGGCTTGGGGGTAGAAGCTGTTAAGGAGCCTTTTGGACCTAGACTTGGCACTCCGGTACCACTTGCCGTGCGGTAGCAGAGAGAACAGTCTCCTGAGGGGGAAAAGGTGTTGTCGTGCCCTCTTCCCGACTGTCTTGGTGTGTTTGGATCATGATAGTTTGTTGGTGATGTGGACACCAAGGAACTTGAAACTCTCAACCTGCTCCACTACAGCCCCGTCGATATGAATGGGGACGCGTTCGGCCCTTCTTTTCCTGTAGTCTACAATCATCTCCTTTGTCTTGCTCACGTTGAGGAAAATCAAATCAAATCAAATCAAATTTTATTGGTCACATGCGCCGAATACAACAGGTGCAGACATTACAGAGAAATGCTTACTTACAGCCCTTAACCAACAGTGCATTTATTTTAAACAAAAAAAGTAAGAATAAAACAACAACAAAAAAAGTGTTGAGAAAAAAAGAGCAGAAGTAAAATAAAGTGACAGTAGGGAGGCTATATATACAGGGGGGTACCGTTGCAGAGTCAATGTGCGGGGGCACCGGCTAGTTGAGGTAGTTGAGGTAATATGTACATGTGGGTAGAGTTAAAGTGACTATGCATAAATACTTAACAGAGTAGCAGCAGCGTAAAAAGGATGGGGTGGGGGGGCAGTGCAAATAGTCCGGGTAGCCATGATTAGCTGTTCAGGAGTCTTATGGCTTGGGGGTAGAAGCTGTTGAGAAGTCTTTTGGACCTAGACGAGGTTGTTGTCCTGGTACCACACTGCCAGGTCTCTGACCTCCCTATAGGCTGTCTTGTCTGTGATCAGGCCTACCACCGTTGTGTCGTCAGCGAACTTAATGATGGTGTTGGAGTCGTGCTTGGCCACGCAGTCGTGGGTGAACAGGGAGGACAGGAGGGGACTAAGCACTAAGACTAAGATAGTGTCAAATTCAAATGAAAGACCAATAACATAGAACTCCAGAACTCTAGTCCACAAAATAAAGTTAGCTTCTTTGCATTATCAGTCCACCAATTCTAAAAAAAAAAGACGGAATAGTTAGCTGAATACCATATGTGAGAGCCTGCAACAGTAAGCTTACAGGTAGTGTTTTGAAGACACTGTCATTTCACTAGCACCGTGTCAGTCAGGAAAGTATTTATTATTAATGGAGGGTCCAGCTGGTGGGATGTGAATGTCTTTTACCCCCCCCCCATCCCACACACAAGGGTACAGGAGAAGGTCTGATCGTTAGCACAGACTGGAACATGTTCCGGGATTCATCCGATGGCATTGAGGAGTTTACCACATCAGTCACCGGCTTCATTAATAAGTGCATCGACGACGTCGTCCCAACAGTGACCGTACGTAAATATCTCAACCAGAAGCCTTGGATTACAGGCATTTTCCGCACTGAGCTAAAGGCTAGAGCTGCTGCTTTCAAGGAGCGGGACACTAATCCGGAAGCTTTTAAGTAATCCCGCTACGCCCTTCGATGAACCATCAAACAGGCAAAGCGTCAATATAGGATCAAGATCTAGTCTTACTACACCGGCTTTGACGCTTGTCGGATGTGGTAGGGCTTGCAAACTATCACGGATTACAAAGTGAAAACCAGCCGCGAAGCTCTCCAGTGACGCAAGCCTACCAGACGAGCTACGTACCTTCTATGATCGCTACGAGGCAAGCAACACTGAACCATGCATGAGAGCACCAGCTATTACGGACGACTGTGTGATCACGCTCTCTGTAGCTGATGTGTGTAAGACCTTTAAACAGGTTAACATTCACAAAGCCGCAGGGAGCGTCATTTTCAACCTCTCCCTGACCCAGTCTGTAATACCTACATGTTCCAAGCAGACCACCATAGTCCCTGTGCCCAAGAACGCTAAGGTAACCTGCCTAAATGACTATCGGTACAAAGCACCCACATCTGTAGCCATGAAATGCTTTGAAAGGCTGTTCATGGTTCACATCAACACCATCATCCCAGACACCCTGGGCCCACTCCAATTTGTATACCGCCCCAACAGATCCACAGATGACGTAATCTCTATTGCACTCCACACTGTCCTTTCCCACCTGGACAAAGGGAACACCTACATGAGAATGCTGTTCATTGACTACAGTTCAGCATTCAATACCATAGTGTCCTCCAAGCTCATCACTAAGCTAAGGACCCTGGGACTAAACACCTCCCTCTGCAACTGGATCATGGACTTCCTGCCGGGCCGCCCCCAGGTGGTGAGGGTAGGCAACAACACATCCGCCACGCTGACCCTCAGCACGGGGGCCCCTCAGCTTTAAGTTCATTGGTGTGTCCACATCACTAAGGAATTTTCATGGTCCACACACACCAACACAGTCGTGAAGAGGGCACGACAATGCATCTCCCCCTCGGGAGGCTGAAAAGATTCAGCATGGGCCCTTAGATCCTCAAAAAGTTATACAGTTGCACCAATGAGAGCATCTTGACTGGCTGCATCACCGCTTGGTATGGCAACTGCTTGGCATCCGACAGCTAGGCGCTACAGAGGATAGTGCATACCGCCCAGTCACTGGGGCCGAGCTCCCTGCCATCCAGGACCTCTATACCAGGCGGTGTTCAGAGGAAGGTCCTAAAAATTGTAAAATACTCCAGCAAGCCTAGTCATAGACTGTTCTCTCTGCTGCCGCACGGCAAGCGGTACCAATGCACCAAGTCTGGAACCAACAGGAACCCTGAACAGCTTCTACCCCCAAGCTAAATACAGTGCATTCTGAAAGTATTCAGACCCCTTTGACTGTTTTCCACATTTTGTTACGTTACAGCCTTATTCTAAAATGGATAGTTTTTCCCGTCATCAATCTACACACAATACCCCATAATGACAAAGCAAAAACTAAAAATAAGAAACTGAAATATCGCATTTACATAAGAATTCAGACCCTTTACTAAGTACTTTGTTGAAGCACCTTTGGCAGCGATTACAGCCTCGAGTCTTCTTGGGTATGACGCTACAAGTTTGGCACACCTGTATTTGGGGAGATTTCTCCCATTCTTCTCTGCAGATCCTCTCAAGCTCTGTCAGGTTGGATGGGGAGCGTCGCTGCACAGCTATTTTCAGGTCTCCCAGAGATGTTAGATCGGGTTCAAGTCGGAGCTCTGGCTGACCAAAGCCCTTCTCCCCCGATGGCTCAGTTTGGCCGGGCGGCCAGCTCTAGGAAGAGTCTTGGTGGTTCCAAACTTCTTCCATTTAAGAATGATGGAGGCCACTGTGTTCTTGGGGACCTTCAATGCTGCAGACACATTTTAGTACCCTTACCCATATCTGTGCTTAGACACAATCCTGCTCTGACATGCACTGTCAACTATGGGACCTTATATAGACAGGTGTGTGCCTTTCCAAATCACAGGTGGACTCCAATCAAGTTGTAGAAACATCTCAAGGATGATCAATGGAAACAGGATGCACCTAAGCTCAATTTCGAGTCTCATAGCAAAAGGTCTGAATACTTATCTAAATTAGGTATTTCTGTTTTTTATTTGTAATACATTTGCACACATTTCTAAAAACCTGTTTTTCGCTTTGTCATTACGGGGTATTGTGTGTAGATTTAATTTAATCCATTTTAGAATAAGGCTGTAACGTAACAACATGTGGAAAACAGGAAGGAGTCTGAATACTTTCTGAATGCTCTGTAGTTAGTCCGAGTAGTTATTGGTTACTATTTAACTATCTGCACTGACACTTTCTGCACAGGGGTTATATCCTGCCTGGTTGGCCCTGTCCTATCTGGTGAAATTCTCCTGTCTTATCTGGTGTCCTATGTGAACTTAAGTATGCTCCCTCAAATTCTCCCATCTCTCTCGCTCACTCGCTCTCTTTCTCTCCCCCCCCCCCCCCCACCACTTCCTCCCGGAGGACCTGAGCCCTAGGATCATGCTTCAGGACTCCAGGCTGTCCCCGTCCCCAGTCCACTTGGTCGTACTGCTGAACCCAGTTTCTGCTGTTTTGCCTGCGGCTATGGAACCCTGACCTGTTCCCCCGGGACGTGGTACCTTGTCCTGGACCTACTGTTTTCGACCCTCTCTCTCCCACTCCCCCCCCCCCCTCTCTCTCTACCGCACCTGCTGTCTCGACCTCTGAATGCTCGGCTATGAAAAGCCAACTGACATTTACTCCTGAGGTGCTGACCTGTTGCACCCTCTACAACCACTGTGATTATTATTTGACCCTATGAACGTTTGAACATCTTGAAGAACGATCTGGCCTTAATGGCCATGTACTCTTATAATCTCCACCCGGCACAGCCAGAAGGGACTGGCCACCCCTCAGATCCTGGTTCCTCTCTAGGTTTCTTCCTAGGTTCCTGCCTTTCTAGGAAGTTTTCCTAGCCACCGTGCTTCTACATCTGCATTGCTTGCTGTTTGGGGTTTTAGGCTGGGTTTCTGTATAGCACTTTGTGACATCTGCTGATGTAAAAAAGGCTTTATACATTAATTTGATTTGATTTTGACTAACTCTTTTGACTCATCACGTACACAGCTGTTACTGTTTATTATCTATCCTGTTGCCTAGTCACTCTATCACTCTACCCCGGGTATATAGCCATGTTATTACCTGGTACCCCGGGTATATAGCCATGTTATTACCTGGTACCCCTGCACATCCACTCAGTACTGGTACCCTGTGTATATAGCCATGTTATTACCTGGTACCCGGTGTATATAGCCATGTTATTACCTGGTAGACCCCTGGATATAATAGCCATGTTATTACCTGGTACCCTGGTATATAGCCATGTTATACCTGGTAACCCCGGGTATATAGCCATGTTATTACCTGGTACCCTGGGTATATAGCCATGTTATTACCTTGTACCCCGTCACCACCCCGGGTATATAGCCAATGTTATTTACCTGGTACACCCGGGTAGATAGCCATGTTATTACCTGGTACCCACTGCACATCCACTCAGTACTGGGTACCTGTGTATATAGCCAGGTTATTACCGGGTACCTGTGTATATACAGTTATTTCCTGTACCTCCGGGTATTCCCTGTTACCCCCCGGGTATTTAGTCCATGTTATTGAACCTGGTACCCCCCCGGGTATTTAGGCCATGTTTATTACCTGGTAACCCCTGGGTATATAGCCATGGTTATTACTGGTACCCCCGGGTATATAGCCATGTTATTACCTGGACCTGCACACATCAGTACGGTCCCGGTATATAGCCATGTTATTACCTGGGTACCTGGGTATATAGCCATGTTATACCTGGTACCCCGGGTATATAGCCATGTTATTACCTGGTACCCCCCTGCATCCTCAGTACTGGTACCCTGATATAGCCATGTTATTACCTGGTACCCTGTGTATGCCATGTTTCCCTGGTACCCGGTATTAGCCATGTTATTACCTGGTACCCCGGTATTTAGCCATGTTATTAACTGGTACCGGGGGATAGCCATGTATAACTGGTTACCCCGGGTATTATAGTCCATGTATACTGGTACCCCAGGTTATAGCCTGTTATTACTGGTACCCGGGTATTAGCCATGTTATTACCTGGTACCCCGGGTATTTAGCCATGTTATTACCTGGTACCCCGGGTATTTAGCCATGTTATTACCTGGTACCCCGGGTATTTAGCCATGTTATTACCTGGTACCCCGGGTATATAGCCATGTTATTACCTGGTACCCCTGCACATCCACTCATTATGGATTTATCGTTGTGTTATTATTTTTCTATTATTTTTCTCTCTGCATTGTTGGGAAGGGCCCGGAAGCATTTCACTGTTAGTCTACACCTGTTGTTTACGAAGCCTGGCAAATAACATTTGATTTGATTTGGGGAGGAGATAGGATCTGTGGGGGATGGGATGTTACCAAAGGTCTGGGGCCATATGTATAAAGTTGATCTAGGATCAGGCCTTCCCTGTCCATGTAACCTTGTTAATTGTGATCTAAAAGGCTAAACTGAAATCAGCACTTCTACTCTGAGACTCCTGATAACCTAATTACAGCCCCTGATTGGTCGAGCATGGCGCTTGTAACTCCAGGGTAGTGGGTTCGATCCCCGGGACCACCCATACGTAAAAATGTATGCACACATGACTGTAAGTCGCTTTGGATAAAAGCGTCTGTTAAATGGTATATTATTATTATTATTATTATTATAAGAGGGGGTTTCTGTGGGGGTAAGGAATAGGGGTGTTAACACCACCGCACGTGTAGATGAAATATGAGTAGCATCCCTTACCTTCCCCTCCCCCAACGGTGTTTCTGTGAACAGGTGCTTGGTGGTCAGACCTGCTTCTATTAACATTTTGATTACAATTTACTTCGCATACATTTCAGGATTTTAAATGAAAATACAAAACATGCAAACTCACTCTCATAGGACGATTCAAAGGAAAAAAACATCATTCTAACCATTCCAGGACATTGCATTCTAACTGTTGAATCTTTCTTTCTCTATTCAGTACTGGATCAACGAGTACACTTCCAATCTGGGTGTTGGAGTCTACCACTCAGGCATTGAGATCTATGGCCGAGGTACAGAGGAAGACCTTCACTACTTTTTCATTCATACATCCAGCCATTCACTCACTCACTCACTCACTCACTCACTCACTCACTCACTCACTCACTCATTCAAATCAGTGTGCTGTTGGCTAAATGGAATGTTAATGTGGAATGTTAGATGTGGAATGTCTCTCCACAGCTTCTATCCCATTGAGATTCTATCATTTTGTGTTCTATCCTCCTGAACCCACTCACCATTGAATCATAATGTGTGGAGAGAGCAAGAGAGTTTAGCATCAACCCACAGAGAGACAGACAGACAGACAGACAGGACAGACGGACTGACTGACTGGTCTTATTCATAATGCCCTCAGTCACAGGCTGTACCTAGAAGATATTGTGGTCTGCTACATCATACACTTTTTTTTATATCCTATAAAAGTGACACGTCATTTTCCAGGAAGTAGCCTTGTAGTTTAAAAAACAACAACGTTTGTAGTCTTTTTGAATGGTCTTCAACGAGCAAAAATGTAGAGCAATGGTCTTCAGCAAAACACTTAATAAAAGGCATCTGGCTGAAGTAAATTCATCCACAAACCCAAATAAAATGTTATGTATATCTTACATGACCGCATTTTCACGAATTTGATAATATAATCGTCAAGTCCATTCAAAAGATTAGGGGACATGACCCGGAAGTAACGCGGAAGATGACGTAACTTTCACAGGGTATTCCACACGATATCTTCTCACATCACACGATATCTTCTCACACCACATGATATTTTCTCACACCACACAATATCTTCTCACACAATATTTTCTCACACCACATGATATCTTCTCACACCACACAATATCTTCTCACACGATATCTTCTCACTCCACACGATATCTTCTCACTCCACACGATATCTTCTCACACCACACGATATCTTCTCACACGATATCTTCGAAACACAACACAATATCTTCTCACTCCACACAATATCTTCTCATACGATATCTTCTAATGCCACACAATATCATCTCACACCACACGATATATTCTCACACCACACGATATCTTCTCACACCACACGATATCTTCCCACACCACACGATATCATCTCACACCACACGATATCTTCTCACGCCACACGATATCTTCTCACAGCCACACAATATCTTCTCACACCACACAATATCTTCTCACGCCACACAATATCTTCTCACGCCACACAATATCTTCTCACGCCACACAATATCTTCTCACACCACACAATATCTTCTCACACCACACAATATCTTCTCACGCCACACGATATCTTTTCACACCACACAATATTTTCTCACGCCACACGATATCTTCTCACGCCACACAATATCTTCTCACACCACACAATATCTTCTCACACAATATTTTCTCACACCACATGATGTCTTCTCACACCACACGATATCTTCTCACACCACACAATATCTTCTCACACGATATCTTCTCACTCCACACGATATCTTCTCACACCACACAATATCTTCTCACACGATATCTTCGAAACACAACACAATATCTTCTCACTCCACACAATATCTTCTCATACGATATCTTCTAATGCCACACAATATCATCTCACACCACACCATATATTCTCACACCACACGATATCTTCTCACACCACACGAATCTTCCTCCACACCACACGATATCATCCTCACACCACACGATATCTTCACCCCACACGATATCCTTCTCACCACACATATCTTCTCACACCACACAATATCTTCTCACGCCACACAATATCTTCTTCACGCCACACAATATCTTCTCACACCACAACAATATCTTCTCACACCACCACAATATCTTCTCACCCACACGATATCTTTTCACGCCACACGATATCTTTTCACGCCACACGAATATCTTCTCACACCACACAATATCTTCTCACACCACACAATATCTTCTCACCACATATTTCTCACACCACATGATTCTTCTCACACCACACTAATATCCTTCTCACACCACACAATATCTTCTCACACGATATCTTCCACTCCACACGATAATCTTCTCACACCACACACATATCTTCTCACACGATAGCTCTCTCACTCCACACAATATTTTCTCACGCCACACGATATCTTCTCACACCGAATACTTCAACCAACACAATATCTTCTCACCCACACAATTTCTTCTCACACATATCTCCTCACACCACACATATCTTCTCACCCACAGATATCTTCGAACACACACAATATTTTCTCACCCACACAATTTCTTCTCAGCCACACAATATCTTCTCACTCCACACAATATCTTCCCTCACACGATACTCTCACAGCCACACAATATCTTCGAAACACCACACATTATCTCCACACGATATCTTCTCACACCACACAATTTCTTCTCACACTACACGAATTCTCACACCACACGATATCTTCTCACGCCACACAATATCTTCTCAACACCACACATATCTTCTCACACCACACAATATCTTCTCACGCCACACAATATCTTTCTCACCCACACGATATCTTCTCACGCCACACATATCTTCTCACACCACACAATTCTTCCACCCACAATATCTACCACACGATATCATCTCACGCCAACACAATATCTTCTCACACCACACGATATCTTCTCACACGATATCTTCAACACACACACAATATTTCTCACTCCACACTATTCGAACGATATCTTCTCACGCCACACAATATCTTCTCACCAACACATATTTCTCACACCACACGATATCTTCTCACGCCACACGATATCTTCCCCACCACACATATCATTTTCACACACACACGATATCTTCTCACGCCACACGATATCTTCTCACACCACACAATATTCTTCTCACACCACACAATATCTTCTCACGCCACACGAATATCTCTCACCCACACAATATCTTCTCACACCACACAGATATCATCTCAGCACAGTCATCTTTTCCCCACACAATATCTTCTCACGCCACACGATATCTTCTCACGCCACACATATCTTCTCACACCACACATATCATCTCCACTATGCCACACCAATGATCTTCTCACACCACACGATATCTTCTCACACCACACGATATCTTTCACACAGTTCTATCCACCGATTTTTAACCGACAGATTTCTCACGATATCTTTCTCACCACCATGTAATTTCGACGACGATACATTCACGATTTCAAATTACAACACATATCTCCACCCATCACATCTTCTATCTCACGATATCTCTCACACCACACGATACCCACAGTATATTTCGAAAATCACCCTGAACACCACACAATGCTTTAAAGAACTCCCTCCAAACAATGATTCTCTACATATCCAAGACCACACCACAACTTCGACAACACACCAACTTATTTCACACTACACGAATCTCCACGCACACATGTTCTACAACAGTGCTTCTCAGTCACAAAATGTTGTCATGCCCATGTTTTCACACAAACAATGCAGACCAAAAATACTTCTATTGCAAGTACTGTTTGACACGACACATATGTTCTGAACGCTCACGATATCTTCTTACGCAGAATATGTGTTGGACAGATGACATATGCTTCCATCACCGATCATCTCAACCACACAATATCTTCTCACACCACACGATATCTTCTCACATGATATCTTCTCACACCACACAATTTCTTCTCACACTACACGATATCTTCTCACGCCACACAATATCTTCTCACGCCACACAATATCTTCTCACACACCACACGATATCTTCTCACGCCACACGATATCTTCTCACGCCACACAATATATTTTCACACCACACGATATCTTCTCACGCCACACGATATCTTCTCACACCACACAATATTTTCTCACACCACACAATATCTTCTCACGCCACACGATATCATCTCACGCCACACGATATCTTCTCACACCACACGATATCATCTCACGCCACACAATATCTTCTCACGCCACACGATATCATCTCACGCCACACGATATCTTCTCACACCACACGATATCATCTCACGCCACACGATATCTTCTCACACCACACGATATCTTCTCACACCACACGATATCTTCTCACACCACACGATATCTTGCGACACAGTTCGTGCACCTTTGTTGGAACGCGACAGCATTTACTGTCTCTTTTCTTTCTCACACCTGTAATGTGAGCGATGATACATTACTGATGTTCAATTGACCCAATATACTCCCTTATTCTCATCTTTATTACAGAGTTTGCATATGGAGGTCATCCGTACCCATTTAGTGGTATATTTGAAATAAACCCTGGAAACACCACTGAATTAGGAGAGACCTTCAAATTCAAGTGAGTTTACATTATCACAGACACACACACACACACACACACACACACAGACACACACACACACACACACACACACAGGGTTCTACAAAGTGCCTAGTCACATAAAAAGGGGTCAATGGCCGCTGTTTCACAACAGAAACAAGGGGGGGAAAAAATACTCTTGTTTTGTAGTACTGTATTGAGAGGAGCAGGCTAGGCTTACTGAACGGCTGCCTGGTATTCCTTCATTGTAGCAGAATGGATGGTGTTTGGGACAGGAGTGACTGATACTGGTTTCTATACAGGGAGATAAATGAGAGGCTTGCACACAGAATATTTTCTTGTTGAAACGTTGTAAAATTTGGGTTCAGGAATAAAGTACAGAGGAGCAGTAATATATTCGGTGTGTGTGGAACTTGCATTCCTTTATCACAGTATTATTTTAGCCCAGTGTAAATGGGATTTTCAAGTGAACAAGAGAATAGCAGTCGCGGATATAGTCAATCGTAAATCAATTTTGGTTTAATACAAGTTGCAACAGGGAGACACCTCCAGTAGGGATTAACACCAGTAACTGGGTTACAAAAAAAATAACTTTAATGACAAGACCCGGGAAATTACAACATTTTCAAAATACATAATATATGGACCAGCAGATTGCCACATTTTTTTAAAGCACATTATCAAAACAGTTTGTTGCATGGAATCCTTTAGCCTAGCCTTGTTACGCTATGGTTAAACCCATGGAATCCTTTAGCCTAGCCTACTGTATTTAGGCTACTTCCCACGAAGTCGCCATCATTTCAAGGCATAATTGACACACGAGCCCGAACCCGTAAAAAAAGCCAGATTTCTAGAAAATCTAATGAAATCAAATTGTAAGTTTTTTAGAAATGCTTGTAAATGTATTAAAAATAAAAAACAGAAATACCTCATTTACATAAGTATTCAGACCCTTTGCTATGAGACTACAACTTGATTGGAGTCCACCTGTGGTAAATTGATTGGACATGATTTGGAAAGGCACACACCTGTCTATATAAGGTCCCACAGTTGACAGTGCAGGTCAGAGCAAAAACCAAGCCATGAGGTCGAAGGAATTGTCCGTAGAGCTCCAAGACAGGATTGTGTCGAGGCACAGATCTGGGGAAGGGTACCAAAACATTTCTGCAGCATTGAAGGTCCCCAAGTGGCCTCCATCATTCTTAAATGGAAGGAGTTTGGAACCACCAAGACTCTTCCTAGAGCTGGCCGCCTGGCCAAACTGAGCAATCGGGGGAGAAGGGCCTTGGTCAGGGAGGTGACCAAGAACCCGATGATCACTCTGACAGAGCTCTAGAGTTCCTCTGTGGAGATGAGAGAACCTTCCAGAAGGACAACCATCTCTGCAGCACTCCACCAATCAGGTCTTTATGGTAGAGTGGCCAGATGGAAGCCACTCCTCAGTAAAATGCACATGACAGCCCGCTTGGTGTTTGCAAAAAGGCACCTTAAGACTCTCAGACCATGAGAAACATGGTGGTCCCCTGTAGCTCAGTTGGTAGAGCATGGCGCTTGCAACCCCAGGGTTGTGGGTTAGTTTCCCACGGGGGGCCAGTATGAAAATGTATGCACTCACTAACTGTAAGTCGCTCTGGATAAGAGCGTCTGCTAAATTACTAAATTGTAAATGTAAACAAGATTCTGGTCTGATGAAACCAAGATTGAACTCTTTGACCTGAATGCCAAGCGTCACGTCTGGAGGAAACCTGGCACCATCCCTACCCTGAAGCATGGTGTTGGTGGCAGCATCATGCTGTGGGGATGTTTTTCAGCGCTAGGGACTGGGAGACTAGTCAGGATCGAGGGAAAGATGAACGGAGCAAAGTACAGAGAGATCCTTAATGAAAACCTGCTCCAGAGTGCTCAGGACCTCAGACTAAGGTGGTTTCACCTTCCAACAGGACAACGACCCTAAGCACACAGCCAAGACAACGCAGGAGTGGCTTCGGGACAAGTCTCTGAATGTCCTTGAGTGGCCCAGCCAGAGCCTGGACTTGAACCCAATTGAACATCTCTGGAGAGACCTGAAAATATCTGTGCAGCAATGCTCCCCATCCAATCTGACAGAGCTTGAGATGATCTGCAGAGAAAATTGGGAGAAACTCCCCAAATACAGGTGTGCCAAGCTTGTAGCGTCATACCCAAGAAGACTCGAGGCTGTAATCACATATGTAAATGTGATATTTCAGTTTTTTATTTTTAATAAACTAGTATAAATTTCTAAACACCTGTTTTTGCATTGTCATTATGGAGTATTGTGTGTAGATTGATGAGGGGGGAAAAAAAACAATTTAATACATGTTAGAAGAAGGCTGTAACGTAACAAAATGTGGAAAAAGTCAAGGGGTCTGAATACTTTCCGAAGGCACTGTATACTGCAGGAGGTTGGTGGCACCTTAATTAGGGAGGAATAAGTGGAATGGTATCAAACACATGGTTTCTACAGTGGGGGAAAAAAAGTATTTAGTCAGCCACCAATTGTGCAAGTTCTCCCACTTAAAAAGATGAGAGAGGCCTGTAATTTTCATCATAGGTACACGTCAACTATGACAGACAAAATGAGAAAGAAAATTCCAGAAAATCACATTGTAGGATTTTTAATGAATTTATTTGCAAATTATGGTGGAAAATAAGTATTTGGTCAATAACAAAAGTTACTCAATACTTTGTTATATACCCTTTTGTTGGCAATGACACAGGTCAAACGTTTTCTGTAAGTCTTCACAATGTTTTCACACACTGTTGCTGGTATTTTGGCCCATTCCTCCATGCAGATCTCCTCTAGAGCAGTGATGTTTTGGGGCTGTCGCTGGGCAACACGGACTTTCAACTCCCTCCAAAGATTTTCTATGGGGTTGAGATCTGGAGACTGGCTAGGCCACTCCAGGACCTTGAAATGCTTCTTACGAAGCCACTCCTTCGTTGCCCGGGCGGTGTGTTTGGGATCATTGTCATGCTGAAAGACCCAGCCACATTTCATCTTCAATGCCCTTGCTGATGGAAGGAGGTTTTCACTCAAAATCTCACGATACATGGCCCCATTCATTCTTTCCTTTACACGGATCAGTCATCCTGGTCCCTTTGCAGAAAAACAGCCCCAAAGTATGATGTTTCCACCCCTATGCTTCACAGTAGGTATGGTGTTCTTTGGATGCAACTCATCATTCTTTGTCCTCCAAACACGACGAGTTGAGTTTTTACCAAAAGGTTCTATTTTGGTTTCATCTGACCATATGACATTCTCCCAATCCTCTTCTGGATCATCCAAATGCACTCTAGCAATCTTCAGACGGGCCTGGACATGTACTGGCTTAAGCAGGGGGACACGTCTGGCACTGCAGGATTTGAGTCCCATGCGGCGTAGTGTGTTACTGATGGTAGGCTTTGTTACTTTGGTCCCAGCTCTCTGCAGGTCATTCACTAGGTCCCCCCGTGTGGTTCTGGGATTTTTGCTCACCGTTCTTGTGATCATTTTGACCCCACGGGGTGAGATCTTGCGTGGAGCCCCAGATCGAGGGAGATTATCAGTGGTCTTGTATGTCTTCCATTTCCTAATAATTGCTCCCACAGTTGATTTCTTCAAACCAAGCTGCTTACCTATTGCAGATTCAGTCTTCCCAGCCTGGTGCAGGTCTACAATTTTGTTTCTGGTGTCCTTTGACAGCTCTTTGGTCTTGGCCATAGTGGAGTTTGGAGTGTGACTGTTTGAGGTTGTGGACAGGTGTCTTTTATACTGATAACAAGTTCAAACAGGTGCCATTAATACAGGTAACGAGTGGAGGACAGAGGAGCCTCTTAAAGAAGAAGTTACAGGTCTGTGAGAGCCAGAAATCTTGCTTGTTTGTAGGTGACCAAATACTTATTTTCTACCATAAATTGCAAATAAATTCATTAAAAAATCCTACAATGTGATTTTCTGGATTTTCTTTCCTCAATTTGTCTGTCATAGTTGACGTGTACCTATGATGAAAATTACAGGCCTCTCTCATCTTTTTAAGTGGGAGAACTTGCACAATTGGTGGCTGACTAAATACTTTTTTTCCCCACTGTATGTGTTTAATGCCATTCCATTTGCGTCGTTCCAGCCATTATTATGAGCCGTCCTCCCTTCAGCAGCCTCCACTGATGTATATTCCTTCCTCCCATTCCTCCAGCCAAATCACAGGTAGGCCTTTGCAAATATGAGCAAATCAGCCATTCTATGTAGTATTCTATTATACACTGAACAGTGTGAAGTTAAGTTAAATGTGTTGTATTGAGTAGAAGTGTGGATTTCAGTGACAGGTTTTTGGAGAACGTTTAGAAAACGTGAACAAGCGTCGGGGGGAACGAACAGGATTCTAGGAAACTGATTTCTTTCCACCGTGGTATCGTGATACTACTCGGTATCATGATACTTGGCCTGGTATCATATCGTTTGTAAAATGTTGGTATCGTGACAACACTAATTGCTTCCATTCCTAGTACAGTGTACAGTCAGCAGCAAGCAGTTTAGCAGTTAAACCGGCGGGCTCCGGTGGCAATAAATTAATACAACCTAAAGCTTACCTTGACTTGGAAGAGTTCCAGTGTTGGATAGTCATAGCCAGCTAGCTAACATAGCATCCCTCTCTGTTTGAGTCGGGTGTTTGAGTAGGCTAAACTAGCTAGCTGCATTGGCTAGCTAAGTAAGTGAAAGTAAAATATATATATATCCCCAGCCTCTCTTGCTTCTCCTTCATTTTTTAAGGAATCAAAACTGTTCAACTATTGTCTTTCTCTCTCTCTTTGAGTCAACTACTCACCACATTTTATGCACTGCAGTGCTAGCTAGCTGTAGCTTATGCTTTCAATATTAGATTCATTCTCTGCTCCTTTGATTGGGTGGACAACATGTCAGTTCATGCTGCAAGAGCTCTGATAGGTTGGAGGACGTCCTCCGGATGTTGTCATAATTACTGTGTAAGTCTATGGAAGGGAGTGAGAACCAAGAGCCTCCTTGGTTTTGTATGGAAGTCAATGTACCCAGAGGAGGACGGAAAGTAGCTGTCCTCCGGCTACATCCTGGTGCTACTGTACAGAGTGCTGTTGAGGCTACTGTAGACCTTCTTTGCAAAACAGTGTGTTTTAATCAATTATTTGGTGACGTGAATATATTTAGTATATTTTTATCTAAAAATGATAACTTTTAATGTTACACTATTTTTATTTATAGGAAATTCACTTAGGAGGATGGTCCTCCCCTTCCTCCTCCGAGGAGCTTCCACTGGTGTGAAGGCCAGTGACAAAAAATCTCAATTTGATCCATTTTAAATTCAGGCTGTAACGCAACAAAATGTGGAAAGAGTCAAGGGGTGTGAAAACTTTCTGAAGGTCCGTTAGACCATTTTCTCTGCTTCTGTGCTGGAGGTTATGGATTAATATTTTCCAGAAAATCTACCAAGTTTCAATACCGGGAATAATTCATATTTATCCAGAGAATCCCGGGAAATACCGCAAAAATGCCAATTTCTAAGCGTTTTAAAACCAAGATTTGGTCACTATGCCAGGGTTCTCCCGAAATAAGATTGTCGCTGCGCCACACTGCCGGCTGACTGTGTACAGATTTCACAGCAAGTGAAACTGATAGTGATACAGTGACTTTGATCGCCAATGACGTTGTTGTGAATTGCAAAACAGGCCATTCATAAATTCAGAGCGTTATCATGTTCCTCAATTATTAATTCAGTGCATTTCAGCAGTAGGCCTTGGCTATCTCGACACAGAACGCGCTCAGGACTCACAGAGCGCGCCCCCCGAGGAGGCTATAGCGTTGTCGAATCATACAAACTTTGTAACGGCAGTCTAACAAAGGTCAAATGACCGAAGTTGCTAAGTTTGCTAGATAACCTCCAACGAATGACAGAATATCTCCTATTTGTCAAAATCGAGTTGATAATTATACAGATGGCAGATCAGATCATGAATAAAGGGGAGATGAAGAGAGGAAAATGTTTAATATAAAGGTATCTTAAAGGGGACCGACTCTGTTTAAAAAAAAAAAATATCTATATCTAATCTCATACCGTTTGTTGATCACACATTCTCTTCCGAAGCTCTCATATGGGCAGCAACACGAGACAGCGCATGTTATAGCGGTGTTTTGACATGCGTAGGCGAGACGTGTTTTGATAATGCAACCAACCTATGGATTACAGAATAAAGTTAGGAGTCAGGATTTTGCGTTTCAGTGGGATTTGGACGACGGAAGAATAGCCTTGACTCTATATAAAGGCTACTATGTGAGTCAATAGATACATAATGCTCATGATTTAGGCTACATTATTACATGCTACATTATTACACGTTACATTATTACATGCTACATTATTACATGCTACATAATAACATGCTACATTATTACACGTTACATTATTACATGCTACATTATTACATGCTACATAATAACATGCTACATTATTACACGTTACATTATTACATGCTACATTATTACATGCAACATTATTACACGCTACATTATTACACGCTACATTATTACACGCTACATTATTACATGCTACATTATTACACGTTACATTATTACACGTAACATTTTTGACATGCGTTTTTCTGGATTTTTTTGTTGTTATTCTGTCTCTCACTGTTCAAATAAACCTATCATTAAAATTATAGACTGATCATTTCTTTGTCAGTGGGCAAACGTACAAAATCAGCAGGGGATCAAATACTTTTTTCCCCTCACTGTATGAATGACAGTCGTCCAATATGCTGTAATAGAAATAAGGCCCTGCTCATTATAAAAAGTATTGTCCTCCCTCATCTTAAACGGCACCGACCGCTGCTACACACAATACCCCATAATGTCAAAGTGGAATTATGTTTTTTTTTTTTTTTTTTTTTACAAATTAATAAAAAATGAAAAGCTGAAACGTCTTGAGTCAGTAAGTATTCAACCCCTTTGTTATGGCAAGCCTAAATGAGTTCAGGAGTAAAAATGTGGTTAACAAGTCACATAATAAGTTGCAGGACTCTGTAATAGTGTTTAACAGGATTTGTTTATGACTACCTCATCTCTGTATCCCACACATACGATTATATGTAAGGTCCCTCAGTCGAGCAGTGAATTTCAAACACAGATTCAACCACAAAGACCAGGGAGGTTTTACAATGCCTCACAAAGTAGGGCACCTATTGGTAGATGGGTAAAAAAATAAAGCAGACATTGAATATCCCTTTAAGCATGGTGAAGTTATTAATTACACTTTGGATGGTGTATCAATACACCCAGTCACTACGAAGATACAGGCGTCCTTCCAAACTCAGTTGCCGGAGAGGAAGGAAACTGCTCAGGGATTTCAACATGAGGCCAATGGTGAATTTAAAACAGTTACAGAGTTTAATGGCTGTGATAGGAGGAAACTGATGATATAATTTATATTTTTTTAGATTTTTAGTCATTTAGCAGACGCTCTTATCCGGCGACTTTACATGAGCAATAGGGTTAGTGCCTTGCTCAAAGGGCACATCGACAGATTTTCACATAGCGCTCGGGGATTAGAACCAGCGACCTTTGGTTACTGGCACAACGCTCTTACCAACTAAGCTACCTGCCGCCCCATGGTCAACAAAATTGTAGTTACTCAAATACTAACCACTTGACAGAGTGAAAAGAAGGAAGCCTGTACAGAATACAAATATGCTAAAACATACATCCTGTTTGCAACAAGGCACTAAAGTAATACTGCAAAAAATTTGGCTAAGCAATTAACTTTTTGTTATAAATGCAAAGTGTTATGTTTGGGGGCAAATCCAATACAACACATTACTGAGTACCACTCTCCATATTTTCAAGCATAGTGGTGGCTGCATCATGTTATGGGTATGCTTGTAATCATTAAGGACTGGGGAGTTTTTCAGGAAAAATAATCAACGGAATGGAGCTAAGCACAGGCAAAATCCTAGAGGAAAACCTGGTTCAGTCTGCTTTCCACCAGACAGTGGGAGATTAATTCACCTTTCAGCAGGACAATAACCTAAAACACAAGGCCAAATATACACTGGAGTTGCTTACCAAGAAGACCGTGAATGTTCCTGAGTGGCCAAGTTACAGCTTTGACTTAAATCTGCTTGAAAATCTATGGCAAGACTTGAAAATGGTTGTCTAGCAATGATCAACAACCAATTTGACAGAGCTTGAAAATTTTGAAAAGAATAATGGGCAAATATTGTACAATCCACGTGTGCAAAGTTCTTAGAGACTTACCCAGAGATACTCACAGCTGTAATCGCTGCCAAAGGTGATTCTAACTCAAGGGTGTGAATATTTATGTAAATTAGATATTTCTGCATTTCATTTTCAGTAAATTTGCAAGAATTTCTAAAAACATGTTTTCACTTTGTCATTATGGAGTATTGTGCATAGGGGTGAGAGAGAGAGAAAAATATATTTAATCCATTTTGAATTCAGGCTGTAAAACAACAAAATATGGAATATTTCAAGGGGTATGAATACTTTCTGAAGGACACTGTATATACTAATCAGATAGCACCAAATGTTCTCTAAACACACCAGCCCGAGAGGCTTGTAGGAATTCACAACATCAGCTGCTACAGAATCACACAGTGTGACAGATACATTATCAGTGTGTCCCCGACCCAGAATGGAGCCAAACTTTAACCATAACATTCAACACTGGCAGACATTTTATACTGTCAGTTAAACAGGTCAAAGGTAGGAACCTTTAAAGTAAATCAAATACAGGAGAGGAATTACTCAACTAATTACCCTTTACACCCAGAAACGGTATTTCCAAGTTTGGTATGTCCATATCAGCTTTCTTTTCTTCATTCTACACAGGGAGGCTATCGCACTGGGCACAACAGACTTTGCAGAGGAGGATATGGACAAAATCATGGAGGAGCTGGGGAGAGATTTCAAGGGCAACGCCTACCATCTAATGCACAAGAACTGCAACCACTTCTCATCCTCGCTGTCTGAGGTCAGTAGGAGAAACATTCATGCAATTATTCAACATTTGTTTCAATTTGATCACACATACAGTATCTAAAATATATTTACGTTTATTGTGAATAACTTGATGACTGATAACTGGATAATGTCATAAGAGCTACACAACCATTTTTTTTTTAAAAGGAGTAATGCCTATTGAATATAAAATATATTTTGTGGAGTATTTTGAAGTTGTATTCATTCTATTCCAGCTGTTGTGTGGGCGTGAGATCCCTCGCTGGGTGAACCGCCTGGCCTACTTTAGCTCCTGCGTGCCCTTCCTCCAGACCTGCCTCCCCAAGGAGTGGCTGACCCCCGCGGCCCTCCAGAGCCACATCAGCATGGGCCTCCACAAGGACGAGCGGGAAGCCGGGGAGTCCAGCGACGAGGACCCCAACTCGGCTTCCGGGACCGCTGGGGCGGGCACTGGACTCTCACACAGCTGTCGCCATACACGGGTCTGAACCAATGACTGTAGGTCTTAAGAGAATAGCCAATAGGACTCTCTTTCAATTACCTTTGACCTCTGAACTCTGGACCAGAAGGTCACCAGGTCACCTCTGGAGGAAATGTAGTGATGTAATATCTGTGGGCCTGACTGAATAACCCACCCTGACCTCTAAGTACCACTTTTGAGAACAGAGACAGGGATGGATGATTAGTTAGACTGCTAGTGCTAACTCATGGAGCCGCCGGTCCAGGGGACCTGCAAAATCCACAGGTACTTGGATCCTTTCCCTGGCTCTCTCCCTTTGAGAGTACGGTAGATATATTCTGAAGGATTTGTTATATAGGTGTTGACCAACTCAACTCAGAGCGTGACATGGCTCTCTCTCTCAGATCGACCACAGCTACGCGATGTACTGGCAGGTCTGAGGTACTTTCTAGTAGTTGTCTTTTTCCAGGAACTTTTTAACTTTTGTCCGCCTTCATCCCTGATTCTCTCCTTCCAGAGCTGCTGCTTCTTTAGACTAGATGTATATCTGACACCACGGAGATACAGCTGTTGGTCGCATCCCAAATGGCTCCCTATGTCTAAGTATCTCTCTGTCTGAGACTACTGGTATTGTGGCATTAGCAGGATGTTACTCTCTGCTAGTTTCAAGAGTACTCCTGAGTGGCACAGTGGTCTAAGGCACTGCATCGCAGTGCTAACTGTGCCACTAGAGATCCTGGTTCGAATCCAGGCTCTGTCGCAGCCGGCCGCGACCGGGAGACTCATGGGCGGCGCACAATTGGCCCAGCATCGTCCAGGGTAGGGGAGGGAATGGCCGGCAGGGATGTAGCTCAGTTGATAGAGCATGGCGTTTGCAACGCCAGGGTTGTGGGTTCGATTCCCACGGGGGGCCAGTATAAAAAAATATGTATTCACTAACTGTAAGTCGCTCTGGATAAGAGCGTCTGCTAAATGACTTAAATGTAAAATGTAAGAGGTATCCCTTACTTGGCCTTCAGTTGTAATCGTCAGAGATGTTTGTTTTGTTGACGTGTGTGGTGAGTTAATATTCTGGCTATTTTAGAAGTTTTAGGAGCAGAACCATCTATAGCGATGTATGCTCTGGTTAGGAGTAACTACATTTGGGTTGTATTTAACCAGCACATTTCTGTTAAAACGTCATTCTTAACTGAAAAACAATGTGCCAAGAGAAAAGGATTCGACAAGAAGTGAAGACATCTAAATTCATCTCTGATCATATTTATTTTAATGATACAATTTGATCATATTAGTATTGTAATGACCCAGTGACACCAGCCCGGGTCATTACAGTATTACATTAGGGTGTTATTTGTCCATGGCATGGTCTCGTGCATTGTTTAACAAAATGGTGTCTGCCCCCCCCCATGTAATTTGCCAATTTACCACTATCATATGAATAACACTGTCAGATGACTCTGAAACTTGCATTTACACACTTCTTCAATGGGAATCTTTCATTGTGAAACTTGTAGTAGCTGTTGAATCACAGGCCTTGGTTGACACTCCCAGCTGCCTCCCCGACTGCCTTCCCAGTTGATTCCATAGCGAGTGATTGAGTTGGTGTGTGGGGGGCCTGTCGAGAGAGGGGGGGGGGGGTTGTGTTACAGTGTGAGCATTAGTGTGAAGGAAAAGGGTTTTGTTTCAAAATGTATTTTGAATTGATGTGGATATGTCTCTGAATTAGTTGGATTTACACATGTGCTCCCCTGAAACAAGGGGGAAGTGGTCCTACCAGTCAAGTCCTGGACTAAATTACTACACTGACTACTATCCCATAAATAAAACATCAACAATGTTTTTTCCAGATGAGACAGACATAAGGACACGTGTTATTCATCCCTTTTCTGTTCATGCATTTATAATGCTGCTCATGTAGAGTCAATAGTATGCATTCTGAAGCCCACTCCATTGCATTCCATACATCTTTCTGGAGAACAATATCGTCCTTTCCTTCTCTGCTCCTCCTTGGTTTACTGTATGTTTGCTTCAACCCCATCCCCCTCTCAGGAAGGAAATCACATGACCTGTGGTTGTTACACAGGTGTCTCATTACCATACACCATCTCCATGACAACTGGGTGGGGGGAAACTTTATTTGTTTATATACTTATGTTTTTAAATAATCTATATTTGTATTTCTTTTTTTGGCATTATCAGTACAATTTTTTTATCCTTGGAATTTAAATGGGTTCTGTAAATGTCAGTATTCCATGCTTTACCATTGAAATCATTTTTGACACTTTCTACAGAGAAGAACAGTCAGATAACTTTTTCTAGTGTATTGTGTCAATTTTAACCTCAATTGGTAATGTGCTTTTCCGAATTGAAAGACGATGCCACAATTTTAAGAATGGTAACAGAATAAAGATACATTAATAACTGTCATGTATTTTGTTATTGTCCTTGAGTTTGTGTTGCAATGCATACACTACGGCTACACAGTCTGAAGTGAACAGCATTGAATGGGAGGAAGAACTTCATTTGAGTCCAGTGAGATGAGATGGACAGCGGGAAATGTGTCGTAAAGATTGGCTATTTGTATGTACATTTTCGCTACGTTTTTTTGTTAATGTTGAGGTTGTTCATTTACAGATCAGGGGTTTTGTGGAAGTGTTTTGAAAAGGTCTGGAACACACCCATTCACCTTGGCGCTGAAGTACATCCGGTTACCCCCTCGTTGTCGCCATTTTGATACGCACAAGCGAGCTATCAGAAGGAACGAAGAGACGACAGAAAGGTGAGCTGCACGTTTCTATCATTTACTGTTGTTAGTTAGCAGACTGGCACACATTTTTTGGCAAATCAATAATGTAATGATTTAACATTTTATCCAAGTGCCAAGCTAGTGTTGCAGCTAACCTAGCAGAAAGCTAACGACTTTCAGCTGGCTAGAAACGTTAGCTAGCTAACGTGTACATACCCACGCCTTATCGATTGGGATTTATTTAATATAAAACGGTAGCTAACTAGTTTTTCTTATATCAAGTGAAATTAACTGATTACGTTGCCGAACCTATACTGACTATCTGGCTAATATTAACTGGCACGACCAACGGCTGCTAAACTTGGCGAAAGTGCACTTCAGTAACGTATTGTTAGCGCTTGGCTAGTTAGCTAGCTAGCATGCGCTGGTCTGGGCCTTGTCCGTTAGCTAGCTACGTGTTTGGGGCTAACGTTACTGTTTATAGTCGAATAACTCATGTCCCAAACGTCTTTTTGTGTTTTGTTCCAGAGTATAATCATGAGTGAATGTCGTGTGTTTATCGGTCGTTTGAGCCCCCACGCTCGCGAGAGGGACGTGGAGAAATTCTTCAAGGGATATGGACGGATCCGAGAAGTAAATTTGAAGAACGGATTCGGCTTTGTGGTAAGTCTGCCTTACCCATTGGCATTGTTAGGGGCAGGGATGGACATTTTAGTTAACCCATAACTATTACTTTTCAGATCGGGCTAGTAGAAAATGTTCCCAACTAACTTAACTTAGCCCGCCGACTAGTGAAATGTTGTATTTTATCTAATATTGCATGGATTTCGGACCCTGGCTAGTCAAAAATGGAAGTCTACCAGCTCGGCTGACCAGTGCCCCAAATCCCTGGGGTGGTCAGACTTTGTCGTTGTCAGTGAACGTTTGGGTTGTTATGCCGCGTTCAAAACAACTGGGAACTCGGAAAAATAGTATAAAAGTAATCCTCCTACCCCCTCCCCTCCAAAAAAATTATAGTAGAAAAAATAGAATACAAATAAATAATAATAATGTTTTTTTTAAACAGACAAAAAAATATATATATATATAAATAAATAAAACGAAAATGTGTCGGAGCATTAGAAAGAGGCCAGAGTTGGATGACCTTTCAAATCGATTTTCCCACTCAGAGCTCGGTTTTTTTAGAGTAACCAGTTGTTTAGAACCCGACCATAATTAGCTAACCCCCTCCCCCTTTGTCTTTCACCAGGAGTTTGAGGACCACAGAGATGCGGATGATGCAGTATACGAGCTGAATGGCAAGGAACTCTGTAGTGAAAGGTAAAGATTTGGATGCATTCTTCAATGTCTCAAGAAAGATCAATGGTGAAATGTGTTTTTGCATGTAATAATAATAATAATAATTGGTCATTTAGCAGACGCTCTTATCCAGAGCGACTTACAGGAGCAATTAGGGTTAAGTGCCTTGCTCAAGGCCACATCGACAGATTTTTCACCTAGTCTGCTCGGGGATTAGAACCAGCGACCTTTCGGTTACTGGCACAACGCTCTTAACCACTAAGCTACCTGCCGCCCATATATGTACTCCATATACTATCATTTCTAATACTATAGTAGTGGTATTGTTGATATTTACACAGAACTGCTACACCTTTTTCTCTGACTTGGGCCTAGCTGCATTCAGTGTGTGTGAATTAATTTTCTCTTATCAGTAATTTCTGTAGCCTCAGTATTAACTGTTTTGTCCGTATAGGGTGACTATAGAGCATGCCCGATCCAGAAGAGGGAGGGGTGGTGGACCAGGGATGGGTGGTGGTGGCGGCGGCGGTGGAGGAGGAGGAGGAGGAGGACGCTTCTCACCTCGTTTCAGCAGCTACCGCCAGGGGTCTGGTGGTCACAGTGGTGGCTCCAGGTATAGACTAATCAGACCTAATTTCAACCTCTCACTAAACTTCCCCCAAAAACTCCTGGTTGGAGACCTGAGTTTCCTGCTTACTGCTTCCATATATATGATTTCTGGAAAACCTGACAATTTTAGGAGTTTTGAAGTTTACTTGCAGTGAATGGAGTTTAGTCAATGTGATTTAGAGTTTAGTGTTCAACATGTAAATGTTTTTTGTTTGTTTGTAATTTTCAGAGTGTGATTGGTAACTATAAAAACATTATCTCTTCCATTTTACAACTTTGCTCTCTTCCACCCGTGCAGTAGGTATGGTCCCCCTGTACGAACGGAACACAGACTCATCGTGGAGAACCTGTCGTCAAGGATCAGTTGGCAGGTGAGGGGTTACACCCATCTGGTTCAATGTGATACAAGACAATTAGCCTTTACTTGCTCTGGTACTGCCAATTCTTTTAGCCTATGTGAAGCAGCATTTTTATTGAAACGTGCACATTTTTCATTTATTAACAAAACATAGCTATATGCTAAATAGTCCATTAGGTGAATAGAACGGCAAGGCCCACTTTCGATGTTGTGAATTCAGAATTGTTTATTTCTTGACTTCGTTTTACTGTATCTTTCAAGAATAAGCACTTCTTAGACGAAAAGGTAAATCTAACCAAGCACATCTTAACCTTTTAATTTTTATTTTATGAGCTTATTCTTAACTGGTTATTCATTTTTTATAAAGGAGTTGCATGCACTGCCTCCCTGGAGGTGACTGTGCATAGCGCCCTCTGCTGGTTGTGTTTTCAATAGTGTCCATTTGGTGCCTCTCCTTACACGCAGTTGCCGCTGGTCTAAATCTTGGCTGGGCCCCGTAGCGGGAGGAAGTGGTCTAGCGCAGGATAGCCTTAGGATGGTCCCACGTAGGCCCAGTCTGGAGGTGGTCTGGTCTGGTGGAAACCCCCCCCCGACTGCAGCCAGCCTGTAACCCCCTCAATCCACTCCACGTTCCCTACACTCTCCCGTTTGGGTCTTTTTCTGTTGCTGATGGAGCTGGGGGGGTGTTGACAGTTGGGCACACTGCACACCCCTTCCTTCCTTCCCCCCTACTTGCTCTCTGGTGGTCCCTTGTGGAGGCTGGCCGGAGTCCGGGTCTGTCAAGGCTGAGGGGAGGTCGTTTCTCAAGGGCTTAACACTGTGACTGCATTGGTTCCCATTGGTCCGCTATTTGGACAAGTGGCTCTTTGCTAATGTCTTCCTGGGTATGGAATGGTAAGTAACATATAACTCATGTGATTGGGTTTGTTAAGGGTTGGGAGGAACAGAGTAGAATCATATACCCTAGTCTTACCGGAGAAATCTTTCTATAAGTTTATAAGCCCTTATGGAATTATACTAGGCTACTTAATATGTTAATGAAAGAACCCATTGATTAAAGTAGGAGCTTAGGATAAAATGAAAATACATCGGCACAGAATTATATTATTTTTAGTTCAACGATGCCCCCTAAAACCACTATAGTAGACACAAACCTTGAACATATACAAGCCACCACAACACAAGGGATTTGTCGCGTCTCACCACCTTAATATACATTTTTTAATCTTTTTTGTTGTTGTTGTTACCATCAATCCTAGTTGCCCACAAACCGGAAACAAACACCATACCAAGGATCCAAATAGTGTTAGCACGTTTCTCCTTTGGGTAAGATAGTTAACCAAGTTGGCCTACCTGTGAAGCTATTTCAGTGGCTCGTCAACAAAACACGCTAATCATTCGGTGTTTTAGCATTTTCAGACGAGGGCGTTTTTTTAAAGTGAAAGTCAGTATTACAGGGGTGGATGGATGTTGCTGTCGTGAGTTACTTATTAGTCTTGCCCAGGTTCACAGAACCCTCTCAGCCACATTATCCAGTCTGTTAGCCAGTCACCTGACTCGTGTATGCTTCACCACAGGACCTGAAAGACCTGATGAGGAAAGTTGGAGAGGTCACCTTTGTGGATGCCCACAGAACCAACAAGAATGAAGGGTGAGTTGAGTTGCCTGCCCAGTTGGTCCAGGGGTTTATTCATTAGTTGGATTCCGTTGCAAAACGTTTAATCTGTTGCACGATGACCCATGTTCGTTGTGGACTGAGACGGGGAGAGACTACCTCGGGCTTGTCCGATAAGAAACCCAAATGTTCTGTTTTAATAATAAATAAATAAATAAAGGTCTGTTGTGCTCTACTGAAAACACAAATACCTTAGGTTGAACGGTTGTTAGGTTGAACGGTTGTTGTTATGAAATGAGCCTGTCAACTGAATGTGATTTCACTCTACAGGGTGGTGGAGTTTGCATCACACAGTGAAATGAAGAATGCCATCGATAAGCTTGATGGAACAGACTTGAATGGACGCAAGTTGAAACTGTCTGAGGATCGCAAGAGCCGGTTAGTATCTCTTTTCCGGTTGCAACTTATAGTTTCACTGAGACTAGACAAACACGGGAACTTGACTGTCATTTTCCAGCTACAGTTGTAAACCAATGCTCTCATAATATATATATACAGTGGGGAAAAAAAGTATTTAGTCAGCCACCAATTGTGCAAGTTCTCCCACTTAAAAAGATGAGAGAGGCCTGTAACTTTCATCATAGGTACACGTCAACTATGACAGACAAATTGAGAGAAAAAAATCCAGAAAATCCCATTGTAGGATTTTTAATGAATTTATTTGCAAATTATGGTGGAAAATAAGTATTTGGTCACCTACAAACAAGCAAGATTTCTGGCTCTCACAGACCTGTAACTTCTTCTTTAAGAGGCTCCTCTGTCCTCCACTCGTTACCTGTATTAATGGCACCTGTTTGAACTTGTTATTAGTATAAAAGACACCTGTCCACAACCTCAAACAGTCACACTCCAAACTTCACAATGGCCAAGACCAAATAGCTGTCAAAGGACACCAAAAACAAAATTGTAGACCTGCACCAGGCTGGGAAGACTGAATCTGCAATAGGTAAGCAGCTTGGTTTTAAGAAATCAACTGTGGGAGCAATTATTAGGAAATGGAAGACATACAAGACCACTGATAATCTCCCTCGATCTGGGGCTCCACGCAAGATCTCACCCCGTGGGGTCAAAATGATCACAAGAACAGTGAGCAAAAATCCCAGAACCACACAGGGGGACCTAGTGAATGACCTGCAGAGAGCTGGGACCAAAGTAACAAAGCCAACCATCAGTAACACACTACGCCGCCAGGGACTCAAATCCTGCAGTGCGAGACGTGTCCCCCTGCTTAAGCCAGTACATGTCCAGGCCCGTCTGAAGTGCATTTGGATGATCCAGAAGAGGATTGGGAGAATGTCATATGGTCAGATGAAACCAAAATATAACTTTTTGGTAAAAACTCAACTCGTCATGTTTGGAGGACAAAGAATGCTGAGTTGCATCCAAAGAACACCATACCTACTGTGAAGCATGGGGTTGGAAACATCATGCTTTGGGGCTGTTTTTCTGCAAAGGGACCAGGACGACTGATCCGTGTAAAGGAAAGAATGAATGGGGCCATGTATCGTGAGATTTTGAGTGAAACCCTCCTTCCATCAGCAAGGGCATTGAAGATGAAACGTGGCTGGGTCTTTCAGCATGACAATGATCCCAAACACACCGCCCGGGCAACGAAGGAGTGGCTTCGTAAGAAGCATTTCAAAGTCCTGGAGTGGCCTAGCCAGTCTCCAGATCTCAACCCCATAGAAAATCTTTGGAGGGAGTTGAAAGTCTGTGTTGCCCCGCGACAGCCCCAAAACATCACTGCTCTAGAGGAGATCTGCATGGAGGAATGGGCCAAAATACCAGCAACAGTGTGTGAAAACCTTGTGAAGACTTACAGAAAACGTTTGACCTGTGTCATTGCCAACAAAGGGTATATAACAAAGTATTGAGAAACTTTTGTTATTGACCAAATACTTATTTTCCACCATCATATGCCAATAAATTCATTAAAAATCCTACAATGTGATTTTCAGGATTTTTTTTTCTCATTTTGTCTGTCATAGTTGACGTGTACCTATGATGAAAATTACAGGCCTCTCTCATCTTTTTAAGTGGGAGAACTTGCACAATTGGTGGCTGACTAAATACTTTTTTCCCCCACTGTATATATGTATATATATATATATGTGTATGTAGGTGTTTTGACAGTAAGGAAATTAGATGGAGATGGGCATGTGGGTGGAAGTGGGGATTGACATGTGTCCAGGGGAGTGTAAACAATACATTAAGGCTTTGCACCAACCAATGCTCTCTTGGTGGTGGGGTTAAACTAATAACTATTTTAATCTCTTCCAACAGCCACAGCAGGAGTCGTTCCCGTGGCTCTCGTAGCTACTCCCGTAGCCGTTCCCGTTCCCCCCGCTCCAAGTCCCCCAGCCGTAGCAGGAGCCGTAACCGCTCCAGGAGCCCCCGATCTCGCTCGGCCAGCCGTACCCCGGAGAAGAAGCCTTCCTCTGGAGGAGGGGGGGGCAGGGCTGCACATCGCTCCACCTCGCGCTCCCCGTCCCGTTCCAGATCCCCTGCCCCTCGCTCCCGTTCCCCTGCCCCCAGTTCTCGCACGCCTCCTCCCGGTTCCCCTGCTCCAGCCCGGAAGCAGTCTCGCTCCCCTTCGGTTGAGAGCCAGCACTGAGCTGCACTGGGTGTGTGTAGTGGTGGCTGGAGGGAGGACCGGCTCATTGTAATGGCTGGAATTAATGGAACCATGTTTGATAGCGTTCCATTGATTCCATTCCATCTATTCCAATTAGCCTGTCTTCTCATTTTAAAGTGACCACCAGCCTCTAGTGGTGTCGTGGTATGGGCTGAAGCGTTGTCGTGCTGAGACCGTGGCGGCCTGCTTGCTTGCTAGTGTGGAATGAATGAAGAGGCTTGCGTTTGGTGAAGTTCTCCCACAATCTCTCGTTTAAAAAAATAAATAATCGGCTCTTTGGTCATTGTGCCAGTATCTTGGATGCCCTGTAATGATTTTTTTCTCTTTTTGGGAGCCTTTGTTTTATAGCTTTGATCGCGCTTCCTCAATTCAACTTCTAATTGTTTTGTTTTTTTGCCATATGAATAATTAAACATTTTCCTTTTGAAAACTGAACCTTTTTAATTAAATGTATAGTGCGATTTGAGAGCTTTTGATTGGGTCTCATTCCTTTTGATTATCTACTGTTCTCCCTGCAGATTGTAAGTCTCATAACATCTGTATGAAATGTACCATTTGAAGTGAAACGTTCTGTCCAAGCTTTCTGTTATGAATCTAATCAATACAATGTTATATTTCCATCACCATTATTGCCCTGTCAGTGATTCCATTCCACACCCCAGACCTCATATAAATTAAACCCAACATGATCATTTACGGATGGGTATTGGGAAAACATTTCCCACAAGGTTTAGTTTTAACATTTGCAGAAAAATATTGTATATATGCTCTTCACTAATTCGTATTAAATGGGTACTTGTACGTCTCTATTAAATATTAATTGTTGAGTCAAATTTATTTTCTACAAAGAACATTACTTTCTATTTTTATTAATGAAAGCCATTCTACAGAAAAGGTTATATTTTAAATGGCATTTTCTTCTAGCCTGGGTACCAGTCTGTTTATCATGCCACATATTTGGCAAGGAGTTGAATGAAATGATGGCACAAACCGATCTGGAATCAGGCTAATGTTCTCTACAGCGTTGTATTGCACACACCAAGAAGAATATCCATAGTCCGATAAGTCACAGCTGTCAGTGTTGCTGTAAATGTGGCCTTAGTTCACAACTGTTTGACAACATTAGATGGGGATAAACTGATGGCAGCAGCCAAGTGCACCAGATATCCCTAAGGATTAAAGACTGCAGTCAACCTATTCTGCAAGCAATAATCCTCGGTCAAGGAATCCGCGCTGTAGAATTTGCATGCACTACACATTATGGTATCGCACAGAATATGCTTGACATGGAGAGAAGCGCTGACCGCTGAACATTTCTAAACAGATTTATTCTAAACAGATTTAGTTCATCCGGCACCAATTTTGGACAAAAAATTATATCTGAGTTAATTCAACTTGCCTCTTAAAGTATGTGGACACCTGCTCGTCGAACATTGCATTAATATGGAGTTGGTCCCCCCTTTGCTGCTATAACAGCCTCCACTCTTCTGGGAAGGCTTTCCACTAGATGTTGGAACATTGCTGCGGGGGACTTGCTTCCATTCAGCCACAAGAGCATTAGTGAGGTTGGTCACTGATGTTGGGCGATTAGGCCTGGTTCGCAGTCGGCGTTCCAATTCATCCCAAACGTGTTCGATGGGGTTGAGGTCAGGGCTCTGCAGGCCAGTCAAGTTCTTCCACACTGATCTCAACAAACCATTTCTGTATGGACCTCACTTTGTATGCTGAAACAGGAAAGGGCCTTCCCAAACTGTTGCCACAAAGTTGGAAGCACAGAATTGTCTAGAATGTTAAGATTTCCCTTCACTGGAACTAAGGGGCCTAGCCCGAACCATGAAAAACAGCCCCAGACCAAATTTTACAGTTGGCACTATGCATTGGGGCAGGTAGCGTTCTCCTGGCATCCGCCAAACCCAGATTCGTCCGTCGGACTTCCAGATGGTGAAGCGTGATTCCTCACTCCAGAGAATGTGTTTCCACTGCTCCAGAGTCCAATGGAGTCAAGCTTTATACCACTCCAGCCGGCGCATGGTGATCTTAGGCTTGTGTGCGGCTGTTCGGCAATGGAAACCCATTTCATGAAGCTCCCGACAAACAGTTATTGTGCTGATGTTGCTTCCAGAGGCAGTTTGGAACTCAGTAGTGAATGTTGCAACCGAGGACTGACGATCTTTATGCACTTCAACACTCTGCGGTCCCGTTCTTTGAGCTTGTGTGGCCTACCACTTCGTGGCTGAGCCATTGTTGCTCCTACACGTTTCCACTTACAGTTGACCAGGGCAGAAATTTGACGGACTGCCTTGTTGGAAAGGTGGCATCCTATGATGGTGCCATGTTGAAAGTCACTGGGCTCTTCAGTAAGGCCATTCTACTGCCAATGTTTGTCGATGGAGATTGCACGGCTGTGTCCTCGATTTTATACACCTGTCAGCAACGGGTGTGGCTACAATAATCGAATCCACTAATTTGAAGGTGTGTCAACATACTTCTGGATATACAGTGAGGGAAAAAAGTATTTGATCCCCTGCTGATTTTGTACATTTGCCCACTGACAAAGAAATGATCAGTCTAGAATTTTAATGGTAGGTTTATTTGAACAGTGAGAGACAGAATAACAACAAAATCCAGAAAAACGCATGTCAAAAATGTTATAAATTTAGTTGCATTTTAATGAGGGAAATACGTATTTGACCCCCTCTCAATCAGAAAGATTTCTGGCTCCCAGGTGTCTTTTATACAGGTAACGAGCTGAGATTAGGAGCACACTCTTAAAGGGAGTGCTCCTAATCTCAGTTTGTTACCTGTATAAAAGACACCTGTCCACAGAAGCAATCAATCAATCAGATTCCAAACTCTCCACCATGGCCAAGACCAAAGAGCTCTCCAAGGATGTCAGGGACAAGATTGTAGACCTACACAAGGCTGGAATGGGCTACAAGACCATCGCCAAGCAGCTTGGTGAGAAGGTGACAACAGTTGGAGCGGTTATATGCAAATGGAAGAAACACAAAATAACTGTCAATCTCCCTCGGCCTGGGACTCCATGCAAGATCTCGCCTCGTGGAGTTGCAATGATCATGAGAACGGTGAGGAATCAGCTCAGAACTAAACTTGTCAATGATCTCAAGGCAGCTGGGACCATAGTCACCAAGAAAACAATTGGTAACACACTACGCCGTGAAGGACTGAAATCCTGCAGTGTCCGCAAGGTCCCCCTGCTCAAGAAACCACATATACAGGCCAGTCTGAAGTTTGCCAATGAACATCTGAATGATTCAGAGGAGAACTGGGTGAAATGTTGTGGTCAGATGAGACCAAAATCGAGCTCTTTGGCATCAACTCAACTCGCGGTGTTTGGAGAAGGAGGAATGCTGCCTATGACCCCATGAACACCATCCCCACCGTCAAACATAGAGGTGGAAACATTATGCTTTGGGGGTGTTTTTCTGCTAAGGGGACAACTTCACCGCATCAAAGGGACGATGGACAGGGCCATGTACCGTCAAATCTTGAGTGAGAACCTCCTTCCCTCAGCCAGGGCATTGAAAATGGGTCGTGGATGGGTATTCCAGCATGACAATGACCCGAAACACACGGCCAAGGCAACAAAGGAGTGGCTCAAGAAGAAGCACATTAAGGTCCTGGAGTGGCCTAGCCAGTCTCCAGACCTTAATCCCATAGAAAATCTGTGGAGGGAGCTGAAGGTTTGAGTTGCCAAACGTCAGGCTCGAATCCTTAATGACTTGGAGAAGATCTGCAAAAAGGAGTGGGACAAAATCCCTCCTGAGATGTGTGCAAAACTGGTGGCCAACAACCTCTGTGATTGCCAACAAGGGTTTTGCCACCAAGTACTAAGTCATGTTTTGCAGAGGGGTCAAATACTTATTTCCCTCAATAAAATGCAAATCAATTTCTAACATTTTTGACATGCGTTTTTTTCTGGATTTTGTTGTTGTTATTCTGTCTCTCACTGTTCAAATAAACCTACCATTAAAATTAGACTGATAATTTCTTTGTCAGTGGGCAAACGTAGAAAATCAGCAGGGGATGAAATACTTTTTCCCTCACTGTATAGTGTAGCATAACTACCACAGGATGGATATTGATCTCTACTACAACATACAAGTGTCAAGTGTATCCGAAATGAAAAGAGGACATCTTAAGGTTTCTAGTGAACCTAAGGTAATGAATCAACGGTCAAAATTGAGTTCAATCGTGGCCTGGGGTGGTCTAGCAGACTGCATCAGATACAGTCCATGAGCTACATACACTGAGTATACCAAACATTAGGAACACCTTCCTAATATTGAGTTGCACCCCCCCCCCCCCCCCCTTTTGCCCTCAGAACAGCCTCAATTTTTCGGGGCCTGGACTCTACAAGGTGTCGAAAGCGTTCCACAGGGATGCTGGCCCATGTTGACTCCAATGCTTCCCACAGTTGTGTCAAGTTGGCTGGATGTCCTTTGGGTGGTGGACCATTCTTGATACACACGGGAAACTGTTGAGCTGAAAAACCCAGCAGCATTGCAGGTCTTGACCCAGACCGGTGCGCTTGGCACCTACTACCATACCCCATTCACTATGCAATATGCAGAAATAGCTCCACCATTTCCTGGTTGCTAAAACACAAATAGTTAGGCTATTTTTTGTTTATGTGACAAAATAAGCTAGTATAGTGTAGAGAATCATTGTACCATCTAAACCTCTGTGAAATATATTTTCTATAACAAATATATTGTAGTTTCAGCTGTTTGAAGCTGGGTTCCAAAACCGAAAGTAAAAGACGCTAAAACTAAACTAAACGGGAAGCATAGAAATAGCGCGCATAGAACAGATCTACCGCTTCTTAGACTTGCGTTCAAGTACAATGATATATCTATATCTATGTGAATTTGGTCGGATCGCCTTAAAAGTTACATTACATTTGGGTTCTTGCCTATTCACCCTGTGTCTCAATTGTCTCAAGGCTTAAAAATCATTCTTTAGCATGTTTCCACCCCTTCAACTACGCTTCTTGAAGTGGATTTAACAAGTCACCTCAATAAGGGATCATAGATTTAAACTGGATTCACCTGGTCAGTCTATGTCATGGAAAGAGCAAGTGTTCTTAATGTTTTCTATACTCGGTGTATCGCAAGACCGAGCCGCGCGGTTTCACTCTCTAGTTTCAACAGAGAGGAAGAGACGAAGGGAGAGGGCACACTCTCGCCCAAATCTGTCCTGAATAAGCCTAATGCGTTTCTATGGGCATAATCTGCAGACCTAAACTTGCCTGATGCATCCCCCGCCTTTGGGACAACGACTCACATTGTTAGGGAGGAGACAAGAGCATCTCGTCATTATATACAGATCTCTGGTTTCAGCCACTCGCGCGCAAATT